TTCCCATGTTGCGCGGTAGTGTCTGACTATATTTTCAGCTATACTTGTTACCGAGTGATCAACCGCAGATTCTGCTGCATACTAAATGACTTTTCCTCGTCCACGCGAGTCTTCTGGATTTTGCTAATTCCGCGTTTATAGCGCACCGACGAGAGAAGAACACTGTGGACTCTCTATTAAAATACATATTTATACATATTATATTAATACATATAATACATATTATATTAACATTACAACTGTGGACTCTCTATTAAAATACATATTTATACATATTATATTAATACATATAATACAAATTATATTAACATTACAAAAATGGAGGTGCTACACGGATGTCAGCTCCAGCATGTACTTTTTTAAAATCTCTTGAAAATGATTCAACAATAGGCTTTTTCAATAGTTCTCGAGAAGTTCTACAGTTCCTGATAGGTTTCAACAATCGTTCTGCTACGCCGCATCGGTAAAATATGTATTAAATATGCTTATGGCATCATACGCTTCAGTCCAGGCTTGCTTGCTTTTGTCATATTAAACTTACCGAGTTTACACTGTGCGATCGAATTTAGGATTGCAAAGAAAAAAAGGATTTAGGCTATATCCAATGAGTTGTCTCGTTCTAAGTGTTGCTTTGGGAACCAGCGATAAGTAGCGGAGGACTCTGCCCGTCAGGCTATCTGTTCGTGATCACGTTCAGCTCGACTACCACGGGATATGCATTATCGACGGAGGCGATGATCACAAAATTCTATTCCCGGACTCGCCGATACGATTAAGCGCCATGTTTTTCGTATCGCCTAAAACCGTAGCGTTGTGCATCTCCCTACTGATCTCTGCCGAAAATCGTAGCGTTGTGCATCTCCCTATTCATCTCTGCTGGCCGTTATACTCCGACCTACTCATCTCTGTTTTAATCACTGGGCTACGGCAACTTTACTTCTTATAGTTGGCGCCACTATAGAACCAACTGCAAATTATTTCTAACAGAGAGCGCTACATCAAAAATCATGTCAAAAGTTTAAGCAATCCGCAGTTAACCTCAAGAAGAAGTCGTATTCTGCAGTTTACCATCATGGCTTCTACTGAGATGAATGATATGACGCTCCGAGAGATGATGGATGATAGCACTGCTACTGGAATCATATTAAAATCAAATGAGCCATGGCGAGAAGCTAATTCAAAACTTTATTATGAGTTTCTTGAAAGTATTCAGGCTCATGTATCAGAACCTCAAATTTTCGATACAATTGCAGATTTTATCCAAAACTGCACCGACACTTTGGAGTTAATGAGAGGTATATATCAGTGATATTAAAATTTCGTAGAATGATTTAAGATTGATATTACAGGTATGCAGTCTAAAGTGGAAAATACATATGTTTCTGAAGAAGAAATTAATTTGGAAAATGAGAGAAACGTGTGGCGTCTTGTTTATTGTTTATATCAAAATCGTTTGATGGCCTCTGACTTTCATTCTCAAGATGAGATGGATAATCATACTGATATCTCTGAAAAGGATGTTATAGAAAATTTGTATAAAAATGATAGTTTAATAAGAGAATATCAACTAATCGTTGATTGGCTAGAGAAAAATGCTTTGGATACAGCAGAGAAATTACCATCTATTGAGCACTTTACGGATAAAACAGTAGCATGGGAGAATACACTGCATCAATTGCAGAATCGTCAGAACAGCATTACCTTTGGGTCATCTAGGGCAATAGTTTCTTCCCTTGATCCAGATGCACCGATAAGAGAGGGTAAGCCTCTACATGATCTAGATAGGGAAGATGATGCCAGGCTTGAAAAAAGAATGTTTATAGAGGTATCATTTCATTTTGTGAATTTGTTACGCACAAAGAATACGTGTGACTTGTAGCACTTAAATAAATAATCGTTTGTTGATGTCAGGTTCGCTGTGGCCAATTACAAAAAGCTCAGGCACTGGCTATGCATTGTGGACAACCTTGGCGTGCTGCATGCTTGTTAGGATGGATGCCACATCACGATCCCAATTATAATAATCCTCGAACAGACACAGAGCTTCCAATCGAGGGTAACCCTAATAGAAGTCTCTGGAAATTATGTGCCTGGGAAATATCTCTGGACAAACGCGTAGGTCAGCTAAATTCATATTTGATTTTCTAAATTTTACATGCCAATGTTATAACTACACCTTTCAATATTCTACTATTTTTTCTTTTCATTTTACTGTTATTATCACGTCTTACCTATATTATATAATAATAATATTATTATTAAATAATAATATTTAACACGCAGGTCCATATTATCGTGCTATATTTGCCAGCCTGTGCGGAAATGTACAGCAACTCTTACCCATAGCACAGTCCTGGCAAGACGCACTTTGGGTATACATGAAGACACTGTTGGATATTAAAGTGGAATCAGAAGTAAGAGGAACTATGCCAAAAAGTTACGTGCCAATGCCTGATGAATACTGGAAAAATGAAATGACTCTAGAGAACATTTTTAACGAATTACACGCATCAAAGAATCCAATAATACGTGCTCAGGCCAGCAAACCTGACCACTTAATTCAGAAGTACTTAATATTAGATCAAATACCGCAGCTTATGGATGAAATCGAGACATTGATAGACATGGGAACATGTACGTCGCAATTTCTCAGATTTCTCGCCCATTTGATTCTTTTCCTAAGACATATCGGTAGAAATTCAAAGGAAAGAATTGGAAACAAAGTCCTACAAGCTTATGTACGTGAGCTTATAAAACTAGGCGATGCAAATCTCGTAGCATATTACACAGCTACGTTGCCTCAGGAAGATCAAGTAAAGAATTATGCTTATTTCCTGGAGAACGTGAAAGATCATCAGCAGCGTAAAAGATGCCTGGAAGCAGCTGAAGCGGCAAACTTGAATGTAGAGGCCATTACAAAATTAGTCGTCGAGAATATACGCCACAAAAATATTGAATTGGGTTCGGATGACTTGAAATGTGGAATAACAGCTTCTGATATAGAGAAGATAGATGCTCTGGATTGGGTAATGTTTTATCAGAGCCAAAGGGAGGAAGCCTTGTGGCAGACCAATGCACTGATAAGATATTTTCTTACTTATGAAAAACTTGATGCAGCTCGCAACGCCATTAACAAAATTCCCAATGATTCCATTGGTCTTATAACAATGGAGTATCCTTCTATCGAAAGCACCATAGCAAATCTAACGATGACTAATAATTTGCCAAAAAGAGCTTCTAACTGCATACGTGAATATCTTTGCTACAGAGCCTATCTCGATGCACAAGAAGGTTTTGCTGAATGGTTTTCAGAATTTCACCGGAAGCCAACTCCACCGAAAGCTCTACCATCTTATGCAACATTTACAGAAAAAGTGGCATATGATCATAAGAAAGCACAATATAATTCTGATCTTGAACGATGGAAGATGACAATGCAGCATCATACTAAGGTTTGTTGCTTAAGAAATATTGTACTGTCTTTATAACGATTATTATTTATTAATATCCGTATTTCTAATTAATGAAGTAAATGCTGAGAAATTGTTTGTTTTGAAAATCAGGATGCCAAACAACTTTTGTTCAACGTTTTACTCTTTCCTGACGGAGGTTGGTTGGTTGATTCTGCTTATTCTGGTGACGAACTACCTGATCATGAGGATTCATTGCGAGAGTATGAAATGGAAACATTACGTAAACTCTGTATTCCAAAAATCACATTATTGTTGCATTCCGTAATGTCACAAATGAATGAACATGCAGAATGTGTACAACTGGCAGATACACTGGCTTCAGAACAATATCAACTGTACAAAGTACATAAACTAATAATCCTATACGATTTTGATATACTACGCTACGAAAATGAATTTTAATATACATATTGTACATTTTCTTAGGTATTTCCCAAGGATAAGTTGCGCGAAGTATTCCAAAAATTCGGTGAGTCGTCGCTTGTCCTTATGGACCAGAAGAAGGACCCATGGGGCTATTCAAAATGAAGTACAATCTGTCATATAGAATTTTTGTAAAAAGAAAACTACAGACTCCAAAACAATGATTCGAGAATATCACCCTATAGAGTACAATAATCATGTTCCATTTCCAAAGAGAGTAAAAAAAGTTACTCATCCTTACTCATTCATTATCCATTAATATCTCAGGTAAAATTACTACATAGGATTCCTTTTTTTTTTATAAAACCAGTTTATTGTCAACCACAAGAAGTGAATATAAAATTTGATACAATGTTCAATAATTCATAATCATAATGTATCATATACCTTGTAATTATTTAGACGCTTGATATAATCGCTGAATAAGTATAGCACTGACAAAGCCCACCGTTGAAATTCGCAGCACCAAATCGAGACGTATTGAATCCGTGAAACGTGAGAGTATCCAAAGTTCACGATTATTCTTTCAAAAATACCAACAGTGAGAATTCTCATAGAAAATCTCAAGCAGCGTCCAATAATCCTCAAGCTCACGTATTTTGTACACGTCCCAGACTTTGGCAGTAGCAGACGTGTATTTTGCTACAATATCGAAAAAATTTTCAAATCAATATTATCGGATGAGAGTTAACGACGATTGAACCAAAATAAGTATAAGCATCGCATCTCAATTTTTCAAACAGTTCACAGTCAATAAAATTTAATTTATCATTAAGCAACGATAAGGGGTGGTTAATAACAGCAATTATTACATATTTCTCATAATGTAAAGCATAATGTATGTATATAAAGAAATATAAAGGTTAATCAAAACGTCAGTACTCATACAAAATACACGCATGCTACGAGCGAACTTTATCTTTTTTTCGACGTATAGACTATATAAAGAAATTAACATTCAACCAGCGTGAATCTAATTAATAAACGGTCCATAGATTTCCACAATGGAGTATATAAATATGGTTCAACGAACACATTCGATCCGCATACACGTCAATAATCTTGTATCATTTTTATTTTTTTCTCCGTTACAAGCTATCGTGTCAGCGATGATGAACGAGCTTAGCAAGCTTTCAATATGGATCGATAATATATAATTATTCGTAAAGAAAAATAAAAGAAAGGTTCAATTGTATTGTAATCTGCATGCAGTGTTTTCGAGTAAGAGGTGTTCGTTCAAGAACGGATGATCGGAATTTTTCGTTTGTTATTCCTATCTAAGATGTATACCGACCTCCTTCGCACTTCGATTGCGTAATTTTCTTATCTTTAAATTACTGCAAGATATTTGACAATTATAACCGTATTGGTGGTTGGTATTTATCTTTTAACAATTTTACGTCAATTCGTTAATCGTAAATAAGATCTTAACGTTGTAGAGTTCCAACAAGTTTCTACAGATGGAAGGAGGTATCAGACACTTGCCAATCCGATCGATTCTTATTGTATCGATTATACGATTAATACGTTATTTGTTAATTTGACTAGCCTAACACATAAACGTTGAAAAAAAATGGTTGACAATTTTCGACAACTCTACGTGACAATTTGATATTTCGTCGAAGGATATCTCACTGAAGAATTGCTGATACGTTATTTCAATGCTCGAAATAAAAACTTTTGAAACCTTTTCTTTTTTCTTCTAGTTCTTTTTCTTTAATAGGATTCTACAAGATCGATTGGCTGAGACAAGGAGTTATTGTAGCGCAAGAGAGGATGAAATTTCTTAAGAAAAAATATTCACATGAAAGTTTCATACTTCTTAGCACTAAGGTGAGATGAAAATCATCCTAATAGCGTATTTATAACTTGCCCCCGCGGCATATAGAAGATAAATTAAAAGGCATCGACAAAATTTACGACGAACCAATGCATCCTTCGAAAAAGATTTTTCAAGCTCACAATTAGGACGAGAATTTCCTCGCAATATTCATTTAATACGCACGTTCAGACATTCATTCCCATATTGACAATAATTTTACGTTTCTTCTCGATTAAAACTTAGTGCAAACTATCCTTAGTTTTAAACCTTAGCTTATCCAACCTAATTTGACCCTATGATGGAAGGGCGATGATTATCGTCCACGAGTGTCCCATTAGGCGTCGCCACGGCGATGCGTAAGTTTATTATTGTCCAAAATGGAATCTCATATTTTCAATGTGCCATTTGCGTATACTCGATAATGTTTAAAATCCGCCAAAACCATTACAAAACTTAATTGGCTTTTACTGTCAAACAATGATAATAGTCAAGTTAATAAATATTGAAGATATACCATATTGATACAATTTTTCAAATCAATTAAAAAATCCTCATACCGAAATAGTGTACGAAACGCCAATGACTGTCACGATCGTTATATATAGTGAATTTTTGCTTCTACTTATTTCCTCCCTCTCATTTCCGTTACCTAATCATCATTACAAGTTTTATACATTATTTTTACGCATTATTAGCAAACGAAGTTCACTTATTTACTAAGACTATTTTATTTGCTTCTTACGAGCTACAGCAACCCCGGACATTGGTTAGGCTGTCGTGTAAAAAATTAGTGTCCACATATATATTTATATATAGAATTTCCGTACATTGTATCCTATTATTAAATCATTAATGCGTAATACCATTAATGTCATCTTACTGATTTAAATTGGTTATTTAAAAAAAATGGGGATATTAGATATGCCCACAATCATATGTACATAGTTTAAGCAGGAATCAAATCCGCAACTGTACACTCGTGCACATGATGTAAAATTACAAAGAGATGACCTTACATGAAGTATACTGATCGCAATTATTTTCAATTAGTTATAATTCTTTAATGATTTATGCAATAAGAAGTTTCAATGAGGTCGCCCGAAGAGGATAAACGTATCCTCGAATGTTCTTACACGGCAGCCCGTTATATCGTTTGTCCGGGAAGTTGACTTTCAATTATTGTCATGCTCACAGAAGTAGGAGATTTATCCGCTTAAAATCTAAAATCCGTCAATCTCCGGAAGATTAAACAGTGTCGTAAAGTAATAATGAAAATATATGAAAAGCAAAAGGTAAGTGTAAACGCGAGGTCAATACGCAACCTCGGTAAAAGAATGATAATATTAATTATTGTCTCGAGTTGACAATCGAATATTGTCCCATGAGAATTGCGATCTTAAAAAAGAATTAAATCTTATTGTCATTTAATTATTTCTCGATCACGATATTATTTTACAGCCATTCAAACTAGCTCAATATAAGAAATCAATACATTCGAACGATATATTGTTTTCAAGAGTGATGTAGCAACTTCACGTCATTAATTTCAAATATATTTAATTTTACCGCTCAAACTGCAAAGGCTATTACAGAATTGTCTGATTAATTACAAATTTAGTCGTTTCTTACATGCTACTAAATGACGTACACTGTACAGTGTCAAAGATAAAATTGCTGTCAAATTTTGTGGTCACTGTTTCCCATCTTTAATAAATTTTTAAATCTGTACCATACTTCAGTCTGAATGTGACGCTGTATCTACATACATATGTATGTCCAAGTTATGTCAAATATTCGTGAAATCCGCTGACGACGAAGTAAACAGATAGATATACCGTTATCGTATTTCGCAAGATTACGTCTGACGGAAATAAGAGAATTGCAAATCCTTGATCGAAGATCCATAACTGACCGACAAATGGATCCCTAACCTTAAAACCCTAACCCAACTGCATACAATCGATACGAATGAACCGATAATTATCCCTGCACCGTTACATCCAGAGAAAAGTGTTTTATGCCAATAGGTTTGTTCTCGTTACCTGCACTTTCTGCACTTGTCAAAAAGGGTAAGTGCTCATTGGTTACCTAAAAATATCATTCAATAAGAATTTGCACTTTTTGAAAAGTGCAAAACGTGTAGGTAACGAGAACAAGCCTGATATGAAAATTTTGTGGCTACGTAATTCTTAGAAACAGTTTAACTCACAAATCAAATACGCTTCATTTCTTATATTAAATTCATTCTGAATATCTGCTAAAGATTTAATCGAAATTCAGAGATTCGTCTTTGTAAATGTCCAGTTACCTTGGAACAATTATCCGCTTCTGTTGGTTACAATGGTCGATCGTAAATACCAATTCACATTTGAAATATATGTAAACAATGACGATTAATGCCTCCAAAATAAATCAGACCCCCTAAAATCTTTTATCAGAATCAATTTATCTACTTAGATCTTGACGCCTCTTCGTACGAGAGACGCACATTTTTCATTAAAAGCCAGATACTCGAAGAATAACGAGCGACCATTCTTCATGCACATACTGGTCTTCGTACGCTGATGAGAATAATAATAATAACCATGTATTAATCGTGAATATTATTTTTTCAAACAATTTTGAAGACATCACCGTCGTAACCATGGAGCTGGATATACGTTTAAAGAAAAATATATTAATATAACATTTATATAATACACGCTAGACTATCTATACTCTAGGTTGATTATGATTATGTATTCTGCTGATTTCTTGGTTGCACTTTTTATCAAGAAATAAAAAAGTAATACCCCTTGTCGAGTCTCCTGCGGATAACAGAGCGGCAATAACGACACGACCGTATCAATAATGGATATGTCTCTCTCAATTCGATGCAAAGTAAAGCGTGTACATACCTAGACGGGTGTTTTGGATTTGTGATTTTAAAAAAAATATACATGCATATGTTATATATATTACAGATAGTTATAGATATAAAATTTTCATTTGATAATTAACCGCGCGTCATCGCCAAGGGGCCCAGCTCCAGGTTTACGGATTGTCACGTGATCCGAATGAGGCCTAATAAGAATAACTTTAAGACATTTAATATCTGCACCCAAGGCACATTTTATACTTTCATTCCGTATTTAGGAAGGTCCATTCTATTATATACATAATGGCGCGTTTGCGTAGGTATATAGTATATATATGTCCATATTCCATACACTTCTTTTCTCTTTTTATTCTGCTAATCGTTCACCGTTGTTATTTGTTATTTTAAGTTTCACAAATTAATGCTTTCTCGTACTTTCCTTAAACTCTGATTTTTTTTCGACATACTCGTCTTACTACAATATTAGATTACTGTCAAACAGACAGCATTTGTAAATATAATTACCTTAATCACTACCTGACTTTAAACTTACGTAAATTCAACTATAGCCTTTGTGCAAAATTTACATGTGTACCGTCGATGCATCGCGTATCTTTATCGTGATAACGAATCTCGGCGAGTACAGTACTTTCTGATAATTTTCAAAATTTTTTGAAAATGATAACCGCAAACACATTATCCCATACCTTCACTTATAACCTTCAGCTAAGCTGGACAAAGAGTATCGCTCTTATTGTCTGAATTAATCTGGAGTCTCATCGTAATCGATATTATTATTGTCAAAAAGATTTCACTCACTCTTTTTCTCATTATTGTCGCAATCTCGATCGTTCTTATGTCACTCTTACATCGCGAATTTATGTATCATTGTGTGTGTGTATATATATATATATATATGGTATATATATATATATATCCTGTATACAGTATATGGTATATGCTCATGACATACGATATACTGTATATATACGCGCGTGTATATTATAATATGAAATATTGAATTTGATAGATCTTAAAAATATCTTCATAATCTTTACGTATAATTAAATCTTACGAACTATATACTTTCTTACAACCTTGTATCATTTTAAACGGTTTAAATGTACAATCGTGTGCGCCATCCAATCGAACCGGAAATACGTACCTCCCTGTAGTCGCATTCAGTTTACTTTGCTCTTACGTCAGTTATTCTCCGTCAGGACTTATTGTATTTGATGAAAATGGCAATTCGTCGATTCATCTTAGGAGTAACGAAGTGACGAGGGTGAAGATGAAAATACTTAACGGAGTTACGGTCACGCGTTGACCAAGACCGTTCATGGGTGAGTTCTGTCCAGGATCCACTACGTGAATCTTCCATCCGAGATTATTGTGCGTATAACACTGGGGAAAATAATAATATAAATTTATGAGTATTTTTATCAATAACTAGACAGTATCAATGAGAAAGAAAAGTCTTAAGGTATCACAAGTACCTGGTAATAAACAAGATCAGGCGTGTCCTCCTGAACGGTCCAGACCAACTTGGCAGGTTCACCTTGTTCACATTCGAGTCTCAGGGTCTCGAAGAAGCTCTCGAACGTCTTGGAATCGGCACTCATGTCGATGGTCTTGTGCGTCCATTCGCAGTAACGTCCTGCAGCTGTGGGATAAGGCTGACCCTCCTTATCAAATTCGACGCCAGCGTATACCTTGTGCTTGGTTCTTTCAGCTTCTGATTTCTGTGCGTAGCCACCCTCGGGACTGTCAGTTATGTATAAGGGATGATACCTGTAACGAAAATGGTCTATTATTGGACGTTCTTGTCTCATGCAGATTCTAAGGGATCCGAAAGACCCTCTACAATGTGCGGCTATTACTTTCTTATGACAATCGGTTTACCTAGCAGGATTGGTTGGACTGTTTCCTCCCTCTACAATGAACGTGTAGGTTTGACCTCTTGTTACAGTCAACTCTGGTATCAGGAGATCATTGATATACCATGCAATTCCCCAGGACGGTGAACCTACGATTTAGAATTAATTTATTTTCACTCGTTCCTTTCCTCTCTGTTACTTAATACTCTTCTTCGTATCAGTTTCCTTTTCTCACCTGTAATACGCTCGTATCCTCGTTTACCACCAGTGGGACCGATTCTCGCGCTGAACGTGTCGTCATTGAGCTTAGCCGGTGGCCAAGCATCGATGTCATAGATCTTTGGTAAATCGTAGAGAGAATTCTTGCAGGAGTGATCATTCGTCGAAGTGAAGTCTATGCGAATATCTTCAGTAGTCACGTCCATTTTATTGTGAGCATTGGCTTCACGACGAGAATTCAATGGTCCTATTGCTGCTATGATGCTGGTGTCGGTATCCGGGATGATCTTATCTTTTTCAAGTTCGTTGGTCCTCATGGGCCGAGTATAAGTCACTACGAAGAGACATTAATATTATAATATTACATTATAACAGACAAAATTAACTAATCAATATCATTTCCTACTCTCCATAATTCCAACACTCACCTTTTGTTATCCCATTGTTTCTTTCACCGTGAATCAAAGTAGCATCATTCTTTCCGCCAACCCGTTCATCCGGACAGACTCCCCTCTTGCCATCGCATTGTGCCACGTCAGACATGTAATAATCCTCTGCGAAAAAGCTCCTGGTGGCTCTGTCGTAACCCACCACGACTACATCACCGTCCACCATCTCCGCTTTGCCTTCACGACCCGATAATCCAAAGGCTATATATTCGTTTTCCGTGATTCGACCTGATAGCGTTATCTCCACGTCATCGCCCATATAAATCCATTGTACTTGTACTCGGCCATCAAGCAGTTCTTTACAGTTGGTCGACTTTGGTTTGATGGGCATGGACGTGGTGGTCTAAAAATATATACACAGTACAATAATTTCATCGCTTATCATTCGTTCCACGCATTTACGACTTACCGTGACTAGGAGTCATGCACTTTAGAAAAATGATGACTGCGACATGCAATAACTGAGGAGGATTCGACGTAGGCAAGCAAGGAAAAGAAGTAATGACTGAGAGAAGTGAGTAAAATTAGTAACGTATGAAGGGAGAACAAAGGGGCACGAATGAATTTTCTTTTATTTGCCTATTGACGATGAAAAAGAAACAATATTAGTACACATGCCTTTAATCAATAATTAATAAGCGTATCGATAATATGAATTATTGACAAAGTAAATCATAAGTAAACAGAGGAAACTGCTCTTAGAGATGTATCCATACAGGATTTCTTTTTCTTTTTCTAACAATGCGGTGTAAGATTGCACTTCAAAATCAGCTTTATGCACTAAATGGACAGAGAATGCCTAATGGTAGCAGTCTTGGTATTTTTTTTTACTCACAGGTTTGTACCACCAGGGCGGCTATTCCGTGATAAATTCAAATACATTTTAATTACACTATCTAATTAATACTATCAAATATATATTATATAGAATCATTCGGTATTAACGCAGCATCTGAATCATGGATATGTAATAGGAGTCAAATGAATGCGAATAATTCTATATATATATACAGTATAGATATATACCTGTATCTGGATACTCTAAACTCTAGCTTACATACACCACATATAATAAGAGATACTACAGTACGTTATTCAGACACTTGTAAAATTCTTTAATATCTAAACGCTTTGAGAAATTCCTCGTAACTCTTGGACGTGAGAAAAGGGTTAAACGGATTCCTTCGTTTCTTAGAAGTTTTACTCCGTATGTTAGTAGCGACCTTATCAAGTCCTTTATCAAGATTCCTGGCTCTTCGGTCTTTAATTAACTCATTTCTGTTTACCGTTATCTTGGTCTGTCCCAGTGCCGGCGGTACGTCCAGGTCCTTGGGAATGAGGACGTGTCCGAAATTGTGCCTATACTGAACACACCAGACTGCCAACCACTGAATGTCGTATACAGTAAGATTGTCTGGCAGGACAATCTCAATATCCTCACCCTGGTAGCCTCGTAATGGTTCCAGACTGCGAATTCAAAGATATCACATACAGTAAAGGGTTAGAGTACCTTCCGAAGTTAAAGTTCATTAGAGTATCATCACCTTCCCATCTCGTTGGGCACCTTGGTACCTAATGAAGTAGGCTCCGGTCCAGTTCCAACCCAGAAATAAGCGTCAGGACCGGCGCCATCGTAGTGCAAGTTTGGAATGTAGAATGTTTTACTGTCCAGGATGGTTATATTTTCACTACGTAATCCATGTGCCAGTCTTGAGAATTCCGACAAAGTTTTTGCCTTGGGCACTTCCAGATCCGAAGGGATGTAGACGTCTCCGAAATTTACCTTATGGAAAAACAAATAAAAGAAACGATCGTAAGGTTGCCAGGGTAAAAAGTTATATATATATATGGTGAATTATGGCAAAGGGAAAAAAAATTGGCTACTCGAAATTCACAAGAGTCACTTATATACGTCTAACGTTATGTTTATGTTCTCGGATCGATTCATCATTTCCTTTTAAAGATAAAGAGGTAAAGGGGACGCGCTGACTGACGTCCTTCCGAATAAGGGAGTCGTTTCAAGGGAAGTCGTTTATTTTAAACTCTGTCAAACGCCGAGGAAGAAGGATCTCGCGCCCTGGGATCCTGTATAATTCGGGGAAACGGGAATCTCGCCTTACGACCCCAGAGTCGACGTCTCGGGACTCTTTATGACCGAAATTTCAACACCCACGACAATTCCTAAGGTCCATTCGAAAACCGTGAGACAAATTTATTTCGTCCAGATTTAGACGTCTTTTTTTTACTCCAACCAACCCAATCCTCGGAGAAGCCTCATACCGAAGAAACACCCAGATTATTTGAAAACTTCAGCAAGGATTTCCGGAACTGACTTCCCTCTTGTGAATTGGACATGACGTATGAAAAATGTAGTAACTTTTTATTATTTTTAAATTTTTTAACATTGCCAAAGACAATCGTCAAGGAGTCTTGTGCATTGTAAATTTTCTCCATTGACGGTACACTCTAAGTTTACGGTACAACATTTCCAGCTAGTTTTAACCTTGAGTGTAAGTACTTCAGCTGTCAGTTGAGCAGATGGAATAGTCAGGAATAATCGATAAGTCCCCCCCCCCCCTAATTCCGCAGGCTTCGCGACACGTACTTTTCGAAACCCTTCTAGTAAGTAACAAACCCCTATAACTAATATACCAAGCCAATAATTAACATCCAGAGATCTACGGACTTTGATACTTGCATAGATGATGCTAATAACATTATGTTTAAGGGCTCGTCAATCATACTACCCTCGGATGACGTGGGTGTCTGAGAAGTAAGGGTTAGATGAGTATCGCAGATCCGTAACGCAACATTCTGATGGAGCCAGTCACGCTCAGAGACATAAAGGGAGGGAGTGTGTGTGTGTGTGTGTGTGTGTGTGTGTGAGAGAGAGAGAGAGGAGAGAGAGCGATAGAAGAATATTCAAAATTAGCTTCTCCTTGATACCCACGCATTTCTTCCAGCCCTCGAAGGGACGTTTCACCCTTAATATTAAAAATTAAAGCTCCGTAAAGTCAAAGAATCATTATTGCTAGCGTAGATGTGACAGAGAAATATATATATATATATATATATATGTATGTATATATACATATATGTATACATTGAGTTAAGAGAAATCACAGTAGGCAATACGTATATAATTTTTTTGGCTAGTCATATTTAACAACAAAGTTTTGTATAATTACTTGTGAATAAAGTATGTAATTAAGATTTAATTAAAAAAAAATGGTAAAGAGCCTAATGAACGCAAAAAATTTTAAGAAATATTTAGAAAAAGTATATTCAGGCTAAATGGACCGCCTGAAGTCAGTCCACTTGATTTCTATGGTAGAGCCAACTTCAGGCCATGCGCGTGTACTGAATAACTTTGTACGCGAAAAAAAAAAAGAGTAACAGACAGTAGCCACAAAAAGAGGAGTCAGTAGGAAAGATAAAGAAGAGGGAAAAAAATGAGAAACGAGAATAAAAAGTCTCGATGACGCAAAATGAATTCGAGCGAAATAACAAGCGATTTGCCCCGATATAAATATCTGATGGTAGGCGGATTGGTTTTCCAATCTTCTTCGAGATGTCTGAACGAAAACGATTCTCGCAGTTATTGCATCGTTTTACAAGATCGTTCGGTATCGAGCCGAAAGCGCTTTTTATAATCCGGGGTGCGGTAACGTCGAAGGGTTCCTTGTCAATTCGATACCTTTGATCTGGTCGTTACGGCCGGCCGAAGTCTCTACCAGAGGGGGGTGTATAGCACCCCTAATAGACTGTTTATCTCGTAAGCCCGGATTTAGATTCAGATCTGAGGCTATTATGCGCCGTCCCGTGTACTACCTACGTTAATACTCAAGACTTCGTGACGTGGCTCAACAAAATAATTTCCCCGGTCGATGGCCAGGCCTGTGTTAGGACAGATAAACTGCTTAGAGACGTAGAATAGATCGTTCGAAATTTCGTCTAGATTTAATTCCAAATACCAAACTACGTACAGTGCAGTACAAAAATAAACTTTTAATAAGAAGAGAGTGCTATAGATACACATACATACGTAATACAGTATAAGCTCGCATCAATACAATAACCAAACTTCTATACCCGACTGTACGTACTAAGTAGTCGCGCCTATAGCCAATTCATGAATCACACGTGAGATCCAGGGGACTCTTTTGCATGCAATTTCATAGTGCATGTGGCCTCTCATAATTTTAATCGTAAACTGTACCGGTACCCAGACCCTTTTGATGAATTATCGAAGGCGACAGTAATACGACGGCAACGGAATGCCCAGTTCTGCCACTTGGAGACTTTCAATGTCGTTAAATCCGTGCAAGTGGCAGCACTGTCTATTAGCGTTACAGTACCGTGCCTGATAACGATATTTTGGGTGCATAAATTTCAGGGTATATATTTACCATCGATTTGGCATATATAATATATACACACAGAGCAGACTGGTACAATCCCCCCTATGAGGATATCGGAGTATGGAAGGTATAGAAAGAGGGCTGAAAACAGTCAATATTCAATCAAATAAATCCCCTAACAAACTGGAGATGCATAGATAGCATCGAGAAACAATCAACGATGCAGAGAGCTAGCGCAGGGGTAGTATGCCACCCTGGCTGCCGTTGCCCATAATATATTGGAGAGAATCCGAGAGTGGCCGAGACTGTATATTATTTTAGCACGTTATCAGGACCGGCATCGCCCCTCCTGACGCGCATATACGTTCTCTCGAAACCCCCGCAGGGAGACGCGCGTCGTTTCGGAAATTGAGACATCAAGCCTTGTTACACCCGATAGCAACGCGCTATCCCACGTACCCCCGTCGTGTTGCATTATTACTGCCAATCCCTGCTCTCTTTGATACCCCCTTGAGAATATCTTAACTATGGTTTTAGAGTATTTTTTAATACTTCACTAGTAAGCAGCCCCTTCACTGCTCGATCACGATCTCTCATAGTTGATCCGCAACCCCCTTTTTCCGTAATCGACCTAAACCGGGAGCATTGGATGAAACTGAGGAAGGGTCCTGGGAGGAATTGTCATTGCAGGGTGGGATATTGATAATTGCAGGTATACCGGGTGACTATTGTATTACACTCGGTGAGTCGTTATCACGTAATCTTGAATACGTTCAAGCGACTTGGATTTTACGAACCCCATAAAATCCGATCCAGTCTCACTATGTACTGAGATGTGTAGCAGCGACAATTGGTAGTAATACTTGAAACCCGAGCTAAAAAGGATATTCTAACCTGGTCGTCTGTCCGTTGAGCTTTAAGTAGGTGATAAATTAAACGACCCTCTTACACTTCCACCGATCCCCCCTCTATTTTTGTTCTATTCCCTGCGTGCCAGATTTAATGGAACTTTTTTGCCAAAACTTTTTACCCCTGGCTAAGCTCCCGTTAAATACGTCCCGGCCGTCTAATTATCCGGGTTTCGCACAGCATTTAAGATCTTCAGCGTGACGCCATTTTGTTACAACGGAAAAACTCATTTAACGCCGGAAAAGCGACGAGCGACCCTTCCTCGCCGAACTGTCTCGATTACGTGTCGTGCTTTGAAAATATCGCTTCCAGTGTCCGGTTTCGAGATTTACCTTTGCAACGTTGACGAACGAAATTCGCCATTGAGAGATCAAAAGACTTCGGCGATACCAATGGAGGAGACCTAAGGTCCTGTTGTGGCGAGGGTTTCAGCATTTCGAAATACAGGTACCAATTGGGTAGGAACAAAGTTTAATCGACCATTCCCATATAGCTTGATTCATTTAAGCGACAGACAGTGGTAACGTGAAATGAAATTTTTATGAAAATTAATAGCATCGCCAATGATGGGCACGTGATTCGCGCGATATTTGTAAATTTACAAATTTCCAATAAATCGTGAAAAGTTGTAAACAGTGTACTAGGTAGCAGTAACAAAGGGGATGGTGGTCGGATATCAAAGATATTTCGAAATCAGAAGCAGATTTACAATGCAAGTTGGTCGTTCCGTGACAAAACTTTCACCACGAGCCTTCATCCGTAGGACCGGTGGGCGGTCCTTCGAGGTACCTGGAAGTTTCGCAAGCTTTCGTCCAATCGGCGCGCCAGAAATACTCGGGAGCTTTCTCGCTGGGTTATGAAAAATTATAACTTTTCTTGAAATACGTATCGTGCCTTAACCCTGGTCCTACGTCGCGCCAACTTTGCTCTACTTTTCATACGTTTCGTAGCTTAACTATTCCTGCGCTGTTACGTGCACACTCCATTCCGCCATTCTACATTTAAGCGCGTATCTATATCTACCTGTCATACGTACTTTTACATGTAATTATACCAGCGTTCGATCACTTAGCGCTTTTACCAACACCAAACGCCACGATCGACCGACCTCTATTTCCGGGGAGACTAAAATTAATAACTACACCCGTGTACGTCGCTACAATATCGTTTACTAAAAGCAAAGCAAGTTTGACTACAACCATCGTTGGCCTAGTAAAGTTCTGACGGTTACGTCGTACTTGTTTCTCGTACGAAAATTAATAACGACGATTCGGTTCGCTGCCCAGATGACGCAATGTCCCAAAGTCGTCTCCAAGACGTCTAGTGAAACAAAAATAACATAGTAGACAAATTAAAAATAACTTTCGTACGTATCTCTCGTCTGGGTGATATATCTCGATTGTTCCGATCAACATTAGCTTGAAAGAGATATTTTTTGAAAGTTTCTCAAGCTTTTATCAGCTTATTGAATACAAAATGAGATTCCGAGAAAACTTGTGTACTGAACGTCGTAATATCTTTTTGTTTCATATCTACACAAACTTTTTTTCCCCATTACGTTTTTAATGATAATAATGACTATATATGTAGCTTGACGTATATACGTGTATACAGTATCCAAGGATGAAAAATACGTATATAGATGGAGAGATGGTACCCGTTCTCTGTGCGTGTCTGTGGAACGTTATTATCTATAGTGAGAGAACCAGGGCGTAGCAATTTCAAAATGGCGTCAACTACAATATTCGAAGCCGTCTCGCGAATATGGCTGAATTACAGGGGTAGCGTTCTCAATCGCGACGTATAAAATCTGATACCTCTCTTTCAGCAATGGTCTTTCGACCCTTCGATTCCGGCAAATTGAGCAAATTGAACGGATCCATTTAAACGAATCATCCTGAACGGTGTCAACGCCACCATCCCCGTCGACTTGGATACCCGGTACCCAGTGCCAGTCGTTCCGCCAGTCAGATGAACAATTGACTTTCAGGATTTTATGTAAAATCGATCGAACCGCCACCTGGTGCGATTTTACGCTTAAGAGTTATCCCAAGAACCGATCGACAAACCTAACCTAAATTACGAGTGACAGTTAAGTATCGCGAGCGCGACGGTTTCAAAATGGCGTCGCTTTAAAGTCACGGAATTAAGACAGCTGCATTCTTGGGCGCGCTAGCCCGGCCAGCATCGACCGGTGTTGCGCGCAACGCATGCGCCACTACTAGTCCCCAGAATATCAACTGTGCTTCAATACCTGATCGGCCACCCTCGTACACACCCCAAGCCTATACTACCCTCCACCCCGGTATGGCCACCCCGAGCGCCCCATGATCCGACATTATTCGCCGATTGTAGCGAAATCACCGAGAAAAGTGAGCCGCCCTGACTTCTCTCTCTCTCTCTCACTCTCTCGCTCCCCCACCCCCCTCTCTCTTTCTCTCTCTCGCTCTCCGGATACCCATTCACAGCCTTCGTGGATGGGTTTACGTCCTGGAGTCGTTACGTCGCTTTGAAAAAAGGATCTCAACATTTTTTTAGCCTTAAGGCATTTGCCTATGTCGCGTGGTTCGGCTTAAAATTCTAACCTAAAATTCCTAATGGTCGTTCCAAACGTTCGCAAGAGAATTTCAGGTGGTTCGGTTTACATTACGCTGGTGAAACCTAGTAAATATGATACGCGAAATCCCCCAGCTGGTATCGTGAGTATCCCAACGCTCGGAAGGATTAGAAACGTGCTTAGGATTTAACAGGGCCACGTCTCGCCGGAGCACTCTGCGGCTGGGGGTGCCTTCGTGTTTAGAATCCAAGTCGGGACTAAAGGGTTATTAATTGACGTTCTCGGGGTTGGGTGGTCCACTTGGTGCCAGGAACAGAGTCGTGCCTTGTCATTCCCTCTACGAAAACTATGAGGCGTTTAATTAACTCTAGTGTTTCGTCACGGATAGTCGGGGAGAAATTCGGATGCAAATTGCACGCGCGTTACCGACACGGCAAGCATTCCTTTTTCGTGCGGACGCTTGATTCGCCCGGTGAATCCCCCCCCCCCTTGCCTTAAAAGTGCAAATTTTGACATCTTGAAAAGAGACGGAACACGAAAATCTTCTATTTTCTTGAGAACGGCTATCGAAATCTTTCCGATATTGCCAATCACTTTCATCCGGCAGAGAAAGTCCAGGACCTGGACCTGCTGAGGATGCTGGGAAATATTTGTGGAAAGCTCCTGAGACGGCCAATCGGAATGATACGCGGATATATATATATATATACACACCATGACTACTCTGATATCCTGAGCAAGTTTTAAACTGTATACCCATACCAGACCATTAAACAGACTTTGACAGCTTATCTTATAGGGCATTTATAACTCTATAGTTTAATTATACACGAAAGAGATCGTTATATTCGCATACTGATATAATATTTTTTTTTAATTAGACGTTTGCACAACTTTTACATGTCATGCAGCCCGTGATAACTCGATAACGAAATATTTGTGTACATGACTGTTAACGAGGTATGGTCACGCATCTTTCGTTCATATGAGAAGAGAAACTGACCCTGTCTTAGGACCAGGATGAATATTGTGAAAAAAAGCAGAACTTAGGTTACAAAATAAATTGATAACGACAATGGGACTAGCCGGTATATGTTAAAATAGAGAATCACGATAATACTGATTAATCATTGAAAATGTAACGATAAGAATGTGCCGCGATTGATAACGCGGAAAAGAGTGAAACTGGGTACTTCAATCGAGATTGTCCTTTCGAGGGATCAGATAAGAACGGATTCCATAGTTGCAGTGCATTCTGCTCGGCGATTGTCCGGAGGATGAGAGAGGTCGTGGGACGGTGGTCCGTGAAGAAAAAAAATTACTAAATCCTATCAGAATCGGTGGTCCATTGAGTGGTGGTAGTTTGATATCGAGGAGGGAGATCTCTTTTGAAAGGACCCCGCTAGATTTGAGGAAACCGGGAAACGACGCCGTGGGGAGGATGTGGAGGAGTCCTGGAGAAGAAGAAGGAGAAGCGGGGGGGCTTATCCTGACAATACATCCTCTAAGCTAACGCAAGGGAGTCATGGCTGACAGACAGCTCCTGTCTACTCAATACCCAAGCAATACCAACCCCTGTGCATCTATCCACTGACAACGTCCCTATATCGGTATATAATATATCACTCCGTAAAATCTCCAGGATGGATTAGCGTATCAAACGGTGCATCAAATTTTTATAGCCTTGCGTGACAAGAGAAGCGTGGACATTTCCGGTGTGAGTGACCCAAGACGTCACAATTATATACCCAGAGGGAATTAAAGAAATCCTCAACTATTAAGAATCTCGTGTAGATATGATTATATGCGATAAAGAATCTGGCGTTGTCGTTAAAAAATTTCAAAGTCAAAATCAGTAACGGAGCATCAAATATTTACACCCTTGCGTGACATGTAAATTGTAGATATTTCCGGTGTGAATGACTGAAAAAAAAAATATCACTAGAATAATTATAATAAAGATACCGAGTAAATAAATGTCTCCAAGTATTTGAGATTCTGTACAGGTATGATCGAATACGCGAGAAAAAAATTGTGTCATTATAAATGATAAAGTCAAAATCACAAAAGGCGCATCATATATTCGTACCCTTGCCTGAAACAAACGTTCTTCCCGAGGTGAAAATAATTTTTAAAAATTCTCTACAATCAAATGTACGCAAAAAGCCAATAGAGAATTATTTTTCGAAATATTTGGGACTTTGCGCGTACGTCTCGTGGTCGTACCATGAGTATGCGCCATTGCGTGAAAATCGAGTTTTGTCATTTAAAGACTTCAAAGTCAAAATCACAAGGAAAAGGGATTGGGGTTGAAACTGCTTCCCGATGATATCATGTTGAGAAATAAGATTTTTAGGAAAAAGAGACGTATGAGAGATTATGGGCCCAACGGCTTTAGGGTCATGGGCACAATCTAGTATAGATTATGTAAAAGAAATCGAAAGTAATGCATATGACACAAAAGGAGGGGATGATAAGAGATAGTAAGTTCCGTTACAGATTAAATGACACCCAGGGTAAGGCATATGAAGGTTAGTATCCATATTGTACATCATCGTTAACTAACGATTATTGTAGGACACCCTGTAGATGAGGCAGGCGACGGACAACGCGTTTTGCGGTGACAGAGCGTGTCTGATGGAGGGTTGTCACGGTACGGGAGCACCCCATCAGACTTCGATATTAAAGCGCTCCTAAATATAAGAGCGCAAGCTCTGCCCCCTCGATGTCTCCCTGAGTGCGCGTGCCCCGTTCCAAAGTAATATGTGTATGCGTATATATATATATATATATATACATATGCCACCCCTGTCTTAACTTCCGTATCCATCTCATACGCGCCATTGACCACGAATGCACGACCGATAGTGGCGTCGCTCCCCCTTTTGGCCACCTTCTCAAAAATCAAGTTATCTTGATTCTCCCCCATCTCCTATATCCCGGTAGCGACCCTCAACCTTAAAATAAAGTATATATCATCTTGACCGCTTCGTTCTTTGTCACGGTCATAGGTACTTTAATAAAAAAAAAAATGAAAAAGCTTTTGCACCCTTTTTATTTTTTTTTTTCCCCTGTAAAAGCTCCCTTGTCTATCGGACAAGAATCTTTTTTACATTCTGAAATTGAGCGACAAGGAACATTCTCTTAGTCTTTCTTTTTTTCTCAGAATGTACCTACTGCAACAAGAAAAAAACTCACCGTAAATCTCCGACACCAGATGGACAGCCACTTGATGTCTCGTATCCGTTTTCCCAGCGGTAGCTTCAGAATTATGTCCTTGTGATCGTAATCGCGGAGGACAGCCGGTTGTCTGAAGTAATTCCCAAAGGAGAATAATCATTCAGATTTCGCATTTATGTATTTTCATCATTACCATGCACACCATTTTTTATCAGATTGCAAGGCTAAATAGTAAACGTGATACAGTCGGTATAAACAAGTAGGATGCTTTGAGTTACAAAAAATGTATATTGATGACGATAACGGTGAATAATGAATTTTAGTGAACGACACCAGCAGCCCATAACCAAGGGATGAAATAAAGCTCAAAGGACTTGTCGTGTGGTAGCATTAACCAGTGATGATTATAGGGGTTTAAACTATGCGGTGATACGAAATAAGGGGATTCCCCGTCCGCGAAAGGAGGTAAATCGTACTTGCATAAAATTTAGTATGTCAAGGACGCAATTAATAAAATAAAAATCATCGTGCTAAAAAGACATAATATAATTTTACGTGGGACTTTTGTCACAGCACTGCGGCTCAAACGTATAGGGATAAATTACTGTTACACTAAATCAGCTACTATACTGACTGAGTAGTGCCGTTGTCTGGATAGGGTACGATGAATCCATCAGGAGTGGGTTGCGTTGTGCTTCCGACCCAGAAGTAAGCATCCGGTCCAGTGCCGTCGTAGCAGAATCCCTTTATGAATATTGTATTCTCGTCAACGGCGTATACGGTGCCCTTGATGCCATGAGCGTACACCCTTAAGTTACCAATAAGTTTTCCATAGTAGTCCGGCCTGTTCCTAGGGTGTCCTAGAAAGGAAAAATCAGGAATATAATTTTTTTGCCCCGTAAAGCGAAGGAAAACGATTCCCTTATAGAAATGCTCGGTCTGACACTGATGATTTTCAGGGGATAGGTAATCGTGCAATATTTTTGGTCTGAATTGGTACCCCCGTAAGTATTTTTCAATGGGGGATGGAATGGACGATGAAGTCTCGCTCGATGCCCATGGACTTTATTTGGCTGGATGGCGGGTGGACCGGGTGTACATTTCACCCTCGTGATATCCACCATATATATAGGATATATACACACGTATATATATATACAGATATATACACGTAGGTTCAAGCACATGGCCGCCCCGATACAAAAGCGTCGCGATGCCTGAGCGAGAACTGTGGGGACGCCATAGCCCACCTACTCTGATTTGCATGAATTTCATTTCATTTGCTCGACAGAGCCGTAAAACTCGCGCGGATTGAGAGAAGACGCGGAAAGATTACGGAAGCGTGTTACTACGTAATGTGCCCCCCGATATATTATACATAAACACGTTACTATATGTCTATAGATATATTATCAAAGCTTCTCCTATCTCGCGGTCTCTCCGATAAAATACTAGATACCCTTCGTTAAAGATTTGACAAAATTTACAGGCGAATAACCATCTAGCAGTCATAAACTGCAGTAGGGAAGACAGTAGAGCATCCATAGGAACGATGGTGAATCATATAAATAAGGATTGAATAAAAATGCTCAAGCGAGAATTACATATATCCAGAAAAAACGTAACGCATAAATGCTTATACAGCGATAAAAGTATTAACAATACTAATTGCTACAGTGTATAAAATTATAATATGCGTATGACCGTTTAATCGACCTGTACTATACTCTGGAAGGCACAGACCTACAGTACGTGCCCTACAAGCATTTGGGGCCTTTAACCGTTTCACAGAGGGTTGTCCCGCGTTGAACAGGCCCGTACCTACTCGAGCATACTCGCGCCAAACCCCAGCTCCACCCACCCCCTGGCAGGATATTATAGTGACGTGACAATGAATGCAATGATCACTATCTGGCGAGGGAGAGCATCTCACCCTATAGCACTAGCCCAGTGCGCTAAACTACCTCCGACTGGTTCCCAAACCATCTCCCCTTTTATTATGGGCCAGGACGGTTATTGGATTGTACCGTGCTATTTGTTGGCTGCCACGCTAATGGATCTATAATCACCATGACCAATTAACGCTCAACGCCACATCGTGTTGGAGCAGTCTGGAAAAATTAATGAATATTATCCGAACGAGTCTCCGTCGAGCTTTGGAACAATTTTGTCTTTCCGCTGTGGAAACTCATTCTCGATAAAAGGTTACAAACAAGTTATATCAACTTGGGCCTTAATCCGGAGCATCTTTCTTGCAGAAGTTCATAACACGAAACGAAGCACCCGAGACTTCACGTAGATCCGAGATATTCGCCTGAAAGCAGGATGTGGTCCTGGAGTGGTGCAGGGAGTTCGGTCAACATTTGAGCGTAGCAAACAACTCTCTGGCCTTCGGTATAGGTCCTATGGGACCATCCGCCAACACATCAGATCTTATCTGAGGGTATCTTACTAAGGCCCCATCCGCATCGCTCTTGGCACAAAGCATATTGTACGTATGCTGGGTATAGATATGCTTGACGAAGTTGGTACCTAGGGGTGCCAGGTTCGGGTGACTCTGAAAACTGGACTTTTAGCAAAGAGACTCCTGGCAAAATTGACTTCCTGAAGTAATTGCGCTGCTGCAGAAGGTCGCGCGAGCATCCGACATTGTTTTTCACTGAGGGGGGTTGGGGGCGTTTGATGTTGCCAGTACACCCGTATCTCTTCTGCTCTTGTTATTCTCTCTTTCTTGCTCTGTACCTTTTTCTCCTCTCCCTTCTCTCGTCCCACGACTACTGTCAGACGCGAGACAGCTTCTACGAAAGTTCGTCTTCATTGTCTTTTAGGCATGGGGTAGACACGTGGAGGACTGGGGACGAGTTCGGGGACGGCTTAGACGTTAACGAGACTAACCGGATTCATTGGGAGGATGAGAGCGAGAGAGAGAGAGAGAGAGAGAGAGAGAGAGAGAGAGAGAGAGAGCAGGAGGTCTGTAGGTGGTAAGGGTGGATGAAAGCTGGAAGGGTGAAGAAACCCAATGGGATGCTAGAGAGGCGAATGATGGGAGGGAAAAACAGCAAAAGCGAAAGATAGAGAGAGAGAACGAGTACCAGGAGAAGGCACTGATTTTAATCAAGATATGGACTGGCAGCAGCCAACAGCAGATCAAGTGAGCCGAGCTATCGATTTTCTAAGTGCTCAGGAGACTGAGCGCTCTTACCTAAGCGAATTCAAAAGCGGCCAACGACTTTTTCTTCTGACTTTCTCGCAGGTGCATCTTTCCGGCTACGCGAACGAAGTCGCCAGAGTTGCTTCCATACGTCTAAAACGATGGTTTCTATGGGAATCCGTCATTACTGCCGGATCGCTGAATCGAAAGAGATGGCAGAACCGATATCGAGGTAGTAGCTACCTATTCGTTTTCAAAGGAAAAAAAATAAAAATAAGAAGCTCCTCAGGTACTTCCGTAGAGGCTCTTTCAGGAAGAGTATCCTCTATATAAGATACGACATTTAGATTGTCACCGGTATTGAGAAAAGATTGCTACTGGAGTCTACTACTAGCTATGTATTTTCTCGGCAAGAATGTACCTAACTGTCAGGGTAAAACGATACTAATATGTCACAGCTGGGTGTCACTTACAAGTGCAGAAAAGACAGGGACTCGATGGCCGACGTTTCCTTATGCCCTTAAATACATTCACCTTCCAATTTAATAGAGGGCTGCTTTGTACGTGCGTAAAGACATCTATCGGGTGATCCGAATAATTGGCGAAGACAAGGCAATCTCTTAATTGAAGCCGCCAGGCAACCAGCCAGCGAGCCCAGCCTCTGTCCAAGTCCGAAGAAGAATATGAATGATATTTTTTGTCGTTTGCCCGTTAAGAGATTAAAGCTGAGGGGGCGCTTCGTTTTAGAACCATTATAGTCTCGAGAGAGGAGTCGGGGAAAGGGAGGTGAGGTCCAAGAGAGACAGAGAGAGCGAGAGAGAGAAAATGGTAGAGTAGTAGTGTAGAAAAGTGAGAAAGCCAAGAATATATATATAGCATAGTATATAGAGGGATACTCGAAAGACAGAGCCGCAGAGAATGCTGAGCTAGCGGAAAGGGTGCCTGGTGATGCGTACCATAGCTACCTCGCCAAATGCATTAAGACCGCCTACCACCCCATTTCGCAATATCGAACTGTCTGTACACTCTGTGCACATACAACGCTTAGGCACAATATATTCGCCAGTGCTCACTTACATCGGTGAATGGTTGTACCCACGCTTACGCACTTTCCGAACGACTCAAGCGAATTCAGAGACCACTTTTCAAGAGAGTTCAAAACAGTAAGAGTTGATGGAATTCAGTTCGTGACTGTAGGTAGTTCCCTGCGAACACCCATCGCCCGGGTCGTTTCAACCCCCTCGTAGAAGGGACTTTGAAAGAAAGGGAAAAGGAACAAAATAAAGAATCGCATCACCAACTAAAAATAGGATCCACCAAGTTTTGTTTTTTTCGTCAAATCAATATTTTTACTAAAACCGTATACACGGGTGTCTCAGCGAGACACTCGCGATACGCTGCATATTGCCTTTTGATAGTGTCTTACTGAGAGATTAAAGAAAAGAAAATTTCAAAACGATAACCAGCCGATATTTGCTTGGACCCCCCCGGCCACGAAGATGGGGGGCAGAGGACGTAGTCTCCGTGGAGATATTGCCCTGTTTGAGTTCCACTGCGATATGAATGTCTCCCCATGGGAGTGTCGTCACATATTGATTGGAATGGGTACAGAAAACCCCATAGACACCGCACGTTCCACCTAACACGAATTTCATGGGAACGGTATGATGGGGGTCCGGATAGTAAACTCCTCTTCTCCTCGAGCCCCCCTTACAAGACATAGAGCATATAGCGTAACGATAATGATATCACATTCGGACATTTGTCATGTACCCGCCTAATATATCAGAACACCCGTACAAATGATATCCTGCTATAGGTACTGGCCTACGTCAGCATCCTTAGAACTCCGCGATTATGATTATTATACTTAATCAGAACGATCTGCCATTGTACACGTATATAAATAAAACTATGCGTGAGTCCTTCTTCGTTACCATATACTGACCTATTCTCTAATCCTTATTCCGATAAAAACTTACTGCGAATCGATTGACGTAGTTTGGTACGGTTAGGGTAACACCGTTAGAAATTGAAAATAAAATAAGTCCGAGAAGCGCACTGTGAACGTCTGGATAACGGCGCACAAAGGAATCCCTTCTATAGTCCTACCCAGTCTACAGGCGATACCCTTCCATTAGTTAAATTGTTTTCCTGATACAATTCGTTTTTCTTTGACCCATCTCCAACTCCGATTCCTTCCAACAGCGCTCCCACCCCGTGGCCTCACGTCGCTTCTTTTCTCTTTAAAAGCGGATAGACGCATCCGATTGTGTTATCGGACTCCATCCTGTAGATATCGAGACCATTTGTATTTATCCTGGGATTAAATTAAAGTGAATATTTATTTCATATTATTCAACGACTATGGACATTAAATAGTACTTTATACAGCTTAAATGTACTTTTCGTGTAACTTTGCAATGCTGATTATTCTCCGTACGGTTTGGTTAGGTACAAGAGACCTGAAGGACGCGCTGTGGGAATATATCTAAGGGTAAATCGGTACTCGTCGTTAATGTTACAGCTTGGTTAAGGGCGATCCAAGGGGGGGATTGTGCTACGATTATCGGTTCGCCACAAATTTCACATCTCTTTCTCGGTCGTCTGGCTAGGTTAGTTCATTCGTGAGACTCCGTGGGGAACTGCACATCTGGCGTCCAAGCAACAAGTACACGCATTAAATGTACATTCGTTACTTGCTTCAATTAAACGAAGTACCCTATACTTGTAAATACAGACTGCCGTGAAATATTTCATAGTGTTATATAGATATATCACGCGTGACCACTGGTTATGTTAATATTTGTCTTTCTACCTGTTGGATTCTCTGACGTAGGTGAAAACCGAGCAAAGAGGACGACTGTTGTGTATGAATTAAATCGGAAAAAAAATTTTAATGGCAATCACGGCCAACGTCAAATATACTTTCAAAGTATAATCTAAAACAAAAATTTTCCTCATAATCCGTTTTACTAAGCTAGAAACCATAAGAGAGGTCCTCAAAGTAAAACCGACTGTATGGTGTAATAATATATAAAAGAAAAACAGCGAAAACTTTGTATTATTAATAAAATATATTCATCAATCCATACCTTTGTTAATCCTGACATTTATTTCGTGAATTAACGTATACAGAAAAGTCCATTCTCATGCAGAAACGTTGTACAGATTATTAGCCTGATATTTAAATAATACCAACGTGCTGCTGTCGGTTATCAGGGCACGTCCTATGATTATATTTGCGACATATGACGATGGAATTAAAATACGTACAAACGCAAGAAACTTTAGTACAGGCGATGTCCGGTCGACTGCGACGTAAGTTCAATTAGCAACGAACGTGCTGTTACATTTACGTATGACGTACCGAGATCAACATATATGCCTTTAACAAGTATATTAAAATATATAAACATATAATAATATATTATTTGATTATAAAATTTTGCTTTATATCTTGCTAGAAATAATGTAGAAACTTTGCGATTATTTTTTTCCTCATTCGATGATTCATGGCTGCCGCATCCGAGTTGACGTAAAGACGTAAAGTCCCAGTAAAAAATCAAATCGTAGCGGTTTAACAGTCACTGCGAAAAAGTGAATGCAAGGCCATAACCTATAAAAAAAATTTCACTTCTAAAACTCTTTCACGCGATACGATCAGCATGCGTGACGTGTATACTTGTAATGATAATAAGAGAAGGAACGATTACCTTGCCTTGCGAGACTAGTTTAATCGCCGTGTACAAATACACGAGTATCTCAACGGGGAACTCTGTAATCTGACGCAAAGCTCGGGGATTGGAAGGAATCGAGCTGAATTCGACAAACGGGAAGTAATCTCAGGGGGGCAGAAGAAGGAGATAAAAAATATTCAAGCTACTCTTGGACTGGACGCGGCTATTCGTGAGCACGTGCAAAAGTATTAGTGCCCGTATAAGTACTCGAGATCTGCAGGTTATTTCAGATGGACGATCCGAAAGGTTTCGAGTCTGGCATTCGAGTGCGGATCGAAGTCCTCTGCGAGGCTTTATTGGGCTCGAACAGAATGTGTATACAGATATACACGCGGAGAAAGGAAAACACGAAGTCAGGAGGAGCGTAGAAAAATCGCTAAAATTACATAAATTTCTTAACGAGTATTTTCGTGTACAATTGTTTCGGTGTTTCTAGTGACTGTACAGCCGTTACCCGTACTTCAAAGGCGGAAACGTTCAGGATAGAGGAGAAAGAAAATGACGTCCTAGTGCCAAAGACAAGGATTTGAGATATGGATTTAACTGATAAGGTACTATGGGTAGTTCCTTTGAGAGTATATTGTAATAAGAAAGGTCTCGGCTGCTTCGTGCAATTTCTACCTTTTTCCTTGACGGACGCTAACGGGCTTCTTTTCGTCCTTAAGAATTTCGCAGGCGAAGAGTATTAAGTTCATTTGTACTTTGATAGTACGTATTACGTTGAATTTGAGAACAATGAAATTTTATAAGACCATTTAATGGTTTTATATATATATATATATATATATATATATATATATATATATATATATTGTGACGTGGCATTTCAGAATGCACGCCACAAAATGTAACATTCTGCGATTTCCGGCTACATCGTGGGGCCCTGAGCGTGGGGAAGGGATTTCGTGACGTTGGACTGTATATATATATTTATATTTTTTCAAGGAAAATCTCAACCGAAGAATTGTTATCCTTGAAAGTCGTGCCTTTCGAATCTTTTGTAAAGGAGGCTGATACGTGGGAATTAGTCCCACGCAAGTACGCAGAAATCAGTATGATTAGTGGTGCTTGTTAACAATTTTTTTTTAACATCAATTTCCTACCACGAAAAATACAAAACTTGAGAAATACGTATTGAAGACTCTTGTGAACGATCCCTAATGTTTTGGCGCAGGAGATCTCTTTTGCTTTCTCCCTACTTCGCAGCACTGGGGAAGCAGTAATCCAGATAAGCCGCTAAACGTTAGCAATTTGAGCGCCGGGATCTCCAGAAACAATATTCCGTACTCGAAACCAACTAATACGGAGTTTAGCTGGGTTTCGTATACATAACGGGTGTCCTCGTAAAAAGTATTTGACGATTTCTTCTTCTCGTGATCCACATGGCGGTAATGCCTCGTCACGCGGGTCAAACTTTCTTCTCAGCCTGATAACGTCTTTCAGTACCATTGACCGTAATCGATTTCAAATATTATCACACAATACGATCATCCGCAAATATTTTTCGCATCACGATCCTAATGTAGCTTGTGAAATCTGATGAAAAAATAATATTTATTTAACGTCTCATCGTTTCCATCATATCCATACCACAATAATAATTAATGACTATAGTATTTTCCCTCGAATAATATCCATTAATATATATATATATATATATATATGTGTTATATACACATAAATATATATCATATACCAATTACCGAAGTTTCTCTTACGTGAAAATAAACAAGTACCCGTATACAAAACTATCCGAGGCTCTAACAGACTTTCATACGCCTACACCGGACACATGAAGAATTCTAAAAGCTTCGCTAGTGTTATATACACATAAATATATATTATTTATTTAACGTCTCATCGTTTCCATCATATCCATACCACAATAATAATTAATGACTATAGTATTTTCCCTCGAATAATATCCATTAATATATATATATATATATATATATGTGTTATATACACATAAATATATATCATATACCAATTACCGAAGTTTCTCTTACGTGAAAATAAACAAGTACCCGTATACAAAACTATCCGAGGCTCTAACAGACTTTCATACGCCTACACCGGACACATGAAGAATTCTAAAAGCTTCGCTATATGCAATCTCATATAGAATACGTATCGACAAATCTGTCACATCCGAACTTTCTCGACACGTAGTTTTCTCCATAGTTCGCCAATCGCCGTAAACTTTTTCCTCTTAACACGTCTTCTCGTTTGTTTCCCCCTTTTTTTCCGAGATGCAGCAAAAAGAGAATCTAAAGACTTACAAGGTGCCGAAGAACGTTCGCTATGGTTTTGGCGGACACGAAAAAAGAAAAAAATCTGACAAGACCGGACCAAGCGATCAAGCGTGTATTCGATAAGAGAGCGTATCAATGTTCTCAACCAATAGAATGGGAACATTCGTACAAGTGTTCCAGCATGATAAAACTTGTGAATCTGCTTTGAGAAGCACTGAGTGAAAGTCCCCTAGAAAAACCAGGCCACGGTTTCGTATCTCCGTGCGAGCACCGAGCATTGTGCAATTACCGTGGCGCATATACTCGCGTTTACTACACGTTAATGCATTTCAACGTGCAGTAGTCGCGAGAATACGCGGTGTCTCTTATACCTTCGATGTAATTTACATTGTAATTGTCGAAAGTTTTCAAATTAAGCGGGTCGTCGTGGACCTCAAGATGGCATTCTGGAAAAGCATTGCGCTACCACTGTGCCAAGAGAAAATGTTCAGGTCGCGATAAGAACGTTTTAGATCAATCATGTCTTCATTTATATGGTGAAAGTTTCAACGACTTAGAACATTATTCGATATATACTGCATATCAGAAGAGACTTCCCGTGAGAATGGAAATTAGATCAGTACGCTGGAAAGCGATACGGTGTCAAGCGGTAGAGAAATTTAATGTGTGGATTACAAGAATTTTTGTTGTATCATCTATAAGATATTTTGGAAGAATATTTTACGTGGTATTATTTGTAATTAAAATGCAAAAATTTCATATGTCTCGAGGAAGATAACGGTGAACAGGGAAATAATGATTTTGTTTTCAATATTAAACGTTCGAGTGCCAGGGATCGTGGGAAAAAAATCTTATCGAATAGTGCCACGTAGAACGATAACGCTTGTTTAATTTGATTTCGAAAAATTTAGTGGTACTTTTTTACTTGAAATATGAACAGCGCTGTGTGGCCCTCGAATGATTATAGATTAAATATCGATTTTTTATACAATCGAAGTGCCTCGTATATTATTTGAGTAAAAAAGATTTTTTAACACTTACCAAAATGCGGCACGACGAAGGTGCATAAAATCAAGCAAGAAAGGACGAGTAAATTCGTCGCCTTCATTTTCTGTTCTCCAAATCTCTTCGACACCGACCAACGGGCGATTCTTCGGCTACTGCTGGTGGCACGCACACACGATTACACACGCGCACTTACATTTGATCTGCAATCCAAGAAAATCACAGGTACTACTCCTGTTCCCTTTGTAAACAGTTTCTTCAGGATAGTCTATAACGCGCGACGGATATTAAGCGATTCGTGAAGGAATTAAAAAAAAATGTATACGTGTCTCGATAAAAATGAATAAATATATCTTTGCTCCTCCAACTCAAGAAAATTGTCGACAAATGTAGAGAAAAAAAAGAACAAAGAGAAAAAATATATAAAAAAAAATTCTACGCACGTTTCAATGTGGCGCGTTAAAAATTTGGAAACAAAAAAATGGAAAAACAAGTCACTTTGATTACGATCGATTTTCAAAGCACAACACACTTTGTCGCTGATCCTTTCCGTACGAAGGTCCGTACGATAGTAACCGTTCTCTTAATGTTATCCGCGATCTCCCAGAGAAAGACGATCGCGCGGCAATGGCCTTTCGCGTATCCCTACAGTTATATACACGGTCATCGATCGGAGCGTGTGGATTCACATTAAAGTGGGTCGATGGCGGTAGGTAACTCCTGCGGGTATGGATTGTCGTCACGAGCAACGATCACAAATCGGTACCAGATAACAAAGATGAGAAGAATCGATAGCGAGAAAAGAAACACACCAAAATTCGAATAAATAAAAATCACCCTTAGTATTCGATCGAATAGTTTTTTTTTTCAAATTTGAGTTATAAAAAAAATAAATAAAAAACCATAAATTAACACAGTCTCTACCTAGATGTTGGAGCAGCACCGTGCGTCGCGCGCGTTTCGGACGTGAAAGGACTGAGGTTACCAAAACCGGATATGTATTGGCGAACGTGAAAGCTCCTCCCATTCAGGGAGAGTGGGAGGGTTCGTAGGGTGTCGGAGCTTGCGCAATGACGACGAACCAAATAGGAAGCACAACCCCTTCCTTGGCTTTTTCCCAACTTTGGAGCTTGCAACCCCTGCTCTTATACGCCCTCAGGTGCCCCGACATAGCGTAAGCCGGTAGACGCGGCTACCCACGGATGGGAAATTTTGAGCTTACAACTTGCAGGGATGAAGAACAGCAGAAAGGCATAGTCAGGCAGCCAACGGCAAGGGTTAAACAGTAAGCACATTGGTGACAAAGTTCTGCGTCTTCTTTTTCCATGCACAAGTATATGTATATTTTGGACTATGTGATAATTATATAATGTTATGAATGCATATATTTACATATACACAGACCATGTGGCGCTTTACATCAAATACAATTAATTAATTGAGTGTGAATCTTCGTAACCTGTAACGTTATTATTTAATTCCAGGAAGCTGTATGCTTGCTGTACTATCTAGTTGTTAGCTTCGTTTGGACCACAAGCTCCGCAAGCTCTTTGAACGTCCCCCTAGTGACCACGGTAACCTACTGTGTGTCTATGTCGCACTCGGATACTCATCAGGAAAGTTCCTGAGTTCTGGATTCGGTGCAACGCAGGATTCTATTAGGATACGAAAGCTGGTCTATTTGAAACTCGAGAGCTCTAACTAACTCTTACCAAGGATTTATCAAAGAGCACTTTTTATTCGTTAGTAAAATTAGTATTTATGTTATATGTATAGGTGATTGCGAAAGGTCGAGGATATACGAAGAATTGTATAGAAGTTATTCGCAATTCTAAATATCATTGATATTCAGTGCCAGTTGTCACGTGATCCATTTTAGGCTGCTGGAACGTGTATTCACACTTCCGCATGGTAATGTGTCTACGCGGAGGTTTACGCAGGAAGAAAGAAATAGGGAGAGAGAGAGTCCGGTAACATCCGTCTTGAGGAATTCACAAACTCGGGTGTAAATTGCATGATCGTCGGTGCGAACGTAACGAATATCGTATTTCCTGCGCACCACGGGGTAGGAATGACGCTGAGGGAACAAAGCCAGGATGAAAAACTCCGTCCGGTTTCAGTCGGCATTACGAAAAAGCTCATTCGTGCGGTTCTAAAGAAAGCGACCAACCTGAATTTCAAATTAGTCATTCAACCCTTACCAGAATTTCAGTCGCCAGCTATTGGTCTCTTCTCTTCAATTTCTTTCTCGTTTCTTTTGCCATGGACGTTCTTTCGTCAAAGAGTTGAGAAGCTCACTGATCACGAATATTCATCAGATCAACGCCAACGGCGGAGCGTAAGGAACTGGGTCGGATTCGGCGGGAAATTTGAATTTCTTCGGATGACAAGACACTCGTACCCGGTCTGTGTCTGATATAAAATAAGGGATGCAACTTCAAGAGAGTTGGTGGTGACTCGACTCGATGTGTTAGAAGAGGGAGAGGGATGGGTCGCAGGGGTGTCGTGCAATTAAAAAGGCTCGAGCAAGCTCAGCCATCCTTTTGTTTAACGGTGAACGTTTTGAATTTTGCCGTCAACGATATCCCTACGCTTCGGCACGACGGAGCCGTTCTCTGGGCTTTCTTTTAATTTTTTGTCTACCCTTATTTTACTTTTATCTAGCTCTCGCGCTCTTTTTTTGAAAATCGATCCAGCCGCGATTCGCTTGGAAATCACGGGATTTTTCCGATCCACGGGGGAATTTACTCCCGTGTGTGATTCTGGCTTCGCGCGTCAAAATTATAACGACGGTTAATGGAATAATGAACGTCCTGTTTATTTAATGGTCTCGCGATGCGCTCACGATAGACGCTTTTATCCGATTCGTTTACTATTTTTATGCCTTTCGTATCGGCGGGTGTGCAGCCAGTATAAATACTCTATCGCATAACGCGTTCATTAAAGGACGTGTGAATACAGTATGATAATACGTAACACTAGCAAAGAGTCATGAGTCACAGATTATTTAATGGTACAAAATAAATTTTAAAAAGGAAAGAAAAATAAACGATAAGTAACGCAGTGATAATATTTTAAAACTGGGTCGACTGGGTCCATTGGATCGATGCGATCCGATAATCCATCGATGTGTATGCGAATTGGTTAAATTAAAGATAAATATGTTTAAGGCAAAAGTAGTAATCGTTAGCGAACACGTAATGGGAATTCGAGTTGATGTTCTGCTTAAAGTAGATTTTTATTTGGGCAACCGCCATTTCGCTTCGGGCCTTCAAACAGAAAATCGATAGAACCTGACGTCATTGATAATTACGGGACGTCAAATTTCGTCAGACTTAGCCCAGAGGCAACCCCTACTCCTCTTGTCAATCTTAAGAGATTTTTATGACAGAGCAAATACCAAGGTAACCAGAGAAAGAGCTTGTCATACGATAACCTACACTGTAGAAACTTTATACTGCCACTTTTCAACCCCTAAATATTGTCAAGTATGAGAATACCGGTAGAAAAATTTCTCCAGATATTTAAATTGGGTAATTTTGATTTTGCTTGATCGTGGTATGCAATAAAGCCTTTAGCAGTCCGAACCTAACCTACAAATTACAGATTAATGCATATCGATCCTGGCGTTTCTTCTAAAAGGACGAAAAAAATTTAATATAGTATATCGACTGAACTGTCAATAGTAAAAGGAGCAACCCCATATTTCCATCCATATAAATTTATCATATTATCATCGAATGGTCAAATAAATATTACATACGTCCTCATTACTCCCAAACACCAATAAACGATCAAGGGACACCTAATAATCATGAACTATAATACAGCCAATATACGGTTTACACAATTGCACTACCCAGGAGGCAATTCGACTTGATTCTATTAAGTGAAAGCGATATAACAACTATAAATTGTACGTATAGAAGCAACTACATTTAAAAATACACCCAGTACATAGATAGAAAATTCCCAGAAGGATGGTCAACGTTGGACACCGTACTTTTCACCCCTTTTTACAAGTTTCTCTCCATTACTGGGGACAGAAATGGCCGTGCATTGTGTTAGAACTTTAATATCCTTTGACAGGAGGGTTTCGCCTAACTCCACGTCGACACGTGACCACTGTATTTATATAATAGACTAGCCGGCATCCTGCATAATACTTATATACCTGATGGATCTTTATATATATAATATAGATGGGCTGTATATAATGTACCAAGAGGGTTGAAAGAAAGGGAAGGAAGTACAGAGGGTATGAGGCAGCAGGAATAATGCGCTGCTCACACCGGTAATTTAGTGTGTGTATATATAAAAAAGGACAGCCATGGTATTAATAAATAAATAAATATATATCTGCACACCTGTATATATACCTGTATATCCACCTATCCAGTACATACGTACATCGGCCATATGAAAAAGATAATTAAGAGAGACGGGACAATAGACGTTCCAATCAAAATTCAGAGCAGACAGCATTGTGTGTCCTCCCAGGCGTCACCTTCCTCTTCCTAACTCTCCACAATGAAGTCACTGAGTTTTTCCATCATTAAGACAGTTGGTACGTCTTACAAAGAAGTATGATTCTCAGAGATATATTGTAATTGTATTAATTCCATGATAATTCTGCTACCATTCGTTGTCATTTTACTTAAGTCAGGTGAGTTTGCCGGTGCTTAAGAAAAATAAAAACTTAAGAAATTTCAAGTATAAATTCATTATAGTTTACTGATCGTTCGTTTAATCCGAACGTCACCGAAATCTAACCTTGCAATAATTAATTCATTAGAGTACCTTGAGCCAAGCATATCACAGCATTCACCTAGTTACATAAGTAGGTGCAGAGCAGAAGGCTGGGAGATCGCAGGTTTATTGATTTGGTTTTCTCTCACAGTAAGTTTTTTCCCATCCTTATCCGACTCTCACCAGGGAATTCCCTAGTAGGTACTCAGTCGCGGGTTACCGCAGGAACTGGGACATAACCTCTACTCTCACTGAATCCGGGACGGGACAGAGACGTCAACCTGTCGATGGATCGAATTGGCATTCGAGAGACCCTACATACTTTTGAACGTTCGAAATGGACTCGAATGACCGATGGATATTACTTCTAAAACAGAGAGAGAAAAGGCACAGTCAACGAGTTACGCCTAAAGTCCAATACCCAGCGTTGCACTCGATCCTGATTGAAGGATTACGCTTGGGACATCGCAAGGCGGGATTTTTAATTTTCCACGGAAGCTTTAGAAACAAGATAAAGGGAAAGCTCACAAATGCAATTAATCCATGACTCTCTGGCGACGTCTCTTTCTAGGATAGAAAGAGGAAATGTGTACCCAATAATACTGTTTACCCATGATCCACCTTCCTTCCATTCCACACTAGACTCTCGTTGCTCCTGAATCTCTACTATACTGCATCCCACGTGCAATAGCCGGCGGCTACTTTTTATTATCCATGCAATATACTCTATGCACGATAACTCTTATTTTATTTGAGGGTGACTCCCCTGTCGGCAAACAGTTTAGGATTATTGAAGTCCGCTCAGCGTACTGCGAAAGCACGGAACCACCCTACACCTACGTACGTATCGTTATATACCAACTGTGAGAGATATATCTGTTTAAATAAATCGTGGCTTAGGCCAACCTTTATTCTTAAGCCTCGACGAAAGGCCCCGTCAAAAGGAATTCCTAAGACCGTTCCTTTATGCTCCCCAAATGATTTCACCCTACGTAACATAACCTATACGAAACTATCGAGTATTCGAGTAAGCGAGTCGAAGTTATCCTTGATACAGATATAAATCCCTCCATGGAAATAAGCCTTGCCATGGAATCCTTCCAAGATCGCTCTTAAGCGATCCGTGATAGGATAATAATTGAGTCGAGCTTGATATCGAATTCAATCTTGTGTAGGGTTCTGTTATATGTTTGCTTACATGTTGGATACCTGGCCTACTTTATACACTATACAGCATAACTCAATGTTTGAGTACATACTGCGTACGTTATACTAGTATCGCGATTACATTAATGAGACGGTATGTTTAACTGTGAATCTAGGTCAATATCAAAAGTATAGCTTGGTGACGCCATAAAATCGAATGCCAGTAATGGAGAATTAATTAATGTAACATATAATAAACTTGCCGTACAACCAGTTCCAAAAGTATTTCAATGTCGTGTCCAACGAATCACTTAACGAGGAGTAACCAAAAAGTGGTTAGAGGTATCTGAAATATAATATATATGACATATATGTATACATAAAATATATGGTGGACTAGGGAGCAAAGTTTTCGCGGTTTCAGGCGCTTCTCGAAAGTTGACTAAGTACATGTGGGCTTTACGAGTACGAAAGATGATTTATTAGCAGATTTAACCAACTTGATTATTTTATATTATAGGTATATGTATATATTCGCGTGCAATGTCAGCACTATTAAATGAAAATGGTTAAATCTGCTAGTATATCACATGTTAAATATACGTACATAGAATATTGTTTAAAAAATTCTAGCGAAAGGGACAGTCCGTCGAAATAATGACGTGTGAACGGTTCGAACGGTAACCTCTTTACAGCCTGGAGACACCCAACCCTAAATTGCATTTGAATAAAGCAATTTGTGCACGCTACGTAATCTAATTCAGGCTCCTAGCTAGTTTTCACTACGCGAAAGCGCCGATAAATCAACCAGTTGCGCCGCATTGCCCTAGCACGCCCCTACGATGTAGCCAAATGGGTTAATTTCATTGTGCGCGGAAACTGTGACGGGGAGAAGAAAGGAGAAAGATCGTCGACTCTAAAGAGTCTAAAGGGAGCTGGGAATATGTTTACGCGGGATACTCCATTTTGAATATACACAGGAGAAGCAGTTTAATAGAATATTTGAAGAATCAAATAACGGCATCACGAAGCACATGTTATTATTACAAGAGACGTAGATACATATAACGAGTAACGTGGGAGGTTAAGGTATATTAAAGAATAAGAGAAAAAGATGAGTCTATAAAATGGCTAATATTTATTTCCGATTCCTTTTTGATATTTGAAGAGAGAGAACCAGCATTATCGTCACGACAAATAAAAAGACAGAATTTAAGGCCCGAGTCAAAGAAGTTCGATGGAAGCGTATACGAAATGAAAATGTAAGGACAGACCAAGGCAGGTGAGACAGCTATTTATACTAACAAATTACATCGCTAAACACCGAACAGCCAAAATGGAAAGCATCGCATGTATGTAATATATACACATATATATATGGTTATAATATATGTATATGATGTATTGTGTGTTGCTACTATGTTATATTACGTCCCTCGCGCAGAGGTACAGTCAAGTAGATCGAAACATCTATGCCGAACATCTAAACACCAGACAGCCATCTCACCACCCGGGACAGGCCTCGCTCTCACGAAATTCACGAGAATACGAGCTCCTCTTTCGGCTTTTTCTATACTGATTTATATTTTGACTCTGTTATAACCTATAAAGCTGACGCACTGCTTGTTCTTATGTACGTTCGGTGTAGTGGAACAGTTGAGCCGTGGTGCCACCTGACAGGCTCCGGGAAATTCGCGAAAATGAAATTTCCTCTGGTCATGCGCGAGAACTTTAATCGAATTTCGGGATGCAGTGCCGACAACAGGCCGTTTCAACCCCGCTACTATTGCGCAATACTTCCCTCCTCGTTTAGCTAAATCCCGTGCAAGCTCTCCGGACCCACCGATATATCTCCAACATTACATTATTTCGTTAATCCTATATGAACATATGCATACGTCGACCTTGCTAGTTACGACTATTAAATTCACATTTAAAAACGTTTTTATTTTACGATCGCTAATAAATACCAATGTGGGAGTCTGCGTGCATCATTCAAGATGTCAGGGCGCATGCCGGCGTTATTTACTTTAAGATTGAACTTTGACGTCGATATTCTCTCTTTAGGTATTTTCTGTTCGAAAGTATTTGAGTTAAAGTTTTTAAGTGAAATGGTAATGTTACCAGCATATAGTATGCAGCACAATATTGGAAAACCAGTTAATACTGATTTAAACGAGTACACTATAGTTTTATGTCCTTATAAATGTCGTTGAAGTAGGTGCTACCATCTAGCGAAATTTTCGTAATGTTTTATGAGGTTTTGTGATTTACCGAAATATGGTTATAAAGTAATTTTGTACGTTTTTTGAAAATTATTTAATCGTATTGTGAATATAAAGTATAGTTTCTCGTAACGAGGATAATTGGGAAATAACACATTCTTCCTGGTCAGCCTATTTGAATTGTTTATCGCGGTTGCGGTTAAACTGGCAGTTGCGTTATCACGTGGTGCCACTTCGGTTTGTCCGTCAAGTTGAAATAATGGCTACTCCGCTTAAGAAACGTGAGCTGCAAGAGAAAAATGAGAAAATTCGCGAAAATGGCGAAGATACGAGTTCCTCCGAGAATGAGGATAATGAGAGTGACGTTGTTGAAGATTTGGTGAGTGGAATTAATATTTACTAATAAAATAGAAGGAACTATCTGATGTCTAACCTCTCTTAGAAACACGAGGTCGTCAAGAACGTTCAATGCTCTACATTTTTTTTTACTATCTATCTACATAGTTTACCACTGTTAAAATAATTTAATCATAATCTATTACTTAATTCGGTGTATATATTGCTATATATTTCTTTTTAGGTAAAATCTGGATTTGAAGGAACTTTCCTTTGTATTTTGTACACACGCGTTATACTGGTTATCATGTTTAAGGCGGTTTTGCTAATCAATTTTTTAATATTTTTCTCTTTCTAGGGTATGGAAATTCAAGTCGACTTTGAAGGACGTAACCCTCAAGATCCAGACTACCATGGCATAAAGACATTACTGCAACAATTATTTTTGAAAGCGCACCTAGATTTAGGTGGTTTAACAGACTTAATTATTTCTCAAAATTATGTTGGTTCCGTGGTGAAACAATCAGATGATGAAGATGCTTCCGATGACGAAGATGACGACAACAATGACGTTTTTGGAATCACAACCGTAGTTAATATTTCAGACAGACAGGTAGAAGCAGTTGAGTCACACAAATTCATAATATTCTCATTCTTTCATTTCTGTGATTATTCTCAACTGTATTTATTTAATTGCACACCAACATTTTCTTTACAGAATGTTCCATGCATACAGCAATTACGAGACTTGTTAAGGCAACTAGCAAGCGAACATGCAACGGATACTGTAAATACAATGATCAAAAATGTTCTTGAAAATGATTCAGCGCCATTAGGTTTATTAATCAATGAAAGATTTGTAAACATTCCGGCTCAAATTTCTGTACCACTCTTGGAGAATCTTGTTTCTGAGATGAAACGTGCGACTGTCAAAAAAATGCCCTTCAACTTTTCGTATTACATTCTAATCTGTAAAGTTTATAAGCAGGCTAAAAAACAAAGTAACAAGAAGTCAAAGAGCAAGAGAAAAAATGCTTTAGAAGAACCGGAAATCTTGTGGAGTAATCCGGAAGAGGAAATCTTTGCTGAGGAGGCAACATTTAGTTTTGAATTTTCTGTTGAGAAAGATACTGACAGTGGTTTGTCTGGTACCTGGTCTGAGAATGATGATGAAATGATACCATATAGAAGAGTTCTATTGTTCGAATCATCCAAACTTCAACCAATCATTGACAAAATAAAAAATCAGCTTTCCTAATTGATGAAAAAAAAAAGAGAGTATCGAGAGTATCCTCATATCCTAGACATCCCGGCGAGAAGTGTATATCCAACATCAATTAAAAGAAGACCATATAACTTTACAGTATCCAAGCTTAACGAAATGTAGTCGTTACAGATAATGTATTAAGTTTTTTGATAATATAAATTGTTTTGTAATGCTCTTCAAAATCTTATAAAAGTTCACTTACTTACCTAACATTCATCTATAGAATAATTATGGAAATGAAGATACGAAAGATAATTGGATTCACATTTAATCAGTCAATAATTTGACGATTTGCTGATAACATAATTCCTTGATAACAGACTAAATCATCATGAATATAAAATAAATAAGTTTGTCTCGTGACAATAACGCAATCAATACTGCAGATACAGTCTATGCATATTGAATATCATAATTCATATACAGTGAAATATAAAAAAGAAATAGAAACGCTTGGAGCAAGCGCATACATAAATGTAATACTTATTATAATCTTACTGTTAAACTAACTAGGCATCTTTAGGTCTACAATGTTAACCGAATTTTATTAAATTAATAAAACATTCATTTACGTTACGTAGGCACATCAGCAAACTTAAACGATTGTCTGGTGGGTTTTGCGCGTCGTCTCATTGTTCCAAGTATACTTAGCATTTCGGAAACCGCAGGCGGCGCGGATTCCGCTTCTTGTTTACGTTTCCTTTCCTCTTCCCTTTGTTTCTGTAATGCAAATATGGTAAACGCTTTAAGAAATTACACAAGGACGTAAAAATCTAAAATAAAACACTCACGTCTGTCTGCTTCAGAGTAAATCGGCCACCTTTTATTTGATTTATGATATCATCAATAGCTGAAAGTGAAACGAGAAAAACACTTAGAAACCTCATAACAAAATATTACAAAAAAAACTCGAGTAAAGCGCAGAATCAGAATCAGTATCGCAGTATCAGAAACCAAATGCGAGTCGTAAAATAAAAATATTTACCAGGCTGCTGAATCACAGTGGGTGCCTTTTTAGAAATTCCTAACATATTCTCCATATCAGTGACACTGCTGCTTTTCTCGGAACTCATATTCTCTCTTGTCAGCAACTTGATGGATGACTGATTATTGGCAAACATAGGTGGCGGAGGTGGTGGTGGCAATGGTGGCGGCGGTGGCCGAGAATTCTTCTCCTCCATATCAGCAATCTTCTCTTCCAATTCGTGAACGAGACGTTCAAGGTTCTCTACGGATTTCTCAGCCGTCTCCGCTCTTTGAACGACGACCTCAAGTTCTGCCTCAGCCAATTTAAGTCTCTCTTCTAAGATCTCAAATTCGATATTCGATTCCTTTTCTTCTAATTTATCCTGTAGCATCTGTATTTGCATCTCATGACTCTGTTGTTCCTCTTCCAGGTGCCGTTTCAAGGACTCTACTTCCTGAAGGACCGTCAGCAATCTGCCATCAGGATCCTCGGACACTTCCGCCAGGAGCAAAGCGCTTTGATGCGCCAGGACATTGCGTTCCTTTTGTGCCTATTAAAAATCAATTTGATTAAGACGTTCTCAAAGCAAATTTATTTATACGTACTCTATCCGCTTCGAGTTTTATCATTTTCGCGTTTTCACGTTCTCGGTCACATTGAGCTTTCAAATTCTGAACTTCTTCCGCGACCATTCTCGTGACTCTTTCCATGTTTTCTCGTTGCATCTGTAACTCTTTCATCTTCTCCTCCCCTGGAATAACATTTGCATCAGTTTTAACAACAAATCCACTAAATATCACTAAGTAAATTTTCCGAAATTTACCTTCCTTTCTAAGAGCACGTTCTGCTTCTAGCTGTGCTGCAAAAAGTGTTGCCTGTTCCTGAGCCTCAAATTCCTGAAGTCTTGCGGAATTCAGTTCAGTTTGAAGTCTTGCAACATCCTGACTAAGATCTGAAAGTAAAAGACATTACAAATTGTCTTATCGTAATCGGGGATAAGCCAATGCGATAATCAGCGTTTTGGTTAGAGCACTTAAATGGAAGTTAGAATGCAATGAGGATACCTCTGACGGTTTCCCTGAGTTCTTCGATGTCATCCGGATTGGAATCAACTTCATCAGATATATCTATGTCATCTACGCCCTCAGGATGCACTTGAAGAAACTTCTGCGTTAAAACTTGCGACTTCCTTTTGAGTTCGCGATTCTGCTTGTACCACTAGAAATTTATGGTCATCGTATCAGGAAAGCGGAAATGACTAGAGAACTGTATAAATATCTCGTAACAGTGATGGTTAGGTAGCAGTCAAGTGACTTGAATACATGAGTGGTGTAACGATTTATAGTTAATGATTTATCAATCGTACTTGAGAAGCTTGTTGCATTGCCTTGTGCATTGCACCCGTCTCAATGTCATATTGATGTTTTAGCTGTTCATACTCTTTACAAACTGCTTCTGATACTGTAAAAGAGATACTTTATTAATTATAGTCATAGATCATTTTATGAGATCATTGATTAGATATTTTCTTTAAAAAAAGGATCTCTTTTATGGCACATACCTGTTCGCAATTTGTGCAATTTTTTATCCTTGTCCTGCACCTGCGTCTGCAGGGTATTATTTTGTCTCTGTAATTGCTGCAATTTTCTTTCCAAATCCACATGTTCCCTATTAGCTGACACACAAAATGATCCCTATTAGTATAACATTTAATTTTTCACCTAATATATTATTCAGCATATAATCGTGTACGTATCATAGAATAAATATAAAATTACAAGCCAAAATAAATGACAAATAACTTATAATCCACTCTCAATAACACAGCCCAGCCTGTTACATTTATATGAACCGTATATGACAGTATTAAGCATAACATTAAAATACAAAAGTATCCATAAGATATAAGTAGCTCCAATTATAACCAGGCGAATCCAATTTCCGGCCTACATATAATAACAGAGAAACCGCGAAGGCACGCAGAAATTATACCAAGAAACGTAGAACAGCGCCGCGTGCCACGCATATATTTACAAACACGTATGTCGTAAGCAGCTAAAACAGGCAGGCAGTCTTATACCATTCTCAGCAATTCCGAAGTAATGTCATCATGTTTTCTTGTCGAATCAATTATTACGACATTTAATGAAAGGTACGATGAGCTATGTGACGACTTGATGCAGCCAGACACGTGCCATATATATATCATATTACTCTAAAGCTACTATTACAGTATAGGAATCGTATAGCAATGATTGTCAGTGATTATTAACTTGACCACGTATGAACTGTGTGACTAATAAACTTAATTCTCGTTCAGCATACAGGAATGAATCACTGTAACAGCTAGCGAGGGCACCCGTCAACTTATTAAAACCGTGAAGCGTGCCCTTGTAGTGAACAATGAGCAGCTGCAGGAAATTCACGAAGAAAAAGTCATAATTGTTACCAGCTTCAGATTTTTGCAATAGCAATTTACGCCGTTTTTCCGAGTCCTCATATTTGCTCTTCCATTTGCTCTCCATAAAGCTGTTACTTCTATTGAGCTTCTGTGACGCATCCATCCTCTTGACATTAGTCAGCCTGTCGTCCATTGATCTAACCTCATGATTGGAAGACGTCGAATTGCTACGAGACTTGGCGGTGTAAACTGGCGAGTCGACTCTTTCGAAAGAAGCTCTCTGAGCAGTTACTGAAATCGACCTTGTACTCCTCTCCAAGGATTCTCTACGCTTTGGAGGACATCTTTCTTGAAGTTTTGCACTGTTGATCTTTGGTACCGGAATCAAGGAATGATTTGCATTTGGTGGTGTCTTCGGTGGTTCTGTACCCAACATTATGCTGATTTCAGTCTTGTTCATGATTGCTGTTTACATAAGGGATACAGAATAGTGATTATTAAGTGAAATTAATCGTTATCGTTAAAAAATAAGTAGCCGCTATGAGAATTGGATCAGATAAAATTTTTAGGATTAAGGCATTTGTTTTTGATATTACAGAACCTGCGTGTCTTTTCATTAGATTAGATTGGATGAACGTTTCCTTGATAACCGTGTGAATGACTTGATTCTAAATATAATTCACATCACAGAACGGAAGGGGCAAGGGGGATATAAATGTTTCAACCAAAGTACACCTAACGCCCGAAGGGTTAATAACTTTAGACTCTTTTCTAAAAATAAACGTATTAGAGACGGGCCTCCTGAAACCAAGCTACGTTCGAAATAGTCTACCCTGTCAAATCTCTCCTTCCTTTCCATCTTATCCTAAACTTCTAAGAATATTTCTAAGAACCAACCCATCCATCCCTACCATGGTACACAATAACAATGATTAATCTCCACGTTCCATTGACAAATTTTCAATTTCATTTTCGATTTTTCAACTTCTCCAAATAATTCTATCTAATCCAATATCCTTAGATACCATCACGGATACCTTATTTCATAAAGACCACGGCTGTCACTTTCAATTACACTTTTTCACTTGACAATTCAAATATCCAAATCTATCAGAACACACGTGACACGGAATTATGCTCACTATAAATCTTCCCACGTGTATCCAGTTCACTATTATTACTTTAAACTCCTCAACACGTTATTTCAAAGGAATGTCTAGCTACATGTTCCAGTCGGTAAAAACGAGACAGTGAGTACATCAAGAGTCGAGTACTCTAAAAGCTTTCTTGTACAGTATCTTTTTCTTGGAAAAAGAAAAGGAAGAAGAAGGACCTATATGGAATCACGCGAAAGACCGACTCTACTTCCACCGCGTCCAGCAGTGTACTGTGCAGTTCTCCGTGGATAATTTCACGTTATCTTGAGCGCTCTGCTGTAGCGAGAAGCAGCTACGAGAATGTGTACCTTAAAGAAAGAGACATTTTACAGGCTGGCTTACTAAGAACTCTTTAAGCGTGTACACACCATAGAGAATGTGCAGTGTACACGTTATAACCTTCAATATCCCATGTTGCTCAACGATTTACAATGATTTGCTTGACGTTCCCTTGTGAAAGTGAATATTATAATACGTACTGTATACTAGACAATAAGTATATATTACGTGCAATAAAGTGGTGTTAACCTCAAAGCTTATAAAGAAAATCAAACAAATAAATTATTGGATTTGATATGTTCTTGTACGCCTACTCATAGATTATAATCACGAATCGTATACAGAAGAAAGGATTATGACTTTCTATTTCTATAGTGGTCGTCAATCAAATATTTATCGCTTTAGATATTATTGCTTGTTTTATTGCTTTTCAAATTCAAAATTCATCTCTGATATTTGAAACTGGATTCAGTTTATGACGTCTATGTAAAAATTAACCTAAGAGATTAGTAACTCGGTGTGCCGATAAGACATGCCAAGTGTGCATTCTTTGTTCGCTATGTTTTTTTACATGGAGAATATAAATTCTTGTGAATGGCGACATGGTTGCTTCGCAGATGTGTACACAAGTGTATGTATATGTATAGTTTAAATGTCCACGTATAAGGATACGCGTAATTGAGTCATGGTTTCTGAATAATCGGTAGTCGTTTTCTTTGTCTGGTTTTGAGGAAAGTTAAGTACCAGGATTCGGGAACAGAGCGAAGGATGTTTAAAATCCAAGATGGCTGCTTTTTACTCATCTTTTCGTTTTACTCTTCAAAAAAGGCCAGAACACTTTGCGTGTACGAAGGATATAGTGTGTAAATATGGACATAACGAGTCGGCGCCACTTTCACGCGTTTTACGACGTGTGGGGATTCCTGCAGTAAAAGGGTCGGCGTCGAGAAAAAGGAAGGTTGCAAGTGCACTTTTTTTTGCATTCGCGATATTTCTACTACCTACTGATATATATATATCGAATTCATGGACCTTTTTTTAAATTGCAGAAAGAAGGGGGAATGTTATTAAGATATGAATCCCGAGTCGTTTATTCTGACGAACATTTTGGATCCATGCAGAACTGCGCTCGCGCTTTGTGACATCATTAAATGGCTTTATTGTCTTAAATTTATTCCCCTCCTTGTCATAACTAGAGACATGACTCATCTGCTCATTAAATATCTACAGGGTGTACTGTTTTTCGCGGAAGTTACTTTTGATAAGCGAACCTCTACTACGCAAAACTATAATCAGCCAGGAGGGAATTAGACAATGGCGATTCTCATACGCTGATCAAAGATTATCGACCTTTGGAATATACATATATCGATTGGGATTACTCTTGATGGTTACAGATATAGTTAGTCTTAATAATAGATTAATGATTCAATGTAAAATTACATATCTACATAAGATTCTGCCTTCTGCAAAATCTGCCTTTACTATATTTCTATAATAATGGTCATGATAGGATACGTGGAACAGAAACAAAAAAAAACTGTTTGTAAGACTCAGAATTGTTGATCGGATGAATGATTAATAATTTCACGTAGGCAAGAGCAATTAGTTCTAATCTTTAATATCCTAATTCAAGCATGACGATGGCCGCAACTGATTCCAGAGAAAATAAAAAGAGAATATAATAGCAAAAAGGAACATGTAAAGAACAAGCAGAACATTCTCTGAGCCGAAGTGAAAGTTATATAAAAACGATATATTCGACGGCTTCATAAAATATATTTATTACATAGTCGCATAAATATGAAGATTTATAACTATAAAGACGTATCTATATGATTATCGTAATGCAAAATTAAAATTACTAATATACGAAATGTTCGCACAAAGCGCTATGGGCAAAACTTAAATATGTATATCGCTCTGCGATTGAATATCGGTTGCTGATAATCCTCAAGATTTTCTCGTTATAGTTCAACTCGCGACTACCTTCATACAGCTGACGTTCTAACCTTATACTTGTTCAGTTGCATTCAATGTTAGTAAGTAGGATGTATTTTCGAGATTTTAGAAAGTAGTTTATTTCAAGTTCTCATAAAACGTAATAAGGAACCGAAGTGTAATTGACTTTGAAAATGGGTAATCAGCTGGTGGGAATTGCACCCAGTCAAATATTTCCAGTGGAGCACTATCTGACAGATCACAGCGATTTACAGTTTGACATAAAGTAAGTTATTTATTCGATGAATATATTGATTAGATACTAGTTTTTTTTCTAATTGTTTAATACAATTTGTATATGTTGCATAAAAAGCGTATCGTGGATTCCCATATGAAATATGGTAATATTGAAAATAAAATGGCGGGTTTTTCAAGTGATCACTACGGTTTTATTGATATAATATATTGAACATAATTGTAATTTGATAGTCTCTATCAAATTTCATTGAACACTGTATATTTTTGTTGCATATTGATGGGCGTATTTTGCCATTTGTTATTTGTTATTTATAATGAGATGGTATTTATTACATAGATGTTTATTGTTTACAGTCTTGGAAGTACAAGATTTTTAAAAGTAGCTAGAGCCAGGAGTCAAGAGGGTTTAATTGTTGTGAAAGTCTTTGCAATACATGATCCAACATTACGTCTTTCAACGTATAAGGATAAGCTGGAAGAGATTAGATCTAAATTAGCATCAGCTGTCAATTGTCTCCCTTTTCAACGATTGATTGTGAGTTCTATCATATGAATTCATCAACAATTGACTTAACGAGTCTAACTATATTTATGTTAACACTTAGTAATAAACACTTTTTTGATATAGCTTACAGAAAAAGCTGGATTTATAATGAGAGAGTATGTTAAATACTCTCTGTATGACAGAATTAGCACAAGACCCTTTGTATCAGCTGTGGAGAAAAAGTGGATTACATTTCAAGTTCTATATGCACTTCATCAAGCTCATAAGGCAACGATAATGTTTTATACTTGAAAAATTATTTCTACTATTTCATATAATCAATATACATTTCTATATACAGTTTGGTGTATGTCATGGTGATATAAAATTGGAGAACATCATGATTACTAGTTGGAACTGGGTTCTACTAACAGATTTTGCTAGTTTTAAACCAACATATTTGCCTGAGGATAATCCTGCAGATTTTTCATATTTCTTTGACACTTCTAGAAGAAGGTACATAACAAGAAAATCTTTGAATTAAAATAGGACCATAACAAAATCTTTTGTCTTTCTATAGAACATGCTATATAGCTCCCGAGAGATTTGTTAAAACTCTATCTTCAGAATTAAGCAATACCATGCTGTTACCTGAACAGGAACTTAAAACCGGGGACTTAAATCCTATGATGGACATTTTCTCAGCAGGTTGTACTTTGACAGAACTGTACAATGAAGGACATCCACCATTTGACTTTTCCCAATTATTAGGTAGATCAAATACAATTAAATTATAGTAAACAATTGTATTTTGTCTTACTTTGCAATTTCCATTTTTATTCTTACATGTGTAGCATATAGGAACGGCGAATACTCGGCAAGCAAACATCTCGATAAAATTGAAGATACAGGCATACGTGAATTATTATGCTCCATGCTGGAAAGAAATCCCTTGAACAGAAAGAGTGCTGAAATATATCTCTCTCAAGCACGAGGAAAAATCTTTCCAGAATACTTCTACTCTTTCTTACAATCCTACATGCTGATATTCTCAGCAGCTCCAATACTTTCGCCAGATGAAAAGATAAACAGATTAAAGAAAGATATTGGTAACATTATCAATATTTTAAAATCAGAAGAAAATGAAAGGCGAAGGAGTACAGACACGAGCAAAGGAGATAACACAAAAAGCAGTCACGAAAATAACATTGAATCCAGCAAAGAAGATTCAGCACAGAGTGAAGAAAATACAGTCATCGAAACAGACAGTGACCAAGGTTCGGACAAGATAGACCTAAATCAGATAGACTTGTCAAAGATCTCAATACCAGAAACTAGCTCTGACAATGGCAAGGATCAGAATGTTCAGAGTTTATCACGCGAGGAAGTACCAAAGGAAAAGGAAGACGAAGACAAGGATAAAAACAATGACGAGTTATACGATAATCTGGAAGGATTAATCATTATCACTCAACTCGTAACGTCCTGCATTCGGGGATTACATCATTCGCAGTCTAAATTACAGAGTTTGGAAATACTTCTGGAGCTGGCCGAAAATACATCTGATGAAACCATATTGGACAGAATACTTCCGTACATTGTAAGCTCTCTGCTAAATAATGTGTATAGGTTGATTGAACCTATAATATATTTTTAATTAATAATATATGTTTGCAGTTTCATCTCGTTCATGATCCTGCACCACGTGTAAGAGTCTCAGCCATACACACTTTAACGAAATGCCTTTATCTTGTGCGATCCATTCCGCCCTCAGATGTGAATATATTCCCAGAATATATTTTACCAGGATTAGCACACGTCACACAGGACGAAGCAGTGATTGTTAGAGCCGCCTATGCTGAGAACATTGCTCATTTAGCACACATAGCTTTGCGTTACTTGGAAAATTCTCATTTGTCTAATTTGGGAAACAAGGAGGGACCAAAACCAAGCTACGATAGTGAATTACAAACGTTGCACGAAATGGTAATACTATATAATTTTGGTTGATACTACAATTTTAAATCTTTCTTGATCCAGAAATCACAATTTCTTATATCAATCAGGTACAACAATCTGTCTCCATGTTATTGACGGATCCACAGAATTTAGTAAAACAAACCCTAATGGAGAATGGTATAAATAAGTTATGCGTCTTCTTTGGAAAGCAAAAGGCTAACGACGTGTTACTCAGCCACGTTATTACTTTTCTCAATGATAAAGAGGACAAGCAGTTACGTGGATCATTTTTTGAATGTATCGTGGGTGTAGCCGCCTATGTAGGGTGGCACAGTAGTCCAATATTAATGCCATTACTTCAGCAGGGTTTAACAGACCCTGAAGAGTTCGTAACAGCAAAAGCTATTAACGCCATGGCTACTTTAACAGAATTGGGACTGTTGCACAAGTCTGCACTGTATCAACTACTTTCAGAAACAATGGTTTTCTTGGTGAGTATTAAACAATATAAAGTACGAGGGTTAGACTACGTCTTTTGACAAATCCAATCTACCACAGGTACATCCTAATCTTTGGATCAGGCACGCAATCGTTGGTTTTATTTCTGCTGCTGCGAGAACTCTAAATGTGGTGGACGTACAATGTAAAGTCCAAATGATGATACAACCCTACTTGAAACATCCCCTGATACAAATTGAAAAAAATGTGTTACTTTTGGAAGCTCTCGTGTCCCCGATACCTCGAGTGGTCTATGATTCTGTGATAAAATACAACGACATAGAAGAACTTTATCAAGTTTTTGAGCAAAGACAGGCAGCACGAGCTAAGGCCATAACAGGAATAGTTCCTCAGTACAACGACATGAGTACCGCTTTAAGAAATGTAAGTCAATAGATATGAAGTGTTTAAGATTATTTTTATAGCCGGTGAAATACTTGTAGCTCTTCAGACGTTTAAGTTCAGAATCAATGACTGAAACGGTTGAGGACCAGTTGTTAGTTATGAAACCGCATCTGATGAAGATCAACAAATATAGAAATTCGGTAGATGCAAAACAAAGCACCGCTAAATCTGTTGATGGGAAATTAGAATTGAATACTATGAAAGATAAGGTTCGCCATCATATTGTTGTACTTTATCCTGATACTAAAGGCGATCTAGCTTTACCAGCTTACAAAAAACTGGATCGGAGAACATCGGATGGTGCTGCTACTTATGCCACAATGAATCAAGAATGGCGTACAATGTTTGCAGCGCAGGACAGTGTACAAGTTTGTGTCTTCTTTATTTAAGAATGATTCAGACCTGTTGTCAAATCTTATTGAAATGGCATGAGCATAATTTTTTCTTTATAGCATACAATTGTGAAAATGTCTGACATGACGGGTTGTAGTGGAAGTCCAAGTCAGAGTATACATGGTGGTGATATACATTTGTCACCACAGCATAGTCTAACTGATATGAACAATATCAATGATCACTCCCTTCACGAACGATCCTATATTCAATGTAAGTTTTACTTTCATGAATTTAATCAATAGTTATTATAATGCATGCGAAATGATTTAAGCTACGTTATTTGGGACAGTCGCAACCCTCTTTGGTTTTGCAGACAGATGCGCTCCTTGTCGATTGGAATTACGACAGCTAACTTACAGAAAGCAAGAGCAGCATGCGGCGGCTCTCAGAGCTCAGCATTGGGCTGATAATATTCCCTGGCAAACAGGTAAGTAGGATCATTATGGTCTTGGAATGATCAGTCATGAATCTTATCGTTTGAAAGGTTCACGATTACTATCAAATGGTTGGAGGCCTCGTGGACTGCCTGTAGCTCACCTTCATGAACACAGAGCTGCAGTAAGCAGGTTAGTTTCTGTTCCGGATACCAGTTTGTTCGCTAGCAGTGCTGCAGACGGCTGTGTTAAAATCTGGGATGCCAGCAAGATGGAAGGACGAAATGTAGCCAATAGATCCAGGTATTATTTTCTGCAAATAATCTTGAAGAACTGTAATTATTGATTGATTAGTACTATAAAATGCTCATTGTATATTGGTTTCAGACAAACTTATGTACATAGAGGTGGTCCTTTGGTGGGATTAGCTGTATGCGAACAAGGCCAGTCGTTGGCAAGTTCTGCTAGTCAGTCTGGTTCAGTCTTTGTATTGCGAATCGAAGCGAATTCTAATAAAATGAATGTTCTATACTCAAGACAGCTTGATCTTCAGGTAATTCCCTTTGAAAAGTTGAAAGAAAAAAATTACTTGTTGAAAATCGATATATCAATTTTAGGAAGAAGGATGCGCCGTTGATCTTCAGTATTTGGATTCCGGTTCGCAATCAGTTCTTGTCTATGCTACGCTTTATGGTTCATTGGTAGGCTGGGACTTACGGTGTCCCGGTACGGCATGGCGGTTGGAAAATGATCTAAAACACGGTGTAATCACGTCTTTTTGTGTAAATAATTATCAACAATGGCTAACACTGGGTACGAGTTCGGGTGTTCATATTTGTTGGGATCTCAGATTTCAATTGCCAATTAGCAGCATAAAGCATCCCACAGGTATACCATCCTTAAGATGAATATTCTATGTTTATTAGATATAGTTAAGTGATACAAGTTATATTTTTTAGGTGCTCGAGTAAGGAAAGTTATCACTCATCCAACCGAACCGTCATGGATTATTTCTGCGGTACAAGGAAATAATGAAATATCCATGTGGAATCTAGAAACCGGCTTTCGACAAATGGTCCTTTGGGCATCCAGTGCACCGCCTCTTAGTCATTCTCAAGGAGGTCACAGTGTATGCTCAATGCATTCAGGATCAATAGATCGTTCAGGATTCCTATTAGCCGGTGGAACAGATATGAGATTACGCTTTTGGAATCTGAACAATCCCAATGAATCTTATGTCGCTTTACCAGCAGCTAATGACGTTATACCACCAAATTCCTTAGCCTACGAGTCAGTAATCATTAAGTTACTTTTCTTAATTTTGTTAACGACTATTTAGGCACTTCCAAAACCTTATATTGATCATGTAAAATATTTATGTTCCCAGACAACGACTGATAGACGGTACCAACGTCGTACAGGAAGTCCTGGCCGGTGGTGTTCCAGTATCATCTTCTGGAGGAGGAAGTGGTATTCGCAGTAGAGGACCCGAAGAGGGTGGCCAAGGACCGGAAACTCCACCATCTGGTCATCACGATACCATATCCGCTGTAGCCATGTCGAACACATGCATTCTCACTGGTAGTACAGATGGTCTGATACAAGTCTGGAAGTGATTCATTTTATTTTACACGCCATATTCATTCCTCGTTTTGATTCATGACGTGTCGCATTGAGATACGCAAGCATGCAATGAATTTATTAATGAATATACCAGGTTCGATGTTTGAAACGACCTATTCCAATGATATCGAGATTAGAAGCTCATATTTAACTGGAAAGCACTGCGAAGTCTTCCGCTGGTTATCATCTTATATCCACAACAAGACATTCACATATTCCGCCAGTGCTGTGATTTTGATCTGTATATAGTTCATTTAATATTATCAATAATCGATGAGAAAAATTATTCGAGGGAACGATACTTTTTACCACGACCACAATGAATATTTCTAATGGTACTACAAGAAGCAAGTACCCTCAGAAAACGTAAAATTCTCGATAAATCTTCTCGATCGCCAATTCTTTTACCAAATAAGTAAATTATTTTTGTAAATAAATCGTGACGGGGATTGACATGTTTTACATATTAATATATATTTGAGATGGCTGCTTCAAGTAACGTCATTACGTCTCATGTTCTTTGTACTTGGGAACGGTAACAAATAAGTCATTAGCGTAGAAAAAAAATATTCACTAAAACAGGCGGCCCTTATACGTTATGCTTATGTGCGACATGAGTAGTGAGTCTCGTAACGACGCTATTATTATTATTATTATTATCATCGTCACACATATATCCCTACGTGTACTAATCTACGTAGAACTTACGTTCCACAAGAATTATACTCATAATCAGTAACATTAATATATTACTGTTCTCAACAGAGTTGTTTGTTATAATAAAACGATATTTTTAAAAATAACAAATAGACTCTTCGTTCTTATCCTTGTCACAAATATGATCTTCCTATGATTTACACTGGGTTGGTGTCACTTATAACTTTTAATCACCAAGGACATACTGGTGCCGCCGGGTAAGGTACTCGTCCTGGGAATGCATAACTGTCTGCATTGATTGTCCTGCATATTTCCTTCCAACGTTCCTTGCCATTCTTTCCCTGACGATGCTGTCCACCTTGATTCCCATAGTAAGCTTCTCTTTGATTATTGTACGACGGTTTTCCAAAAAATAAATCAAACCAGGATGCACCAAGGGCACAGGAGATAAGCAGCATGAATAAAAGTATTGTCTTCATTTCTAATGATCCTTCCTCATATATTAGAAATTCAGAAAAAATCGTTAATACTTTTAAGTTTTTACAAAACAATCTTGCTATCCTGTCCAAGTCTGAAACACAAAAGCAAATATCACACTGAGTTATCACTATGCATAATTATATACCTAGATAATGAAATCGTGATTAATTAATAATAAATATCACTATGATCAATTTTCAATTGTATACACTTGCAGTACAATAAATACTGTATGTTATGTCATAAATTTCACGTTAATCTTTTCATTTTGACTGATACTTTCAAACTTCACACTTTCTGAGCAACAAGCGTCGCAGAGAACGTAGTTACGCTTGCCGGTTTTTACACTTTAGCTTTTTTTGTATAAGGAATATCATATGGACTTTTTAAAAATCGCTAGACTACCCAGAAATCCTTTGTTATCTAGTAAAACAAGATCGGTCTAAGTGATTAGTTATATTTTAAAATGCGCTCCTGTTCCTAACATACCGATTACGGAAATGGCGTGAAGTCAGGCAAGTCGACAAGTGCGCGAACGTAATGGAGAGATGCTGGATCCTCCCTCCTATTTTATACGAGTTGCCCTACCGCTCTGAAAAATCGGACCGATCGAATTCCTCGGCACGCATCAACAATCGTGCGGTAATGGCATGTATAAAATATGGAGAACGTATATGGAATTTATATCTATATTATTTATTAAGTCTTTTTTATAAGAATACAGTTCATTTGGATTATGAGAAATTGTTGGTGATAAAAGGAGAAAAACAATTGGATGATTCCTGGGAAAGTCTGTGATAGATCCGGGATTTGTGAATTGGATATAGTAAGATTTATTTTATACGTGACGCTGTCACAGAGAGCATTTTTTTAATAGCTATTAAACTGTTCAAAATAAGCAGCGCATTCACTCTGATAAGCATCGGTGCGTATCGTTGTTTAATTTCTATTTATCTTAGGTTCTTTTATTTTTACAGCAATTCTTCAAGATTCTTTGTACGATCATCTCCTGGTCAATGAATTCACACGGATACTGTCATGACAATGAACTGTGGGAAGGCCCTTTTTGTCTTGCGTATAACGTGACGCATCTTAATCGTTTGTAAGTCACGGCACGATTTGAATTTGTAGGTAAAAAGTACGTTAGATCTTACATTTAATTATCAGTCATGTTTAACAACTATGTTAATCCACTTGCGTATAGAAAACAAAGTAACAGTAAAATTTGTCATATTCAGATTTCGTGTTATTAAGTTTATGAAGTATGAAACATACCTTGGATAAAGATATGAAGAAAAAAATGGAGCATTGTGAAAATGTTTTTTAAATTTGAAAAATTATAAAAACAAATAATCAATTGCGGTTATCAAGAATAATTATATACTAAATATGACTTCCGTTGTAAGTCTTAATACGACTTAAAAAAACTAATCGATTCTCCAAATTTATTGTTACGAAGCTGCAGTCCCTTTGGTGCTGACAATCTGAATGGCATAATTGACAGTCAGACAAGGCGGCCCACATTTCCCAAGGACGATAATAACTTATAATTTTCAACGAATGCACCGACATGCATTCCAAGCTGTAAACTTGCCTTATATCGTAATATAGTGTAAATAATAAATCCGCGCGTAATAATACGGTAAGTTCTTTAATCATTGCAAAATTATTATTTACACGCTTAAACGTTTACATCCTGAAAGATTATTAATTTTATAATTAAAGTCACGTATATCAAGACCAATAAATATTATGATTATTAATCAAGAGGAGTCTCGAAGCGTGACTAAATCGGCATACGGGTCAAAGCCGATCAACTCTATTACCAGAGTCTATTGCTATTACTATTTTCCTATTACCGTAATAGCCGGTTTCCAGGCTATACAACTATTAATAGTAATGGACAGAGAAAGCTGGCTTCGCCGCTCTGCAAAAGAGTCTTTGATTTCATATGACTCTCTAAAGATTTTCCACATCTGATAGAAAGATGACAGTAGTGATGTATATAAGTAATGAAGAGATTGTCATAATCATTTGCGCTTTAACTCATCCCGCGAGAGAAGAAGCGTAGTCGGGATCTGTTGATATGAGAATACGGTCAAGGTTCCACGTGCTGATATAGAACAGGGACGAGATAGTGATTTTCGATGAAAATATTAAAATATTGACGCCCTATTTTAAAAATATTTATCGGCATTGAACGATATCAGAGAGCAAATTTCATTCTGTGATCGAGGCCATTCCTGTCTCTGATATTCATGTAAAATTCAGGATTGATTTTTGATAATATTATTTGAATTAAATTATGAATTTAATTGTCGGAATCCTTAGATTGTACGATATCACGTAATCAGTCTTCTTATTGAAATTTAATAATATGCTTGTACAATAATCGTATAGATTAATTTTTGGCAATACTATACGGAGCTGAAAGTAGTCGTAAAACTAAATAAAAGTACTTCCTACGACACGTTAAGTTAGGGTGTTACTATTGCCATCTATGGAGAATGTACTAAGCTACTTGTCAGTATAGATCGATGGCAAAATTACTTCCAAATGACTCGACTGATTGGTATGCTTCAAAGTATACACTGTATAATGTGTCTACGTGACGCCAATATCGTTGGAGAACAAAGAGGTGGACCAGGATGTCTATTAAAGAGTATCACTTTTGCGTTTACTACTGGTGGCATACAAATATTTTTTTTATTCTTTACGTTCATACATGAAATTGTATAACGTTTATAAGCAGTGAATGGATCATTTTTGTATCGAAAATAAAAAGTTGGAGGAGACATCCTATATCACATTAATATCCCGTGCAGCACAAAACGTATCTCAATGTTTTGTGATCTATGTGAAATGATTCAGACGAAACAAAGAACTGCATCGCAGTTGCATATTCAAATGATCTTATTGAAATTCCATACTGATCCAGGCAGATTCTTCACACGTTATAATTTCTTTTCTAGTTCTTTTTTTATACTGTCTGTCGTAACCAATTCTGACCTTGTTTATTTTGGCTAGTGCAGTACAATCAAATCCAATTGGTACCAAGTCGTACTCATAGCAAATTTGTATAATAGATATAGACACACAAAGTCAAATGTACTGGCGATTGAGTAAGACCTCCTGAGATATATCGTTTAAAAATCGCTCGATCAAAATTTAGATTTTACAGTATGGCTCTTGATAAATCATCTAAATATTTTGGCTACGGGACTTTCTTGGAGCGACCCTCTTCTCGAAGAAGCAAGAGGTAAAGAGTCCTCTTGGCTCTTCGCAACGACCAGTTCGGTTTGGCTCGCGTTTGAGAAAACTTCGTGGCCAGTGCTTCCACGGATTTTCCTTTGAAGAGATTTCACGTAACGTCGTTGGTTTCCGCTCTTTTCATTTTTTTTCTGTCTGTCTTTCCTTGACGGTGATACCGTCCCTTGGACAGCTGCCAACGTATGTTAGAAATTAGAGATATGACGAGGTGCGACTGATAGATATGTTCTTGGATTTTTATTTTGCAAAAGTTGTATTTCTCTTAAGAAAAACATTTAACTGTTTTCAAGAGCATTCTTAGGTAAATGCTCCAATCGGTCGTAGTAGTACCGTTGTTAACACCTTGAATACTTTTCATTTCGTTTGTTATTCTTACGTTGAAAGCTAAAGTGAAGCCTCCCCCGCCGTGCAGCACACGTGTCGGTTAAGAAAGTTTACAGAAGAGAGAAAGAATAAATACTATGTCGGACAGTGAAGATGCCGGTAGTGAAGGGAGTCAGCAACGTTTACATCGGCCCAGTCTCACGCGAAAGATGCGTAGAAGCATCAAGAAAGTCAAAAGGAGTATTCAGAAGATGACTGGTACGTTGCTTCCGGTTATTCAAATATTCTTGGGTATTTTTCCCAGTTCCAAAGAATTGTACAAGTTTCGAATTTGCCTGAAGGTAAAGAAAATTAGATGAGTTAAATGAAGAATATTATTTTGCAGATAATAATCAAAAGATTCACACTTTCGACTTCGTTGTTGCTATAAAAAGGTGTCCGTATATAATTTAACACTGCTTGTCACAGTCTCTAGTCCTCATTTATAACTGTGCGCCTACCTATTTCTGCCATGTAGCTAATATCCACGAAATAGACATGTTACAGCTGTTAAAAGATTATAAGAGATACGGGGATTCTCTCTTGTAAATGCTGATCGTATAAGTCGATTTTAATCTTGAATTCTAACAGACAGTCGTAAATCGATTTGCGAAGGTCTAATGTGCGTCTAGGTTGCAATAATGCAGTACTATATTTAGCGTTCTATGGAACATAGAGTCTCGAAAGATACACATCATATCGCCTTCTGGTGTAAGATTATCCTGGTTAGTCAGTACTCAATTGTATACTGCGTAGGATAATATTTACAAGAACCATTCTACTTTACAATTTCTGATTAACTATTATATTTTCAGAGGATTTCTACGACGAAGGTCCACAACCTATTCACGTGGTACCTGAACGTTTAGCCGCTCTAGTTGAGCGCACTGGATTTTCAAAAGATGAAATTTGCAAAATGTATCGTGCTTTTAAGCAGCATTGCCCTGGTGGTGCAGCCACAACGAACGACCTGAAGCCGGCTTATGCGAAATTATTTCCTCTTGGTGACTCTACGAAATATGCGCAGATTGTTTTTAATATCTTTGATAAAGATGGGGACGGTGTTGTGAGTTTTGCTGATTTTCTTGTTGGCATGGCCTCTATTGTACGGGGTAGTGCGGATCAAAAACTCTCATGGATATTTGGGTGGGTTTTTGATAACGTATTAATTGAGAAATACCATTTTACTGACACCTAGTAAGTCTTGACGTTGTATTTATTATCGTTAGCAACACTTACTATTTATCAGGATGTATGATCTGAATGGAGACGGACACATCACCAGGCATGAGATGCTGGCCATAGTCTCAGCTATTTATGAGATGGTGCAAAACAGTCAGACTATCCACCGTGCAGTTACCAGACATGTTGATAGAATCTTCGAGAAGATGGATCTGGATAAGGATGGTGTCATCTCGAAAGAAGAGTTTATGACCAGCTGCAAAAATGTAATGTTTACAAAACTTTGATTGTGAAATCTTATTTCAATTATATTTATGATACAATAATCATGTTTTTTTTTCAGGATCTGACTATTTGTGATCAACTAACAATATTTGATGATTTTTGGTGGTAGCTAACATTAGATCAGCAATGACAACTTATTGGGTTATATATATATATACTCCCAACACTCCAAGTGCCCTATACATTGTTGAATATCCTATTATGTTTATATATATACACACACACATGCATTGTATTTATAAATGATATTTTTAAAAATTCCAAAGTGCCTAATATTTAAATTGTGTAATAAACAAGTACAATGTATGTTGATCAAATTTTGACCTACCTCTAAAAAAGGCGCTTTTGTAAAATATAAAAAACACAGGCGAGAAAGAACGCAAAAGCTAAAACTAATAAAGCTTTATCTGTAACTTCACGCCTTCCATATTTTCCTAGAAGCTTTCCTGATTGAACTATTACTTGTTGCTGATGGTCCAACTCCTCCTTTGTGCCAGAAACCTTTTCTGAAGATGTAACTAAAATAACAAATTACAAATTGATTATTTTTTATTACTAATGCACAGTATTAAGTGTGTACTTTCTGTATGAAAATGTGTCATAATTCATGAAACTAGCATACTTAGAGTATCCAATGTGTCGGCACTTCTTTGTGTTGTCTCTGCAAGATGTCTAGAAATACTCAGTAATTTGTCAGTAACTTGGCCAGACATATTTGCAAGACTCTGTTTATCTCGTCGCTTTCGAAGAGCATTTTGCTGTTCCTCAGGCATCGATAACAGATCCTCCTTAGCCATCTTGTCAATAACACAGGCACTGACAATATTGGCTTTACGAAATGCTGCCATTGTTACTGTAAGCTGTCCTTTGTGACTATCAACTTCAGATAGTAAAACTGACTTTTTCTTCTCATTTATTTCTGTTTCTGCTAAGGCAGCTAAGCGGTCAATACTTGATCTGAGATTTGCTATTTTTGCTCTTCCTTCGGCATTGAGTTCGTTCAACAATTCCAAGGGCCCTGTACATTGTTGAATATCCTATCATATAACAATAGTTAATATAATCAATTAGTAGACAATATAATAAATCATTTTAACGAATACTGTCAGAATATTAACATTAATATCACTTTCCATACGAACATAGTAATTTTACAAATATTCAACAAAATAAAAATAAGGTTAGACGAGAAATTGTATAAACATATGAAAATAAATATTAAACCGTACCTGTATAAGAGCCGTCACTTGCAAATTATTATTTACTATTTCCTGAAGAATTAATTCAAGGGTATGTTCATCCATTTTTAATTGTAATACGATTTCAAATTACACATTTGACAACTCATCAGTATGAAACTTGTATAGCTAAAGCGGTTTCAAGCGTACAGTGAACAGCCATATGTATATGCACCATGCGAAAATGGTCATTGATTTACCCAGATGTTACCGAGGCTTCTGAGTATATCCATTTAAGAACCGGCATACATAATGTTATGAAATTAATAAAAGGAAAAGGCCTTGGAATGATATCCTATACATAATTTATTATGGTACAATTCTTGTATATTACACGGGCCTATGGTACAACAAATGGCCTACTGGCGTTTGTTACATTCATTTTAAAATAATATTAGCAATACATGATACTTTGGTTTCCTGCTATCGTGCGCAGGACACTCTCAACACAATACTGCAAGTGAAGAAAATCACACGGTGACCAAATTAACCCTTAACCATCGCCATACATTCAGTCCCTCAAAGACATTTCGAGAGTGACGCCAGGAAATTTTGGTACAGATAATCTCATTATAGTTCGATCATAGATCGTTTTGATACTAAATTTGGCGAACTCGAAATTTCTTTGAAACTAGTAAATGCATGGACACACTATGAGGAACGCTCTAGGTCGTCTGTCCTACATTATATTAGAATCCTGATAGATGCGACTTCTGGATTTAACGAAGACTGTTAATCACAGCCGTAGTGAATTCCGTGGTTGAACTCTGACCTCCCAAGTCCTTTGTACGAACTTTACCATCGTTAAGAACACGATTCAAAGCGTCTCTGATCTGTTCCGCGTAACGACCTAGGTTCACGTGATTCAGCAGCTTCACTGAGCACAGAAGCATAGCTGTGGGATTGGCAACGTTTTTACCCACAGCTTCGGAATACGTGTGTCTCGCACCCTATTAGACAACAAAATATTGGTAAGAAAATCTTAAATAGCTCAATGAACCTAATAAATTCTTACCGGTTCAAACACCACACATTCTGCACTGTAGCTGGCTCCAGCAACTACACCGGCACCGCCAACCAAACCGGAAGCAAGATTATCGACGATGTTTCCGTATAGATTTGGCATTACCATAACATCAAATTGATGAGGATTGGAGACCATTTGCATTGTGCAATTATCCACTATCATGGTTTCAAATTGAATTCTGTTTGAGGTAACGTAGATTATTAAATATGGTGATATTTTATACGAATATTCACTTGTGATATTTGAAAATGTAGGCTTACTTTGGGTAGAGCTCTGCAATTTCTTGGCAAGATTGAAGGAACAGACCATCGCCAAGCTTCATAATATTGGCCTTGTGAACACAGGTGACTTTTTTGCGATTGTTTTTTACAGCGTAGTCAAAGGCAAACTTCGCAATTCTTTGACTTTTCACGGCAGTGACAATTTTCAAACACTCGACTACTCCAGGAACGCATTCATGCTCCAGAGCAGAGTATTCACCCTCAGTCTGCTCTCTGATTATGACACAATCTACATTCTGGTGACGAGATTTAACTCCAGGTAAAGATTTTACGTGTACTACATTAGAATACAAGTCCAAGTTTCGTCGTAATTTCATATTCAGGGTTTGCAATTCTCCTGTGTGAGAATGATCAGGCGTTGCCAAAATACCCTGAAAAATATTATGGATACATTTCCTTAGTCAAATGGTTCACAATTCTAAATAGTTGTGAAAACAATTATGTAACAACCACACAGATAAGAAAAGATCTTATATTTAAGTACCCAGATACCGATCATACAACAACATGTGGAAGTAATCCAAGATAATCTGTACTGATAGAACAAATGTTTTGTCTTATCTAACAGGTATAATGTTAAATTGTTATATAGTACCTTTAAACAAACTTGATTCAATGCAATGCTATTGGCGACCTGCTCCAATGGAGCACTTAGTGTTGGATTTACTTCTGACAGAAAGTAAGGTTCAAATTCAACCGGGACATTGACAGCTTTGAAAACATTTTGAACGGAAAGGACCAGTTCCGGTCCCACCCCATCTCCTGGTATAAGAGTACATTTTACTTTCCCTTGTTGCTCTATAAACTGAAAAATTTTAATATTGTGAAATAACAGAATATTCTTTACAAAAAAATAAAATACATACATTGTCTTGATGGCGAACAGCACCTATGTGCAGTGTTCTAACACCAGCACCCTTTTGAGTGGCCTAAAGAAGAAAAAGAAAATAAATGTATAAAAATAACATGAAACAGAGTTCTATACTCAAATCCAGACACATTTTTAATTTTTGTCTTGGCATCAATGACACATTAATAATATTACATTGCAAAAACTACATTTATTTGAAGACAATAGTTATGCATTACTCAAACAGACGAAAACATTTGAAAAATAATAATACACACTTGTAATCGCATCGATAATTAAATTAGAAATTTACCGCTTTTGGAGTGTACTATTAACAATTGAATCGTACAAGAACGTATATGTATATATTCCATGAAACTGGGCTAATTAAAAAAAAAAGGCAACACGAGTCGATTAAAACAGTGTATTAATATCCAATTGTAAGTTTAACACAGTATCAAATGCCCTTGCAAAAATCTTCACTAGCTATTTCGACATTCATGAGTTTTCTCGTGACACTGTTTAATTGGCTTGGGAAAATTACACAATTCCAATTGAACACGAGATATCACAAGAGTTTGGAAAATATGACGATGAATCGGCATAGTTATTTTTATGAGAGCGCGGTTTATTACCTGGGAGAGCACTTTGCAGACGTTCCTCACTAGTAAAGCCATTTTCCACGATGGACCCGTGCAGGCGAATTGTACAATTTGTTCACAGGGCTGCTAAATAAGCATGTGCGAAAAAAGCACTATCAACGCCTGCTCGCATAACCTCTGATGAAACAATGTAATTTGTCACTATTTTCATATTCCATTTCTTACAAGTCATAACAAAAATTCAGTTATATGGAATCAGAGTAACTGATAACAAATATGTATAACAAATGCATACAAGAAATTGTAAACTGATATAGATTTTTAAAATGTTCCTGATTTTCTCTTCTGTACGTCATACATTTTTCATAGAATTCCGGTACATCCTCTATAAACAAAAGTCACTATATATTCACGAACATTACGTTCAAATGTTTCACGAAATATTATTCTGATGAAAGCAAAGATATCATGATCGCTGAATTATATCGCTGTAAATAAATTCATTCGCATAAAATTCTAATGATTTTAGTGTCTAATATCATTTTGAACGTGCATAAGCTATGAGAGATTTAAATCTTCAGTGAATTATAATTATTTATGTTTGTATGCCTGGTCTTGCATAGAAATAGAAATAGGTGGGCGGCGGGGAAGTCTAAGATAAATCGTGCAATCTATTTTCGTGAAAAATTCATCGAGGATTGTTCTCAATCGGTTAGCACGAAGAAGAGCTCTGTACCTGTCTAAAACTTGAAATATTTTGTGAATCTTCATAAGTGATAATGTCTGAGACCATTTTACGTGAGTAATTTCTAAAAATTAGTAAATTATCAGCGTGATGGTAGATTAGTTTATCTTGCAGTCACAATCGTTGATGCATTCATTCATTTTGAATGCTGTGCATCAGCAGTATAAATAAACTAGACGGAATAATAATTCGAGTACGTACTCCGTCATCCTTGAAAAAGCTCTGTAATATAAATGAAGTCTATGATTAGAATAAAAAAATCTTTTATTCTAGTTTCTTTTTGTTTTTAAAGGATTGTCAAATTCTTAAGAAAAATGATAATGAACTGATGATAAATCGCGTTGCAATCAGATGTCATCTTTTGTGCATGAAGATCAACTTGCGTCTGACAATGGTTCCTTTAAGACCCAAATTTTCTTATTTGATTTGTATATTTATGAAACGTATACCTATAATTTTATGATTGTAATTTTTATTTTAGCTGAAGAGGTGACCAAGTATAATTATCGGAAGAAAATATGGGACTTCATGAAAAAGAATGAGCTAGCAAATTTTCCATTGAGCATTTATAATAGAATACCAAATTTTAAGGGTGCTACTGAGGCAGCACAGCGATTAGCTGAATTAGAAGAATTTAGGAATGCAAAAGTTATAAAGATCAAACCTGACAAGTCACAAGAGCCTATTAGAGCCCTTTCCCTAGAGGCAAACAAAGAAATACTTGTACCAATACCAAGATTGAAATCTGGTTTATTTCTTCATATTACTCCAACAGAAGGTGCTACCAAGGAGCAAATAAAATTTGCTGCCACGAGACATGGATTACAACAGAATGGTAAACCACTTGGAATTACCTCAAAAATAAAGGTAAAAATTTACAGTACTTTTGTTTATCTTATGATTACATACTTACATTACTTTATTATGCAGGTAGATCTTGTAGTTTTGGGCTCCGTATGTGTAAGTAAAGCTGGTTATAGAATTGGTAAAGGTGAAGGCTTCGCTGATTTAGAATTTGCAATAATGTTGAGGATGGGTGCAATAGATAAAAATACAGTAGTGGTGACAACGGTTCACGATTGTCAAGTAATTGATGATCTTCCATCACAATTGTTTCAAGAACATGATGTACCTGTCGATATTATTGTGACACCAACCCAGACGATAGTAGTCAATCCCAGACTACAAAAGCCTGCAGGTATACTATGGCACCTTCTTAGTCAAAGAAGACTTAAATGTATGCAAATACTACAGGAGTTAAAAGAACTGGAAGAAAAGTGAGATATTTATCAATGAAAGTACTGTCAGATTACATTGTTGGCTTTGTTATCTTAATGTCACCATTCATATCTTTTAAAGGGAAGGCAAAATAATAGTGTTGAAGGAAGTCGACTCTGACAGAGAAACTCGACAATACGAGAAAAACAGAAATAAGAAAGGAAAGAATAAAACGCGTTCAAAAGCTAAGGCGGATATTTCACAGACACAAACTGCTGTTGGTGGCAATAAAGATATAGTAAAACCACGTTTTCCAAAACGACGATTGTATCACAAACTTAGAGGAGACGGTGATAATCCTTCTATAAACGAAGTTCGTATAACAATAAAACAACAGCTATAGAGTATTGCTTTTAAACATGGCAAACAAATTTCATCATGGTCTTAATTTCAGGATAACGGAGAAGAAAACGATAACGAAAAACCTTTACGACGTAAACCCTTCAAGCCAAAATCGAAGACACAAATAGATTTTTCATTAAAATTATCGAATATTGCATCTGATGTGCGCGTGCGCGACTTGAAAAACGCCCTGTCTAAACGTGGCGTTAAACCTAGCGAGATATCATGGCGAGGTCAGCGAGGTTTTTGTTATTTGCACTTTGGTAAATTGAGAAACGGCAACTCCTTACCTGATCAGCCAGTGCAAGTGGATTCCATAGTAGCAAATTTGCAACAATTTCGGATTAACGAAACCGAAGATTCTACCGCAAGTGACTTTATAGTGGTAGAACCTACCAAGCCAATAACAAGAATTGAAGTCACTGACGTAACTACCGTGTAATAAACAATAACTGTCTAAAAGCCGTTATTAGTTGACTAAAGATTAATGTCAAAGTAATGAAGTAATACCTTGAAAAAATTATAAATACGTTACACTCGGAACGTAATAACCATTCAAAGTGAATGTTCTGATAATACGGAATTCTGTTACAACTTATTTGAGGAACTCATGTCTCTATTTATATGAAGAAAAATCTGCTTATGTCTCTAGTTTAGCGCATCAAAAATTACAATTAACTCTTAGAGTTACTAATTATGAGGCTAACAAAAGATTATGCTATTAAAATAAGCCTCGTTTTTATTGCCATACGAGACTAAGAAAAGGGCATCTGCTCGGAAATTATTAATGAAGTGAAAATTATATGAATGATCATAGTTATATGCATCATTAATAGATTCATGCTTTCGTACGCGATGTAAAAAAACATATCATTGTTTCTTTTACAAGTTTGAACGAATATTAAGTTGCGCATGCGCAATTCGTTTAAAATATAATTATGACGCTTCATTTTAGGCATTTGAAAATTATGTAATATAGAATTTTTCTATTTTCGTAGAATCTCAAAATTCTATGACAGGTTTCTTTGTTGGTTCTTTATCTTTTTAATTTCTTGTTAATTTAATTTGTTTTAAAGTAATTTAAAACGCACTTACATGCGACTTAGAATGTTTGACGGTGCTTGAAGTTCAATATTTATCTCGTAAAGCAATTTAAGGCACTGTGGCAATTTCTCGACGCATTTAACTGAAATTACAGACTGACGACACTAGTTTAATTAATGCTTAACGATTAATGAGACTCCAGGAGCATACGAAGCTTATATTGCTTACAAGTGACGGTTGTAGGTAAAAGAAAAAAAGGAAGAAAGAAAGAGAGAAATAAAGTATCCTCTATTTTTCTTATATAAAATATTTTCAAATTAATTCAAAGATATTATGATACAATGACATTAGAGCCAAAATAATTATAGCATAATAATAAAGATTCACTATATTTTAATGCTCTGGTAATTGTAGACGCGTGTCGCGGGTTTCCATGTTCTCATTTTCAAAAGAGCTAAATAAGAGACCGATTAGATTCGAATACGCGTATCCAGTCTGGGATCAAGGAGACGGCAATACTTTGTGATATTAACAGATATAATTTGTTGTTTTATTTTTCTAGCTTTAGTATAAATAATATTAATAGCGACAGTGGCGAACGATAATAAAGTATGCATAGAATTGAAATATATTAAAAACAATACTTTTATTTTTTACTCTGTTCATTATGTCTAACCTTTATCTCTACCTTCCTATTTTGATTTACATTGTCAATTGTTTTCACTTATGTTTTAAAACGTAAGAGCAATACTAATGACACAATCCTGTTTGACTCTTCTGCACTATTTACTTTACGATTGATTTTGTTTATCATAGTTCACCCACCAGTTCATCATATCCGATTAAAACGACTTATATTAATGTTACACAAACTTTGTTAAATTTCATTTATAACCGTCCACTTGATCCTGCTTTGATTTAATATAAATAAAGTTATACCTACTTCTCTGTAAGAACGATGCCAATAAAACTAGCATATATTCAAATGTATTGCCACCAAGTACTTTTATATCAGTAATCAATTTTAAGAGTGCATTCATTTTTATTGTTCGCAAATACTTCGAATCTGACGAATTATGCGAGGCCTTCAATTATTATATTAATATATCATACAAGTACCATATTTTGAAATTTACATAAAATACAGATAAATTGACGACATTCTATTACTAATCAACAGTGTTTTAGGAAGTGTACATAACCTATTAACGATAGACATTTCTCGTAAAATTTCCAATGAAGTCGCATGTTATCAGTGGTATTGACATCGAGTACATAACGCTATACATACACTATGTGAACGTTGTCGAAAATTTGTCAATGACATCGATTGTATGACAGCCATCAAATTACTGAAGTTACTTTGTTCTATATAATATCGCATCTTCGACAAATTACATAGGTGTTGCGTGGATTCCATTTAATCGATCCAGGCTAACATTTTAATAATCAAAAATCTTGTGAGAACGTTTTTCCCCGTATCTCACTTAGCTTTCGCAATATTCACCTGGAATAATTAAGATGAACGACTCAGTGTAATATTTCGCATAAGGCTACGGGATGATTTCTTCTTCTTCTTGCTCCTTTTGACTTTATGCCCTCATAGAGCGCCAAGTGCCAGTACCGGATGGTTTAACGTACAGAATGGATAAATAATAGTGTAAGTTGGTAATTTCGTGTTCCTCTTGTATAGATTAATTATTCCTATTATCGTTAACACGTAAGTAACCCCTTTCATGCCACGCCCTGGTTATCATTTGACTCTGTTTATATTTGCAAACAGAAATAGGGCGATCCCCATGTATTTTGATACGGCTAATTGATTTAATTAATCACCTGGCTAACCTATCTGGCTAAAAAAACTTAATGTTTCAATGTTATTGAAAAGATAAAAATTAATTCTTAACATACAAATGCATACACGTATACAAAGATAACATATATTTTATGATCTTAATGAGAAAAATGTGTCCTTTTGTTAACATCAATATATATGGATGATTAAGGGTGAGATGTTATTATAAATACATATCTTTATCTGGCAATATATTATAATTATAATTGGTCCACTAATTATGATCATTCGAAAATTCTTTAAAATCCCATTGCTCTTTTCTTTATGGATGCAATCGAAATTTTATAAGCTTTCTTAAGTTATATAATTTTATTTTGTCGGAAAAACCGTTTCCACTGGGCTCAATTTAAACGTAATCCATGGTCATTGATTTATTCTATTTAAACTTTGCACGTGTTTGGTTGATCCTGTTTAAATCTTGCATAATGGAAATATATTAATGCCATTCGAGTTTGAAGATACGTACAATCTCTTCCTCTGTAATTTAATTTCTACTTTTTAATTCATTCCTCTTCCCTCTCGAAGATATAAACAAACTTGATGCTCCTCATCGCGGAGAGCACCGATAAGGCTGCGGCATCCCTCCAGCCGTAAGTGGATCTTAAAAATGAATGGCCCCATTACTGTGCCTAATAAGATCTGAAGCTCGAGTATAATTAAATAGGAAACAATCTTACGGTTATCTTTTTAGCAAATAATAGACGTTTGAATGGGAATAACGAGAATAAAGTGAGTCAATGACTAATAGATGTTAAAATAACCTTTAAAAAAATAAAAAAACCTATATAATAGATAAGGGAAGAAATTAAAATAGAGAATGAAAAGAGCGAGAGTTAGCAAGAAAAAAGGACTTATACATACTCTATGTTACTACTATAAAAGATGCTTTCCACGCCACGGGGGAGAGATTGTATTAGTTTCAATTGATTTTCTTGAAAGGAGTTGAACACCGTGAAAGCTCCAATATACAAGAGTACCTTTATAAGGCAAGGCAGAATTTCTTTATTTTTTTCCCTCTTCTTCATAAATATAAACTTATAGCTTCTTCTGTCCTTGTATTCTACAGAGTTATATATATCAGAAGATGTAATATTCTCTGCAAAGCAGATTACTCAGTGATAATATTTCTGAACGTCTTACAGCATCCGTCGAACACGCTATAATATTTTCCAATGTCTTAATAATTTAAGTGCAGTTCAAAGCATTGAGGAACGTTACGGATAATCCATCCACGTTAGAGTACACGTCAACTTGAACGTACAGCATTAACTTAAGAAAATCGTCTACTCAACGTAATGAAATATTGACGCACAATGTACAGGGAAATTAGCACAGTTTGTATATCGCGTGGGGATATTGCCACATTCATGAATCATACAGGTGTTAAAGTGTGAGGTTCTTGTGTCGAATGAAAGATCACCACTTGCTTTACCAGAAAGTATTCATTGGACCAAGTGACGTATAAATTATTCATTGCCATATATGACAATTAGCATGGAATTTAGGTAACCCAGTTTCAATCGATATGAGTCATGATCAAAGATTTGTTCTGTTCAAAAAGGAAAAACTCAAAGACCAACTTAACTTTAGTTAAATTCTCATGATTGTCCAGGTTCGCCTAGGCATAATAAGGCGGATCCCTCGTACTGAAGCTACATTTTGATCGACCATGCTCTCCCTGTAAGTATCAGCTTATGTCTTTGCTTTTGATGTAAAAGACGCACGCATATGTGTATCCTTGATGGAACGTCATCTGATGTATATATCTCTCACATTGTTATAAATTTTCACGTTGACTGTATATGTATATAAAAGAATTAGGATTCAATTGCGCGTCGAGCACTCATGAGTTAGGAAGTGGAGGGTTCTGGACTGGCGTCTATATAGTCAATGTCGGAGGATGTAGTACCACTTCTTCGACGGTTTGGACGTGGAGATGCGCTTATTCGTGCCTTGACGCTCGCAGTCGAGACGCTCAAGCGACTGCTTGTTTTAGGTTGATTTTTTTGTCTAAGAAAATATGAAAATTAATGTTTTTCGCAGCTAATTTATTTCAATGTCAATAAAGACTTTGTTATTCGATCATTTACCTCAGTCTCTCCTCTGCACCCATCATGGCAGAGTTCAGTTCTTCTTCCCATTGTTTCTCCTTCCTTTCACGTTCCTGTCTCTCCATCTCGCGTTCCCTATTGTACACCCTGTATTCAGGAATGTAAGCAAGTCTCCGTACGTCCACACCGGGACCAGCTGTCTCTGACCCCGGGGAATCTTCTGGCGGCAGTTCACCCCTCAATGACCTAAGTAAAAATATAACGGTTACAAACTTTTAAAACACTTTTAAGAATATGGTGGTTCTTAAGAAGTCTGATTACCAACCTCTGCTTAGCAAGACGTTTTTTCTTTTTATGAAGTGGTTTAGTCTCGATGATCATCTCCTCAAGCTCGAATGTCGGATCGCAGTTTAAATGATCCTTCGGCGGTGTAAAGATAGGCTTAATCTGCTTCCTGAGAACTTTATCAAAATCAAGATCGCTCATCACGGTTATCTGTTTGAGCTCTTTGAGTGTAGAGACGCGTGCGCCTGGTGCCTGAGTAAGTAGCTTGTCCATAAGTTCCCGGATGGAAGGACTCCAATGTGCTGGAGGCTGTCTATCCTCCTATAACAGCGTGTTAGACACTTTAGAATACAGTTTTATAAAAATGGAGAACCTTGGATGCCAACATCCTCTCGAAAAGCTTCAATTTCTCACCTGAAGGATCGCCAACGCTTCTCTGTGTGACGTCGCAGCATGAAGTGGATAAGGACGTACTCCAGCAAGGGTTTCCCAAGCAAGGACACCCAGACTCCACCAGTCTACCGCATAAGCATATCCAAGAACTCCGTATTCCTCGCAGGAACACATGTAGACCTCAGGGGCTGGTAAAGTATTCACGTTACAACTTATACGCGATATTCATCTACCTTGAACGTCCAGACATACCGATATAAGGCTTCGTTCCAGACATCGACGTCGCCAGCTGTCCATCCTCCAGCACAGTTGCGATATTGAAATCCGTGACATGAGCATGACCTATGTCCAATTCAAAATAGCAAAACCGTTGTCATAGACCTTTGCACAAAAAAAAATATATATAACCGCATCACACCAGCAACCAATATTAAAGCGCGGTCGCGCGGAGTAAATACGTAAATTTGAGGCACCTCAATATTGTCTAGGTCTAAACCATCACACTCCTTTATGAATATTTTATTAATTTCAATATATCACTCTAACCTATGTCGGAAAGACAAAGCCTACTTTCTCTACTTCATATAACTATATGTATATATAAAATGCTTAACTGATCTCAGTGGGACCTTATACGTGGACCATGTAGTACACGTTAGGTACAATTTACATGTGTATTATTCAACAGACGTACAAAAGCAGACATGACCCATGTACTCCGTGTATATCTATAAACAGACCTGTACTATACATTGAGTACAAAGATATTGGGGTAAGTTTGGTATATATCATTATAATGTAAAACCCTTTCTGAATGCCTGGTAGAGTCTGAATGATTCAAAGGCAATTTTTAAATCCAAACAGCCCAGAACCAACTGCTGTAGAATATTAACTGTCTGGGTCTGCCTGTCGCCCTGTGGACGAGATGGGTAGGGTGTCCATTTGTTTAAAGTAGAGCGAATCAAAGGAAGACTCAGCGAAGGCACGAAATAAGAATTTCTAAAGGAAACGATATAGAAAACTATGCTATTGCACGTGACATCATACAACAAGAAAGGGGATCCCTTTGTTGCCTTGAGAGAATTAATTCTTCATGGGGTTTCACATCAGCCATCTCTTTGGTCTGGTTATGACTTTATGCTGCTATCAGAGACTTTTAATATTACGCAGAAGATGAAACAGCCTTCGTTGTACTGTACCTACTAGCCTCTCGTCAAATTTTACGGTGCCTTCCAATTATATCGGTAAGTGGAGACATCCATCAACCCGTCTGTTGTAGGGATATATGGTACACTTAAAATTATATATATATATATTGCTTCCCAGACCACACCTTCTTCACGAAGCTTCCTAGAGTGCTCGGAATATTTATGGAGACTGGGTTAAGTATCCTATATCCAGTGACGATAAAGTGTAGAGTAGGCTGGACCTGAAGGGGTGTGGATCTGTGTAGTAGAACGCACGGAGCTACGCAATATAATACAACCCTTGGTGTGGTTCTGACCTTTGTTGAACTTCCCAGTGATTCTCAATCTCCACGTGAACTCTATCAGTATGCGAATTCCAACTTATACATTGAAGACATTACAGTCGTAGACTATATTGAATGCTAAGGGTCAAATGGCATTCAACTCACCTTCTTCGTCCAGTAGTATGTTATCCGGTTTGATATCTCTGTGGATAATCTTTTGACTCTGCAAATAATCCAGAGCGAGCGATATCTCTGCCACGTAGAGTATGATATTTTCCTCGCGGAACTTTACGTCCTGCTGGATATGGTACCTCAGGTCACCGCCAAGCAACAGATCCGATACCATGAAGAGGTCCTCTTCATCTAAAACGTGATTGCTCTCTCAGTGTCGAGTTCTTACTTTGTTCCTACCCTCAGGATTTTGTCAATAGACCTCTTGGTCCAGGGGTAGCTGATGGCTCTCAATCTGTGAAAGGAGCGACTCACCTTGGAAGCTGAACCATAGGTTCACCAGGCAGGGATGTTCTAATTTCGACAGGATCTCAACTTCTCGGGCTACGTTTTTCAAGGCACCCCTTTCAGCACACTCCCCTTTGTGGACGTACTTCATCGCATACATGTTGCCGCTACGGTCACGCTTTTGTACGATACATACCTTTAAGGGGAAAAGGTTCCATTAGGTTTTTTTTTTTCTTTTGTTCGACACACTGGGTGCGCATTTAAAATTCCATTAAGAGTATGTGTTGATCGTGGATCTTGTTTGGAGGAAAATAATTTAGCCGTGGGTAAGATTATCGTAAGGTTGCTCATTGATTTTGGATACATAAATTATGTTACGGGTGTCGTTATTAAATTGTAAAGGTACTTTTATACTCCTGTATTTGTGTGAGAATTTTTAGAATCACAATGAAAATCCTGCGGAACGCTTCTGCAAATTGTGCGAGAACGAAACGTGAGACGGTAATATTGTTATTTATCTTATCACGGTGAATTGTGGTTGCTGGTAATTTAGATAAATTTTTTTGCCCAATTACGTGGATTTCGTTTTACACCATTGCGACAGGGATCGTAACATTGGGTACGTGTCGTGAATCGTGACAAGAAGATTGCAGATCCCACTGTTTACTTGGACAAAGATTTTCTGAAAGTATACATGTTTCATAAGTGTAGAAGACGTCTACATTATTAAACACGTTGGATAATGTAGGAATATTGGAGATTTATTCTTTAATATTTTTTTTTTACTTTGCATATCTACGTCCTTCGGAATTTCATAAAATTTCATGGTACCTTTTACGACAGTGATATTTACCAAACAAAAACAAAATCCCAGTATCTTTCGGTTACGTGACGAGATAAACGAAAAATTTTGAGTAAATAGAAAAAAAATTTGATAAAATCCAGGAATTTCAGTCAAACGAGATCTCTTTCGGGTACAAATGAAATTGCGAAATCACAGCGTGAAATTTTTTTCCAATTTTTCATACCAATTCACCCCCCAAATAAATTGAAACATTTAAAGATTTAACCGTCTCACCTTTATATACCGTGTATAAAATATTTGAGGTTCTGAGAAAGGAGTAAAAAGGTCGAAAACTCATCCGTTTGGAAATATGTATACTGGACGACGGGGGAGGGGGCAGAGGGTTAAAGGTATTACAGCAAGAGTATTTTAAAAGTATAAAAAGGCGAGCGATCGATCAAATGTCTGCCGGTTGTAGCCAAGAAATGAGACACGATCGATCGATCGAAAAGAGGGAGGACAAATGTAAAACCATCGTCTTTTGGAACTCTTAACATCCAATTTTTTGATAACGTACACGTCAAACGTGATTTACGTACCTTCCCAAAACTACCCTTTCCGATGGCACGTAGAATTTGAAAGTGGTCAAAATTCACTGTAACAGACAAAGTTTCGAGTCCTTATCATAATATCAGATTTGAATACGTATTCATCTTATCAACCAAGTTTTCACTGGTGAATCTTCTTAGTCTTCCTCCATAAAACATATATCCTACAAAAGATAAGTAAATTGCTCTTCCAGATATTCCAGACACAGAAAGATTCCATACATATTTCACGAACACAAACAAAGTTCCAAATCTTCTCAAAATTCTCAATCCTAAAAGATCCTTATACATACACTATAGTTCAAGCAGCAAAAGAGTATTCTTCGATCATTGTGGCCTGGATACCAAACCATGTATACCCAAAGGGCACTCTAGCTGGTTTTACTGTAGCAGTTATTCCAATGAACGAAATTGATTCGTGCTGAAGTAACATTACCAAGTATCCTGCGCCAAGGAGCAATTGTTAATCAATGTATCGGGTACCCCGTTTTCCGAAGGATTCCCATGTTGTTTATAAACTGAAAAAGCTGGGAAGTTTACTCGATCTCCTATTCTAATAAGAAATGTAGACCGTATCTCGATCTAGCTTTATCTAACATTTTTATAGCTCGAGGAAGGACGTGGACGCTTCTAGAATTTACTGTGGACTCAGAGGATATAACTTACCTTCCTCACCGGGAGTGGGCAAGCTGCGAGCCGATTGGTTGGCACCCATTTTTCTAATGGTTTTCACGATAAACCCCAAGTGCTTTGTGAACGGTAGCCGTAAATCCAACACGGCTTCCACATTTTCTCTTAGTTCTCTTGTTCGAGCTTGCACTTACGCGAAAGCACATTTCGCGAAGACTGTTTACTCGTACGGACCGATCCATCAGCATGTTTTATTACATTTTCTTCATATTTTTTTACAAATCTTTTGTTTTATTCTTCAACCTGTTATAAACGAGATACCGTAACGTAAATCACTGAATTATCACTTATTTAAGGATATCTACGGCTTAGGGGCTTATCGGCTTTTATTAAATTCTTTTTCCGTACGAAGCAATCAACAATTAATCGATTATGTACATATAGATATAGGAATATCCTATACTAACATGTAGCATTACGCGGGCTCGAGGGTAATGATGTTATAGTAATATCATTAAACTGGTATTAATCAACAAAAAATTGATTATCTTAAGAATTTCTTTAATGCGAGTATCCCACGATAGAGGGATGGTCCATTAGTATAAATTAAGAGTGAGACAAAATATTTGATTTGTATCTAAACCCTTCTTTTAATAATTCTTTTCGGATTCTGTAATGAAATATATTTATTTCAATTACCGTTTGATTATTGATTTTGACAGATTCGTCCTACCATGTTTTATATTTTGAAGATTCGCGAAATGGGACTTATATTTCGCAAAGAAAATGTTTCTTCAAATTAATGAAATATGGCTCTTCACTGTTGAATTAGCGAGCTCGGCAAAAATATTGTCAAATTCAAGCAAATTTTTTCTATATAGAAATAGAAATTGTCAAATGCCAAATACTCTTGTCAAATCAGAGTAAATTTGTATAGAAGCCAATTAGGCTGATTTTAATGAAAATAGATTCAGCAACTCAAAGAGCACGTTATTATGTGGAGTAAAAATATCTGAAACGACATACACTTTGCCGTGTAATTCGTTATACCGTATCAAACATTTTCAGAATTAGAGTATCGTTTCTTCAGTTTTATCGTTTCATGCTAAATATATATTTTCCTCAAACACATTTAACTACCGTATCACAAGTTTCGAGTTTTTCATTTAAAGTCAAAAGTAAATGATCAAGTGGCGACAATTCCGCAGGGAAAATTAATGAAATGAATAATGTATGTGAATGGGTATGTTCTTATAAGCAAAAGCGCCAAAGCATTAAATCGCACAGAATGGATTCCTTTGTATAAACCGCAACGTGACTGCCGTCTACGAAATGTGTAATTCCGCTCTCGTTCCACATCATTTTATATAGGCAGAAAGTTCACCAAGCTTTGTACGACTAACAGAAACGGCGTCGCATCTGCCGCGCATATAGGCAACACGCGAAGAGAGTAAAGCGACGTTCTTTTTATTCCATCTAGGACCGTCGGTAGAAACATCAGTAGAAGACCATGTGCTTTCTTTTGAGAATGATGCCAAGCGTCTGCCGCGTGTACATAGACACCTATACTTTGTGTGATAGAACTAAAGTCTAAGTTACCGCCCTATATCAAAAATGAAAACGAATTTGTGTTGCCCCATACGGGTAAAAATCTATTCTCCTCGTAGTACAAGACGTGACATAGAAAGAGCGATGCTTATCGCTATATAAAGCATATAAATAGAAGAACCGTGACGCATTGGACTATATTTCATTTGTGACGGTAGCCACCTATGTTTTTCGTAAAAACATCGTTGCTACGACAAGACTCGTACATCAAAACTTCAATCTTATTAGTAGAGTATACCATAGGATGAAATACGATTCTTTCTCTTATTTGTTTGCATTATAAATAAGAGGGACATAGGCATAGAGGCCGATATACATATGTACATTCGTCATGAAACTTGATTAAAAGTGAAGAATCGCACAACTTTCGTACCAGAAATAGAAACAGAACTACAAGATTTAAGTGAAGCGTAGTGTGCCACATTAACCCTATCCCCTCCTGGAACATAAATTGAAGAACATACCATGACTGGAAAATTTGATATACACGGCGTCACAAAGGTACAAGCATTCTTCTGTAACTTTTCAAGACAACCTACACTGTGCAGCCTACAAATCTGTCATTTATGGTTACAGAAGATTGAAGAGTGTTCGAGGGTGAATATTTTGTAGGATGTGCACTCTTACGTGTAAATCGTTGTAATGGGTGTCTACATAAATTTTAATGAAACCACATCCTCCTCATGGAAGGTTAACAACGCGGGTAACTTATCACCGTCTTAAACACATCGCGTTCCGGTGCCGTCATAACCTCGATTATGATTCAGTTAAGATTTTCGCGTTATTCGGTTCACTAGGTTGACCGGAGTTTTCTGTCCTATTTTCACCGTCCCTTGTATCGCTCTCATGTCCCTTTCTGCTGCTGATTTTAATGACAACAATTGACTACGACAGCTGCAAGACGTTAACCGTCAGCCGGCGTTTACCGGCTGTACGAACTCAAGGCAGTAACGGACGGCCACAGGGCAACACTGGTGCCTTCGCGGTCGGCGTTGAAATGTCAGTTCTCGATGTGGTTCTATATAATACGGACGTACCCGCTACGGCGTCTGCGCGGAACGATTCTTCATTAGCCTTCTACATGTATGTTATCTTTTTATTCTTCACCCCACCGTCGTTTGCAAAATCGGAATACCAATACATAGGTTTGTCAATCCTTACAGTATCTTAAATACCCCTTTTATTCTTTCTTTTTATTCTTCTTTATTCTTCACCCTACCGTCGTTTCCAAATCGGAAAACCAATACATAGGTTTGTCAATCCTTGTAGTATCTTAAACAGCTCTTGATGAATACACATTTCCATAGAGTAAGAATAACTTGGGGTTACTAAGGATTTATACGGATCAGAACCTCAGCATTGAATTATATCATAGAAAAGACAGGAACTCGACCTTGAAGCGTAAGGATAAACGTTTTTCCACAAGTTCAGATATTTATCCTTCACAAAGGCATCTTTTTCGAGAGAATTGTTTTTAAGGTCGATGCGGGGGTGACGTGAATGCAATTAGAGACAGAAGCTACCCTTACCACAGGAATATAATGGCATGGCTGGTGATTAGAACTTAATGAAGTGTAGTTCAAGGATTTTAATAAAGTTTTAACATAGCAAGACCTTTCGGGAGAAAACAGACTTTCGTTTAATGCTACGAGGGATCATTCCTAATTGTTATAACTTTATATACGTAACGCTCATACACGCATAACTGATACCAGGTACAACAGGATTTTGGGGAGGCTGTTAGAGTGCATAGTCCCTGAGGGAGTCGGGCTCTTAGAGGTTTGTAATTCATTGGTTAATTTCCGAGTACTATAACCTCTTCTCTTGTCTCTAGGGATAAGACGGGCTCCAAGTACTTTCTGGCGTCTTTCCTTCTCGCCCTTTTAAGTTTTCGATCGATCTGCAATCGGAAAGGGTTCTATACGATTGAATTGAGTCAAGGAAAAGATTCTAGAGGGACGAAGCGAAATACGTACATAAATCGAACGAGGCGAAACATAAAGCGGATAGTGAGAAACATCGTAAAACTCCAAGAATACATAGGGGAGACCAAGATGAGTGGGATAAAATTGAAATAAGAGAAAAACATAGGAAGAATTATCGAAGCAGCAGAATAACAAAATTTCCTATAGCAGCCGCAATTGATGTCTTTTTTCATTTTAATTTTTCAACCTCAAATCGTTTTCTCGCCTTTTTTACCGTTTGTTATTTCCCTCTTATCTATTTTTTCACATGGTATATGCCTGAGTGTCGTCGCCACTCGTTGTTCACGTAGCGACGATTAGCGTGGCTTAAATAGAGGATGTGATGTTTCCTGTGTTGATATGTGGCACTTGTGGTATATATACGACCACACTGAATATCCGTATACCGTCCTCAGCGAATCGTAACTATTTGAACGTAAAACCCTCGGAAATACGCGAAAAATAATAACAGTTTTATTAGACATTTAAAAACGCAGCAGTGGTTTCAAAAGAATTTTAAATCCGAGAAGGACTTAAACATTTACCAAACAGTTTTAGTTCGTCAAAGAGAAGATGTATTAAAGTTTGCCTTCTACATTGAAAACTAACCTAGCGCTCGGGTTACTGGATCGATAGCCCTCTTCACCGTCGTATACGGCAAACGGATCGAATTCGATTCCCTTTAGCAAAGTACAGTCGACGACAAGCTAGACTCTTCTCTATGAGAACCACTGATTCTACCTGGTTCCCCACGAGAGCAGGAGAACCTCTTCGGAGTGTCCTCCATGGGAGGGGGAGAGAGAGAAAGAGACACAGCAATGAAACTTTGAAGGGGATAGACGAGGATAAGAGCAGTGCTTAAAGAAGGACACCCTATACAGAAGGCATTGTACTCCGCGGCCGTCATGCGTTCCAGGTGCTGGAGGGCAGTCGGTACTCGCACGAGCCACTATTCGTTCCTTTCCCTCTCGATTCTATAATTTTTATCCCAAAAACTGTAACGCTCACGACAGAGCCGAAGACTCGCCTGATGTTTCTCAGTCTTGTGTTTATTTCCGTACGTCCCGACGATTCTCTAGGACCGAACGACCGCGTAGATCATCAATAGCCACGTTCGGGATAGGAACTACAATGCGGATACCTCGTGTTCTGGTGCAGTGCGACATTCCGTGATATATCCTCCGACAAGTCTAGCTCCTTCCTCACTCCTGTACTACTTTTCTCCATTCTTTCACGTTCCTATCCTCACTCCAGTGGCTGCTCCATGTGTCTCTTGTTCTATATACTATGGTACACAGACGCGGTCGTGTCTCTTAGACTACATTTCTGTCGTTCACTCTTATACTCGCCACTCGCCGTAGTTCCCCGGTGTTGTGCTTTTCACTTCGCCGCCGTCCATAGTCCCCTTCTGTCTGCCTAGCCATCTTCTATACGAGTCGATATTTTGACACGGGAAAACCCTTCTCGTTACTCACTCTGTCTTTGTATAGGAAATAACAACGTGCCGTTACCTAGCATACAGTGGATATCGTAAACACGAGGTTTACGCGGGTTAATACAGTGCAGTGGCTTTCGTCGTTAAAGAGAATAATCTCGTACGTATCCAGGCTTAATAACGGAACGTTCTGAGCCGCGAAGAAACCGTGTCGTACCGCGTGTTACTATCATCGTCCTCTATAGTACTACAACAGCCGGCTTTGCTTATGCGAGCTGTTTTGAAAGTGCACTGCCTTCGATGAAACCGACTGGAAAGATGAGCGAGTTCCGACCGAGCGACTAGAGTGTCATTCGCCTTCACGCGTTGACGAACATCGGATCATGGACGAGATCTGAAGAGGGCTCTCGCTCTCGTATTTTTTGCACTGCTAGACCGCGAGGAACAGGATTATTTATCAGTGAAAGTAAACAGGACAAATCGTCAAGCTGGAGCCCACCAAGGAAACCAAGTCCAAGTATGTAACTGCATTCAATTTCTGATTATAAATACTTATTTATTTAACTAGTATTTCTTATGAGAGATAGCAGTAGTTTAATTCGCACGTGCGTTTTGTTCGCTGAGTTGAACGACAGTGTCCTTGTGCGCTTATGATTTCTTGAACGCAATCTACTTTACCGACGGAGTAGACAAGGGACCTCGAGAAAATAATGAATTACCGGCCAAACGCTGATTCACGCATTTCGCCAAAATTATTTCACGCCTTTGGTATAACCCAACGTGCCCGTTCACGTAATCGATCGATTTCTATTGACACAGAATTTTGTGCTTATACATACATTTATCCACTTGAACTTCTTTTTTCCTTGCGAATTGTGAGTTTTCTTAGTAAAAGCCCAAAGGGCTTGCGTTGTAACAGGTAATAAAAGGATCTGCTCTACCGCATAGGTCCTCTTTGTCCAAGATTCTTACCTGTGCCTTTATACAGGACGCTCGTGCATCATCGGGATAAAAATTTATTTAGAAAGTTCGTGTCGAGACCGGAACACGCACCCGAGCCAGGCCTGAGTCACCTCGAAACATTTTGCAATGGCCTATCGGATACATCCTTTGTTCTTCTGTACGTGCATCACAGAATGCACCACATGGCGTTGATGCATCCATAACACGCATTTAATACATCGACCAAGCGCAGGGGCGTTAACCGCGCGATTCTTTGCTGTTGCGGATTCGATTTGCAACCGCAACCGCAACTTTAGCCGATCGTTAGAGTTCTGTGTTGTAGCTGTTGCCTGTATTCTGTAGAAGCGTACCGCTCATACATAGTATACAAATGGCATTATACATATATATTGCACTCATGCATTATTATCAGAAGCGTCAACCACATCGTTGTAGCCTTAAACATGCATGCATTATATTGCACATGGTATATGGTATTTGCGACGATACGTCATGCAATTAATGTATGACAAATGGACAATTCGAATAATTCATTTTCATTGGTCTATGCCAATTCGGTGAGTTTTGTTTCAAAATTAATCAACAGTTATATTCTGGACTTATCTTGTGTATCGGAGCGGATGAAATATTTGTTTTGACTGAGAGAGCACGTGTGACTGAAACACGTGTTTCTTTTTCTCTTGCACGTGTTCTGATCGATACTCCATATTATACCACAGAGAATATATCTTAGATATTGATACGCGTAAGTAGCCACAAGTGCCACGAGAATTCCTGTACGACCTTCCTTTCAATTTCAGGACTACTTTTCCTCTCTCCCTTTCTTTTTGGGCTTCCGATTATGCCGTCTACTTACGAGATTTTCTTCTATTTTTACAGGATGGCTCCCGCAGGGATGCCTTCAGCTGTCCCTGCTACGCAACCTGCAGGGGCGTCTTTAGCTGGGGCAACATTAGTCAGCTATAAGAGAAACTGGTGGCGAAGGATCGCTCCATGCTTAGCATTTCTTGCAGCTTTTTCCACAGCCATGGCCCTGCTCCTCGTATGGAGCGAAGCAGCTGCCCTTAGGTACACCAGTGCATTTATATATGTATATACTTTACTTGGTATGCCGTAGAGAAAATAATCCGGAGTCTAAAATACCTGAAGGAAATGATTAAGATATTCTGGGGTCCTCCTCTCGGAATGGTATAATTATGCATACATTGTGTAACGATCTCCCAGGGGATTTTATGTGATCCATTGAGAACCCCTTGCAGACGGGGTAGTATAAGACCCGATAAGATAAAGAGGGTTCTTAGTTACTGACAAGGGTGCGCTTCATCTGTCCGTCGGGTGACTGGTTTGAGGCATAAACCATACTTCATAATTCAATTGGCTCGAAGTTTATTTTTGCGAGAACGAACGCAAACAACTAATGCTGCTTTCATTGGTAGCACTGCGGTCTGAAGGGGCAGCAGGTAATGACATTGCCGTCATTCGATCCTCGGACGAGGAGGGAGTCTTTTAGTCTTGAAATTCGAAAATATATAATTTTACATCGTCAAATTCTTTCGTGTCAGGTCGCACGGGGGTAGTCTCCTCGTCAATTCGAGAATACAGTCTGCCCTGATTTTCTTTTCTTTATGTTTCTCGGCTATAAGTTTATAGCGACAAACGACCCTCGTTCGTGACTTACGGACGACCTTTCATTGCAGAAGACAAGCCTTCGATGCAAATATGACCAGAGACTACGTGCTTAACAGCGTCTCTATGGACAATCCCCAGTTGGTCGCTTATATTCGCGAAGTGCAACTCAAGCCCACGACTCATCAGGATCCACTAAATGCTACTCAGACTCCGGAGGAACGATATATATCCGGTTTATTTCAAGGAAAACGAGAGGGTGTATATTTGGAGTACATCAGCAGGGTAAAGAAACGAATTGAAATTCATGTATAAAATTGTCACGTATTGAATTTATTCACACAATGTATGCTTGATTTTAATATATTTTCAGGTGGGAGCAGTTTCTACCAGTACGTGGCTCGAATCGAATCTCAGCTGGAGAGGAGTTCTTGCTTTGACTGATCCAAGAAGTTTTTTTGAAGCACTAAGAAGCACTAGAAATCCGCGAACTAGAGTCCTCCATGCCTGCCTGAGCACGGACAAGGATACCAAAGAGGTGAAAAGTTTTGATCAACAAGGTAGAACTGGAAAAGTCTCTACGGCGGATGAACTGGAATTAAAGTCTTTGTTAAAAATCTATACTCTATTGAGTTACGTGTATATAGTTTACGTGTATTAGTGTATAGGGTTATGAAGTTGCTATATCTTTTCATTGTCACTCTTCAGATAACGTATCACCAAGAATCAGAGGTTCAAGTTACCAAGTTAGGCGAGGGGCCTAATAGTCTTGTCACATCGGACGAGAACCTTCCTACCACAAGACTGAAATGCTTTCCTTTGTACAGTGTTCTTCTGGCTTATAATTCAACTACACTTGATTATCTGAGTCTGGATAGTCCCGACGCCCAAGATGGACAGGTGAATTTTATTTTCATTTCAGTGCTTAAAGAAATGCGTGATATGCGTTTAAACAGATTCGGTTACTCTTTTTCAATGTTTTTAATTTCCGTGTAATTAAACTAATGTGATTAGGTTTGAATCGATTCTTTGGAACGTCACAGTATATTTTGTATACCATTAGGTTGATTGCCAGTTTAATGGGGTTTTCAAAATTGGTCAACTTTCAGGTCCTGGATACGATACCTTGGGATATCATTAGGATATCGGTACTCTCTATTCGTTGGAGCACTCATCATAGCGAGGCGGAAACGAAAAATTTAGTTGGAAAGCTGATAGATCGAAGATACAAACTGGTACACACAACGGACACAGGAAAATTAATATTCTTATTCAATAGGCGACTTAAGATTTGATTGTAAAGTTGGCGTCTGAAATCAGCAGTGAACGAATGTCTGATTAATGAAACGAAACTATTGACATTTAAGCGAAGAATTCACGGGTGGACGTTATCCTCGAGCTCTATGATCAGAATCCGAAGATAATTAATCACTCCGAGTTCCAATCAAGAAATCGACGATCGAACCCGAAGAAGACTTTTCTCACGCAACTTTCATCACAATGAACGCACGAAGATTGATCGTGCAACTCGAACGATCTCAACTTTTTAGACGCTTATAAGAGATTTTCTGGAAATTCGTTATGAGATAATTAGATCTTTATACGACAGTCAAGGGCAAAGCGTTCGAATTATTGATTTAACAAAATAATTCAACAGATTTAACCTCGTCCAAGATACGTAAGCACAGTCCAGACGGCCTTAACGTAAGAGGAGAAACCAAAAAGGAGGAAATTGAAAGGAGAATAAATAAGAGTAACGTAAAATGAAGCAATTTACTTTGGTACGATTTTACCATAGGCTCGTTTTACCGTGTATGTACACATTATAGTAATAAGGTAAGCTAATAGAAAAGCGAACAATCGTTTTATGGAGGATGTTGAAGAATTTTATTTTTAAATAAGCGTTACGCGGCTGCGTGCGGGTTACGCATATTACGAACGCTCATTTACGCGCGTTTATTGCGCGACACTACGACGTTAGGTTAAGTATCCACGAATAAAATCGCACGTATTATGTAAACTCACACGCTGCGCAGTGATAACCAGTGAGCTATATACCGAATACCTTAAGTACGGGCCTTATTAGTACGTAAGATAATATTTTGCTAAGAAAAGAAACAATATTTAAATGTCTCGCAGGATAGTGAATAAAAGCATAGGCTCAAAACGGAGTAGAGTTAGCATGTAAAAAAATTAAGGATGAACATTGATCAATGAACAATTAATTATAGCAGAACCTACAGGACTGATACTTAAAACGCAGCTTTCGTTAAGTTTAGTATAGTTATGTTTTCACGTCAATTCAGGACGATCGGTTATTTGCCAAGAATTGTTGTATTCTCTGATCCTTCAATTAATATTTCACGCTCTCATTTGAAATATCCGCTGAAATCATTGCCTGAGATATTAATTCGATTATCAGAAGTTCCTGGTTACCGATCGACCTGGTGCGTTAAGGATTTGTCGCACTCAATAATTAAGATAGAAAAAAGTGTTGATAAGATGAACGCGTGCCGTAACGAATTTTAAATAATCGATATCGTTAAAGGTCATTTTGCTTTTCTCAATGGGATTAAATGGCACGCGTTCATTAAATTCAATCATTGTACCATATTTACATTGTATTCCTATTACCGAATGATCATTCCACATAATTACCATTCGAGAGACTCTCACAGGTTCACCAACTAACTGTATTAAGAATTTCGCCTGAGCATTGTGGACGCCTTACGTAATTCTATGTATAACTTTGTTCACGGGCTTTATTTTTGTCTACATCTCATTATCTTCATTTATTTTCATACTCAATAGACCACGTTACTTTCTACTTTCTGGGGGAAAACAAAATTCTCTACGTAGACCTGACGTCAGATAAGACTACAGTCTTTCTTTTATAATAGGTAAAACTGTTTTTTTTTTCTGAGCAATAAAACTAGATATATTTTGAACGATAAGTATTTTCAATTATACCTTCTTTCCTTTCCACATTAAATTATTAAATATATGGCTGTGTTAAAACCAAATGAAATCGACGTTCAACTGACGTACGTCGGTATAAACATCAAATCTAATCTTTGCAAAATTCATCTAGTGTACTATATTGCTCACATTCAATCTCAAAACCCCGATAATGCACCACTTATGTTTCATCGTCTTCCAGGCTGAGCTGATATGTGCTTAGTGTTTATTAGCGGCTTACTGAGATTTTTATTACAGTATTGCCAACCGTATACCTATAACAGCTAGATAATCTACGATGGTAATGATGGCGTCGATAGGTACGAGCATCGATCAAATATTGATCGATTATGATTTATCGTCGAAAATAACTCGTCGTTATTTTTCTTAGTTGTGTCGATCCAAGATAAACATTACCTTAACGTCATTATTGGACTCGAAAGATATATTACTTGTTTGAAACTAAAATTTCTTCTAGCACCATGGCCTCGCGGTTTCTTATGCCTCATTGGAAATTATGAGTTAATATTTGTACATTTGTAGAACTTTGTCTTTACTTAACGTTATAATACAATCTACTGCGTAGGTGCCGGTCGATTAAACGAGGTCCGATTTACATGCACTAAGACGCCATGAACTTTTCCTTCTTGTCAATATGCATTGTATTCGTGAGAATTCATTTTCAGTCGAGAACGAGATATAAGAAGGTAAAAAGTATAAAAATTGATTAAAATAGAAAAAGTCCAATTTACATGATTTCATTTTTATCGTAGGATTTTGTACGATTTTTTGGAAAATATTCGTAACAACATGAAGTATCAACAATTTGTATAAAGTATCGTCTTAGTTAACGATACAAAATTCGAATGAACTTCGCACGATCAGTCATGGCTGACTAAATATTGTTTCTGTCTGAAACTATCGCAATCAAGATAAAAGGGTAACTGCGATAATCACCATAAGAAGAATGTGTATCTATGTCAGCTCCTTGTCCAAAGTTGAAATCGAGCGTTAGGAAGTTTTAATGCTTTTAAGGCGTCAACTGTTGAATAAAGTTTTATTTAATTTTGCTATTCAGGACGATCGATGTCTTTCGTAAAGTGAAAAAAGAATAGAAGTAATACTTCATCGAGTGGAACTAACGAGCTTCTAGAAAGTGTTTTTACAAATATTCATCTTTTCCTTTCTTTTTACATTCTCGGAATACGATTACGAACAAACAGAAGGAGGTTTTTCATAGTCAGTATTCGGAATGATAAATAGTGATTAAATAACGTTTGAAATAGAATTAATACTACTTCAACTGTACAGAGCATCGGTATAATGAAATGAGAACACGAAAAAGTTAACTCTTTAGTATAACAATTATATAGGTATACCAAAAACATATAAATATAATATAAATTATACATAAATATACAGTTATATTATACACTGTTAATATTTGAATAAAAATATTTTTACTGAATTACATTCACGACCGGCGCTCGAATAAGGACGTGTTATACTAATTTATATTTCTCAAGTGTCAGGATGATTCTATTGACCAAATTTTTATTTCTAAGCCCAGATAAGTAAGATTAGTGATAATACGTCCAGATAATGACTGCCGTGATATACTCTGCTACTTCATTTCTCTGGTCACTTTAGAGAGAACCTTTGGTTTGGCTCAGACTAGTAGTCTGGATATGGCAGTGAAACGAGCTTTCACCCTATTCCACTGAATCGTCAAGAATAATCAGGGTGTCATACAAATTTTAGTGTTCTTTAGCTAATTAAAAAAAAAATCTATCATAAATCCTCTGCTAATTAAATAAGTTGGTGGGGTCAGGAGAATCAGATTGATCTTTTTAAAAAAAACGATTTCTAAGGTGAACTCGCAAAAATGGAGGCGGTGGGAATGATGAGGCAATCGGGCCCGCAGCAGGAAAGCAGAAAACTTTGGCAATACCTCGCAACGTGTTCTGGTAAAAGCTTTGAAATTTCCTGATAAATTATTCAACATTGACAGGCTTTGAATTCTTATTGCTTGATCTTCGTTAATGAATTCGTAGCCTTTGCTACGCCATGGGTTAATCGTGCTTTGTTGTTACACGTGAATATTATAATTCCCATTCTATCACTTGGAGCTTAAAGTATGTAATTATATTCTTAGGTTGAATTCCGATTGAATTCGTATATTTTGAAATGTTGGTCTTGAAGTATTACTTTGGTACATATTATCTTTCATTACATCTTAAGCTTTTTTTTCTTCTCTTTTCTACTTGTTTTAATCAACCTTCACTTTTAGCCCTTCCACTTTTTCTTTCAGTACTTCCATCATGCTTGTATTTTTAATTTGTATTATATTTCAGTCTCTCGTCAGCTTTTATATCGTTTCCTTTGTGACAGATTTTCCAAATTTTCTTCTCTTGAGTTTCATATTCACAGACGTAACGTCAATATAACAGATTTTTTATATTCGCATTATAAAAGATACACGTCAAATATAATATTGCGTTTAATGAGATTATTGGCATTTAAAATTGCTGAATAATGAAAATTTCAAATTATGGACAATTTCAAGAAGTCCCGTATTTCCTTAACTTATATCCACTTTCAAAAACACTGTTTTTTTTCGAAGTAAGACTTTAGGATTTCTTATGATGAATATTTTTCCTCTTTATTTATAATACTTTCGTGTAACGATTAGATGCAGAACGTGTTACACAATTCAAACGTACCACCTGAAGTTAGTGCTCTCGTTTGATTCTCATAGCAAAACAATGTTCGGGTAGAGCGTTTGAATTGAATAACTAGGTATACCAAGGTTCTGCTAAAGGTATTCGACCGTTCCTGACCTACACTTTTTGGTCATGCATAACACAATAATTGCCTCAAGTGGAAGGTTGTTGCCTTTTACTATAAAAACGAATAAAAGAGACAATGACATACAGTGTATATGATGCCAAATTCACGCTGCATTATTTCAATGAGACTTGGGCATTGTATAAGAAAATGATGAGTTTTTATTCTATCTGATTTAACGCATTGTTCAAACTTCATATTTGTAGCAATGGATTATCTACACTTTAGATAAAGAGTAAATGAGGTCGCACAGGATATGAAATGAGTCGTGCCGTGTTATCGATAAGCCGTATAAGATTCTTAATTCGTTGTGTATTATCGACGTTAATAAAAAAATTCAAAATTAGCTGTTTTCTTTTATTATAGTCATTATTCCAAAGATAATTAATTCACTTTTTAACTATCTCTTTCCTTTTGTTGATCTAGCTTGTCTAATGGCGTTTGCTGTTGGAACTGCTCTGGCTTGGACTTCCCCGGTATTACCACAGTTTGCACCCACGAATTCAACATCGAACACTACGTTAAACACTACGTCCAACACTGCGTCAAATGCTACATCAGACTCTAGACTGATTATCTCTGAGGAAGAAGGATCCTGGATAAGTTCGCTATTGGCAATAGGCGCCATAATCGGTGCCATCCCAGCAGGAAGTTTGGCTGACAAACTTGGTCGAAAAAAAGGGATATTGAGTCTCTCAGTTCCTTTCTTTGTCTCCTGGATTATGATCATCCTGGCATCAAGTGTATGGTTGTTTTACGTTGCCAGACTCATTGTGGGAATTGCCGTTGGTGCAGCTTGCGTCGTGGTACCAACATACGTATCGGAAATCGCTGAAACTTCATCACGTGGTACACTAGGATCTTTGTTTCAATTGTTTATAACAATCGGAATTGTATTGACTTTCGTGATAGGGTCAGTAGTGTCATACATAGGACTCTCTATAGCGTGCGCCATGGTCGAAGTCCTTCTTGTAGCCACATTTATCTGGATGCCAGAATCACCCACGTGGTTTGTGGTAAATGTGCTAATTTGGTTATTTAATTAATTTTATTTGTCCTTGGATGTATCATTCGATTAATTACATTCGCCAGGCACAAGGTAGAAAGGCTGATGCTGTGAAATCACTTGAAGTCTTGAGAGGCGATAGTTATGACATATCTGAAGAATTAGCCAGCATCCAGAAGGCAGCCGAAGAGCAAGCCTCAAGGAAGTCCTCGCCATTTGCTGTTATTAAAACTCGAGGATCTCGCAGAGCTCTTATTTCTTCACTAGGAACAATGGCCTTTCAACAACTTTCTGGAATCAATGCAGTCATCTTCTACACTGTAAACATATTCAAGGCAGCCGGTAGCACCATGGAACCTTCTTTGGCAGCCATTGCGGTAGCTTCTGTACAGGTGTGTGTTTATTAAAAATTTAGAATTAAAAAAATTTTTTTAATTCAATTATAGAGATAATAGAATTAATAAAAATTATTATCCGTTAGATGGTCATGTCAGGAGTCGCTGCAGTGATAATTGACAAAGCTGGAAAAAAACCACTTCTTATTTTCTCTTCAGCCGTCACGGCCTGCTGTCTTATAGCTATCGCATTTTACTTTAAGCTTCTGGAAGGAAACAGTGACGTCAGTAAACTTGGATGGCTTCCACTTACTTCATTGGTTATTTTCATGATGGCTTTCTCAGTAGGGTAGGTCAAGCATTAACCATCTCTACAGATACATAAGATTGTACCAGTGATGGGCATTTGCTGGTTCACTGTACCGATCAATAGGCTAGTGGCTGTTGAGTACTGGGACTCTTTTATGTCTTTACTGAGAGTTTAAAGTAAAGAAAATTAACTATAACAAATCAGAAGACAGTTTTTTTAAGTTTTTAGAAAAATTCTCATAGCCAATGATTTTTTTTAGACTTTGTCATTGCTCGTATACGTACTTGTTTCATGAACTTTATTTATTGTTTTTAGGTTAGGTCCAATACCGTGGATGTTGACTGGCGAACTCTTCACTGTGGAGACCAAGCCCATTGCCTCTAGTTTGGCAGTAATGACTAATTGGGGATTGGTTTTTCTTGTGACAAAGACTTTTCCGACCATGAAAACACAATTTGGCTCTGCTATAACTTTTTCAATTTTTGCTATCATAATGGGCATCTCGGCGGTCTTTTCATTTTTCATTGTACCTGAAACGAAGGGAAAGACACTTGAGGCTATTCAACACAAATTACATAGAAAACGTCGTCGCAATATTGCTTAATCTATAATTAATATAACCGTGATATCTGGTTGATTAAATTTTAAGGAATCTAATCCAAATTGATTTAATATGCACGTAATACGGATATCGGAGATTCTTTTTTTTTCTCTTGATAAGAAACGAATATGTTGCTATTTAATCATGATTCAATTTTTATCGCTCATATATAGATTACATTTATATAATACAGAGTGCTCATGTCTAACCGCATGTGAGTTACAGGGTTGGATGTTTCATTAAAAATGTGATGGAAAAAAAAGTTTTCCGAAACTGCATAAAGAAATCACTATTATGGTTTATGGGGTTACTGACTCTGAACCATATATCTTATTTCCAAAATCCAAGATGATGCATGCAATATAGTCGACTAAATTCAACTAGTAATTGAATTTTTATGAAACTTGGTAGTTGGGGGTCTTAAGGTCGCTCATTACGAACTTGAATTAAAAAATTCAAAATTTCAAAAAGCAAATACAATATGGTGACTCAAAATAGTCAGCCACTTTGGGTCAACCGCCGCTTCCTCGTTTCGTGATTCTGAATTCGGCAGAGAGCGGGATTTAGCAGAAATTAGGCAATACGCGTATTCACGTGATGAAGCAAAAGTGGCTCGGCATTTTTTCACGCACACAGCACTGACAGCAAAGGGGTTAGGCTTATTAATTTTTGATATACATTTTTGGAAATAATTTAAATTCAAGTTTTTCATCATTAATCTATCCGTGGTGACTTCGGCAGTCTCCGATAGATAATCGCAATCCATTGAGTAGGGTACAGTCATTTCTTCTTTTATTAATTATTAAATTTATTTTTAACATTGATAACACCCATACAGTCCTCTGACTTTACTTTAAATCAGAATGTATTTTAATTATTCACCCAGTATGTCAATCAGTAATAAATAGGCTAGCACTATGGCTGTTGAGAATCTTAAGAAAAAAAATTATAAATATAAGCAAAAACATGGCTAAAGCGAAAAGCAATAATTAGATCGGACCAACCTATCCAAGACATTCCAACTTAACGCTGGTAGACCAATAAAGATAAATTTGAATGATAATTATCTCGTAATTTAACCCTCAAAAATGAACACCGCTTGATCAGGTGTAAGTTTAATTTTATTGTAAAATCCAACCCTGTTATGTACATTCGATCAGATGTGAACACCTTGTATATTCATGTTATCGTACATTGCATCTTATCTTATAAGTTCACAAAAACATATATTGGAACCATTTGTGAAATTGCAGTCAACTTCATCAAGCATTTCATATTTTGTTCTATGAGAATTAAAAAAAAACCTAAAAGTATTTCGTCATCCTCTACTATTTGATAAAGCACAAACTATGTTATTAAAATCCTTTTATACGTCTACCTTATTGAGATTATCATTTTCACGCATTTCTCTTTGCGGTAGACAGTCGATCCATTTTATTTCCGAGTTTAATTCCACGCATGGAGAATGGAGCATATTAAACTTCAGGCATTTAAGTGGAAACGAACCTTCACAATTTTGATACTCGACCCCGATCCGGAATATAAAACCGTATGGGATAAAAAAGAAAAAAACGGAGTTTTCAGTGCTGCCATCTGTCGAGTTTCCTCTCAACCAAGTTACTAGTAGTAATCCTGATAATATAGTCAGCCACGAGCGAACTCTTGTTAAAATACAATAATAACGTGATGTACAACTGGCATCTTGGTGGACACAAGTTTTGTAGAGATAAAGATAACGTACAATGTCAGGGACGTATCAAGCTAATTCAAAATGAATATACATTTGTTATCAATTCTCTCCTTTTTATTTGTAAAACGGAATAAATGTTGAAGAATATTTTATAAAAACAAAATTCTTTAGTTCTAATAATCGAAAGGTTTATTATTCGATATAAATTGACTAGAAAAGCATTGGTTAGTTTATTAGTAACAATACCTCAGATTAATTCATACTCAAGTGTATTAAGTGCGATACGAATAATCCGTAAGTTATTGCTTTTGTAAAATGTGCAATAGCCTCGTACTAATCCAGGAGCTACAATATGCAAATATAGACTCTTGATAACGAATTTATTTATCTTTTACAAAAGAATATCGCATAAAGCTCACTTGTAAATCAATTTCTGACAATTAATCGAGCGTCAAATCAATACATCTTGTTATTACTATTGGATATCGTGAAATCTTATCGGATGCGTCGCGTGGCTCAGGATTTGATATGAAATTATATTTACACATGTATTCGATAAGTGCAAAACTAATTATGGTATCTGTTATCAGCAAATTTAATAAAAATCACAATTACTTATGCATCAACGTAATATTTTTATTTTTTCAAGTCGTATGAAATATATATACAAGAATATAATAAGTGAGGTTAAACATTCAGGTGGAACGTTTAGTAGTATCTACGCTACTGGATTTATTGGATAATCCATTTGATATTGGTGAAATCTAAATCTCACGATTAGTTGTATCTGTTCGAAGAATTAATTTTTTTTTCATTTCTTGTAGGGACGTTTATATGATGTTTGCTTGAAGATTCGTCAGTTGCATGATTTAGTGTATCGCAATTTGTTCAGCAGGTTCATTTTTATTTAACGCGCTTAAATAAATTCTTCCTTTAGTGAATATTCAATGTCGTACATTAAAATTTGCTCATCTGTGTTATTGCAATTCGAAAAGTTCATTGCATTTCAAAGGTTTAATTATTTGATTTTACACAAACTTTACAATTACTTTGGATTATTTCGAATATTTGGGAATTAAGCATAATTAGTGAGATTACAAAAAAAAGTGAATGTATAAAGTACGTTAATGAAAATTTTAACAAGAAATAAAAATAATTAAGATAAGTATAAACATGATCGAACGGTAATATCAAAGAATTTCGAAAACATAACATTGTTATAGGTATACCGAAAAAAAGTGATTGATTAATAATAAATCGATATAGTAACGATAATATAAATTTTTCCATTACTTCAGAGTACGGTTTTACCAGTTTGTAAATGATTAATATTAAAAAAAAAAGTTGAACGGGAATGATAATCTCTCCAGATTATAAATCACGCAATAACTCGACACAGGTCATGCGTCCAACAATTGATTTATCATAACATTGATAATCTATTAGAGTTGCAAGACTATTTTACTGGAAAATGAACGAGTAAATACCCAAAGTATCACAGTACAGTTAGATTAAAAATAAAATCGTGCAGGTTATTCAAAACTTTGCAAACTTTTTTTATAAACCTAGGGATCCCTTTACGTTAGTTTAAAATTTAATTCAAGGATGAACATGAGGCAAAAAACATTTTCGAAAACGAGCGACGAGCAAGTTTTGAATTATTTATTATTTTTCAAGGGAGGACAAAGTAGACCGATTACATTTTAAAAGCTACGAATAGGTATAAATAAATTATTATATATTTCCGAATAATCAACTTACACAAATGTTATTCAAAGCTGTGAATAATTCATTTCCTGCTTTTACAAGTTTACGCGACTAATGCTCTCTTTGCTTTGATATGTCGATACCGTAACGCTCTTTGTATTTTCATTATAAAAGATTTGACGTTTTCAACGTAAAGTCAATTTTCCGAAAGTTAATTAATGATGGATCTTTTAAATACCCAGACAACACATAAATCCAAAAGTCATTTTCAACGTGTATTAAAAACAGCTTTTGTCACATTAAACTCCTAACGGACGTCTTTTGGACATGTGTATTGTCTGGGTACGGATTTTACGTTTGGCGGTAAATTCAAATATCTAGGCAGTTTGTACGTTGAATTATTGTCGAATGCATTTAAAAATAGTCTGATGATACTTCATCACTACAGATAGATAACAAATATCAATGGTTTGTCATTTGTACATTACATAACAAATGCTCGCATTTACTGCAGGTGTCTGGCTGTCATTTTATCCTTCTCCTTGGTAAGTGCAAGAAAGCAATAGCATTTCTTATAAATTTAATAATCATCGAAGTAACTAATAATACACAAATATAATGATTTGGTCAAACTAATTCTTGGTTTTTTTTTTCAGTTAAAAATTTTGTATCTTGTACCTAATGATACAACAAGTGGAAGCTGATATGAAGAAACCCAAGTTTTATCAGTAATCATTTTATCAGTCGTCTCTGACGACTGATTGTCACTGGATTAAATTTTTTTTATAATTATGCGATAAAATTCTTTCTTGCTTGTCAAAAACATTTTAATTATAATAATTGTAGCTGATCGGGAGTGTGTCTGATCAAAAAAATTATATCCTTTTTAAGATATTTGAATTAACAAGAAATTCTATAAAGAATCTCTATATCCATGCGTTTCGTATTATATACATATATATTATAGGGTATAAATATTTCACGAAGGTCGATCTCCTTATGTTACGTTAGTTTCTCCTTCCCGTCGGAAGGTGCACGAAATTACTCGCTGCAATTATAATATAACGAGAATCGATGGGAGTATACGATTAGGGGTCGTACTCGTTTCCTCGTATTAGAAGTAATTTCCCTTAGTAAGATGTTTGTCGGCAAGAGAGTTTAATCAGAAGGGATGTTTGTCTACTTGAAGACGAAGTATTCCAGCACTCCCATTTCTCGTTACGAAGCTGTTCGTATGATAAGTAAATTCTTTAACCTCCATCTTTATGCACGTAGACACTAGAAAATGTCCTTGTCTACTTGCCTTACAGGAAGGGTCCTTAAACAATATGACTTACAAGTATGTCATTGGTATAGTAAGGAGATAAGTATGTTCGTCACGTAGGCACAATTACACCGTGTACTATACTACCCTTTTCAAATCTAACGGTCTTTATCGATAAAGAAGGAATTTACAATATCTATCAGTTGAATTAACGTTTATCGGAATTGCCCGACCCGTAGTTATATCAAACAATGGATAACGATTATTAGACCTGAGAATATGAACGATTTTCACTTATTTTATAGATCCTTGATACTTATAAATATATTTAAGAATCGTAATAAAAATTTATTTGAACTTCGGATGAAACGACTGGAGCAGCTATAATTGTCAAATATATTTGATAATTGAATAAATCTAAGGTTTTCGATCTAACGGATATTGGAACCTATTATCGAAATTTGATTTTATGGTAGATTTGTACTTTACAGTGTATCTGTGTGATATTTTACAGAGGGATTGATATTGTGTTATCATATTGTCTCGAGAACTGGGGAGAGAATTGACCCCCACCAATGCTGTATACGTAATAGAGGGGCGCCCGTATAAAGAGTATGGCTACAGCCCTGTACCGGAGAGTTACTCTTCGGCCGTGTACGATCCCGCACCCTATCGTACAGTTTTGATCTGTTGGTGGGAAATAAGGACAATTCGAATTAGACATGGCGGAGAAAAGCTCGAAGACCATGCAAATTGTTGCCACCATGGCAGGTAAGTTATTATCATTGAATTATTTATTTATTTAAGAAACGTGTAAAGTCCTTTAACCAAATTATAACATAGCTAGTGAAATTATATTGTTGTCCTACAATGGTTAACGATTCAAAAATTATCCGTGACAAAGTGCACATTATTTTTATGCATACACCATGGTCCGATGTTTGTAATTTTTTAATCAAATTTGTCTGATTTAATATTTTTGGAAATTTCAATAATCCCATCCTTCATCAGTATATAAAGCATACGGATATGAGAGTAAGAAATTAAAAAGAAATAATGTTCCTTCTGTCTGGATTTTTGTTGTCTCACAAAACTGATTGCAGTTGCATTCCAAAGTGTTATCTTCATCGCGCGATCCAACAATTTTTTGCAAAAACCTGCACCGGTACACCGAGTATACGATAATGAAATGTTCAATATTACATAATGCTTTAAGATCGGATTTGTCTTGGTCAAATTTTATCAACCTAATAAACAAGGTTGAATGTTTTTATCAAAGATAAAAATAAAAACATCGCCGATAATATATATATATATATAGATAATATATATATATATATATATATATATATATATATATATATTATCTATATATATATATATATTATCGGCGATGTTTTTATTTTTATCTTTGATAAAAACTCCAATCTTTTAGCACTTCCATTATGGCGAACCTATCGTATACTAACAATAACCGCGGTTAATGTTTGCCAATGAATTTTTCGTATCTTTCAGTTTAGTCAAAACAGCCAAAACACCGAAGAACAACGTTACGTTACGTTGCTCATGCAAATCGAACTTTTTCATTCACAACAAAGGAATTCACTTTGTGCTTTTAACGTACGAATCTGTTTCTATAGCGACGCAAGCGATATAGACGCACTTCCAAATATAACGCGTGAGGCGTCACGAACTTGATTACTTCTGATTCTAAGCCAGCTTGTCCGATCCCACGCCTGTGCGAAGCAAAGCTTTCTGCAGTGTTCTGGATAGAACTAAATAAATTGATAATCACGAAAAAATTTCAACTCCAAAAAAAACTTTGTACACGAAACTCTTCTATATTAGGTTGACGCAATTAAATATATTCACAATACATTCAAGTTTTTTATTATTCTCTTATGATTTAGCATTGGACAGAAGTTTGTGATAAGAAATTTTGTAACTGGCAAAGTTTTGTATTTTGTTTGATACGTCCTTAATGACAGTTTGATTAATTACTTTGTCATTATTTGGCTTAACATATTAATTCTTGTGGAATGAACAAATTTGTAGCGTTATCAAATTTGATTAATTTAATTCATGTAATATATGTGACAATCACTTAGCGCCAACTAATGAGGATGTTATTTAAATTGATTCCAATCTCGACTCTTTTGTCGTTATTTCATTGAATGTAGTACCGGATGCGAATGCTTTAATATGGCTAATTCTACTTTTACGATGGCCGAGATTGATATCAATCCTCAGTTAGAATTATGCACTGTCGGCCTATTGAATTGTGCTTGGCTTGAGAAGTTTGCTGGTTTTAATAACAGAGACATTATACAGGTAATAGTGAAAATAGTTTTTATACGTTAATGCTGTAAATACTTTTATGCTTACTGAACTCGGGTCTAATTTATTAACGTTGATCAGACCGATCGGCAAACGATGCCTTTCGGTCCTGGGATTTAAATAATTCATAATACTTAACTATTACATGTCAAACTTCGAGGTCTTTCCTGCGTAGCTACTGTATATGTATAATGTGGCTCCACTTTTTTTTCTCTTCCACAAAATACAACTGATCTCAACAGTGTGTAAAACTTGTTGCTAATTTCTTTCGCATGTCAAACGTGTAGCACCTTTTTAGAACCAGATCTATCCGGTTTTGTATTATTTGTCGATTTTCGGTCACTAAATGTAAATATGTTACCCATAAGCGTAACAAATTATATATCGACCTTTTAAAATGCAGACAATTATTCGTATCAATATTTTCTTTTAATTTCGAATAACTTCTTACGTGTACACTGTATAAAATTTCGTGCTCCATTCTCCATATTTTGATTTGGTCATTAAAATATCGAATTCACGATCTTTTTAATTCTAGGATGTCCGGAAACTTTGAATCTAAGGTTGCGAATGCAAATCGTTAACCAATTTGTACATAGGGTTCGTTAAGTTAGAATTAAGTGCGCATTTAAATCCATATGATTAGCATTTCAAATTTCAATAGGTAATAGGTTAGGAACGTGGAGCTTGCAAAGATTGCTAAGGAGAGTTATTTGTACTGATGTACTTCGAGGACATCATACACGGGATTATATGTTTTTGTTATCCTTAACTGTCGATAAGGGAAATATAGTATGATAAGGAAATTTAATAAAATATAAATATTGATTTGAATTGATTTTCATTATTTTTTATCCTATTGTTTTATCCTGAAATGCGAGGGAAACGTCAAATAAACTTTAGGCATTTTTTTTTTTACTTGTAATTTATATGATAATGTTTCACACGCCTAACGTGATTCAATTGTTTACATATATGCTGACAATACTCTTATCATTTTCTGTGATAAATGCTACCATGAATTACCACCCACTTGTACTCTCATTGATAAATAATGAAAAACTGAGTTATCCATGTTTTATTGTATTCAGCCAACAGGATAAAGGAAGAGGCAGTCATTTTTAGTTAAGAATATAAAACAATGTCAGAGGGTTAATAATAATTTAATTGGTTTTTTTTTATAACGAATAAATTTCTACATCCGCCTGAACTTTCATTAATAATTTTATCACTGGAAATAAATTAACGTTTCAAGAGAAATACAAGTATCTTTTGTTTTATTCCTGAATATAATTATATATATTTTGTTTGAACTCCAGTCGAATTTATAATTTAATTATTTTATGATAATTTGCGAAATATTATACGAAGTATTACATTGGGATTTTCATTGCATATTGGGCAGTATATATTAACGTAAAAGAAAATTTCATGTTACCCTATTATTAATATGGTATAACATTGTTAAAAAAAATATTCACATTTAATACACAAATTATCGTAGGTCATAGTTGTGTATATTGCAAATGACAATTTCTTGTTTCCATGGTTACGGCCGAAAGTGCCGGACGATTGTACGCATCATATATTTCTTAACGCTTGATCACCATTATTTCGTACGTGTACTTTTCAGTGATCACTGAATGAGATTCTTAATTTGGACTTCATTACAGCGAAACTGTATAGTCCTTGACTTGACTGGACTCAATCGACTCGGTTGATTATGCAGATGTAGTTCCTAACCAAGCGATAACGTTTAGAAGGACTTTCCATTTTAGTAATAGTTATCGTCATGTCGAGGTCGGCCATATCTAGGTCTAGTTCAGTTAGTTATTTTTCTTCACTTTTTTGCTTTATTCTTAATTTGAATAATGAAACAAGTAAACTGGAGTCAGACGATGGATAAATTATTTATTAATATTTATTTATTTATTTTTTTCTATCTCTCAGGTAATCTCTTCCTGGTGGCTGTTGGGACCATGATGGGGTGGTCTAGTCCAATTTTGCCAAAGTTACAAGTTGACCCAATTGCTGATGACAACCCTTTAGGAATAGTAGTTTCTTCTGAACAAGGTTCCTGGATTGGATCGTTGGTAGCTTTTGGTGCGATATTTGGCAGTATCATCGCTGGAGTTTTAGGAGAGAAGTACATAACATTACTTTATCATATTTCTATTCACGTATCGCCCAGTGAATTTTTATTAAAGATATATGATAAAACTTACAGATATGGACGAAAGAGGGCATTGCTCTTAGGTGCGGTACCGTCTGTAGTCGGTTGGATACTGATTGGCACTGCTACTTCTATTTATCAGATTTATGTAGCCCGTGCGAGCTTTGGTTTGTCCGTCGGATTGGCCTTTACAGTTTTACCAATGTACGTTGGTGAAATAGCTGAGGTAAGGTTTCGAATTTCATAAAAATAAATTTTTATCAAGTGAGCTCTTTCTAATAAACGTGGTTTCCGTTATTTTTTTTTTCTTACAGAAATCAATCAGAGGTACCCTGTCATCTTTGATTCAATTTTTCGTCGCTGTTGGTCTCTTGTACGCTTATTCCATCGGACCCTACATTTCTTATACGCTCTTCTGGATTTTGTGCATCCTCATCCCTATTCTCTTCTTTGTGTCCTTCGTTACAATGCCTGAAAGTCCTTATTATCTTCTGATTAAGGGACGCAATGAAGAGGCCAGTCAGTCCTTGGCGAGATTACGTGGACAGAGTACAGCTGGAGTACAAAAAGAAATTGATGAGTTGCAGGTTAGTCTAAAAATCCGATCACGTATGGTCACTATAAACAAAGCGGTATTGTCATTGACGACTACCAATGCTGACTTCACGGAAGGCTACAACGCTTGAACTTCCGGTATCCTCAGACTAGATCTCCAAATTTGTATTTCGAACACGTTGAATTCATCCTTTGCATTTTTCCCATTAACTCAGTTGATTTATCATGATTCGTCCTTTAGGTCTTATTTGTAATTGTTTCTTGTAATTATATATATCTAGGTCATTATCGAGGAGGCCTACCGGAACCAAGGATCGTACGTTGACCTTTTTAGAGTCGTAGCCAATCGCAAAGCTCTTATTATGACCTGTGCACTTATGTTCTTCCAACAATTTACTGGCATCAACGTTGTCAATTTTTATGCCGAGAGTATATTCCGGAGCACCGGAACTGATCTCAGTGGGTCCATCTCGACCATCATCATCTCCAGTGTACAATTACTCTCTTCCATTGTCACTCCGTTACTGGCTGACAGGCTTGGAAGAAAAATTCTACTGATCTCTTCCGGTGTCGGTTCAGCCTTGACTCTGGTGAGTGGAGTTCATGCACTGAAAAAAAATTGTAAAGAGGATTTGCACTCTAACTACATTTCCTGCTGGACGACCTACAGAGCACAGATATATCATAATCCATGTTAGCCGATGAACCTGATAGTGTAAAGTCACTGATGATAATAGCAGTCAATGACTGTCTTTTGGAATTTATATTGATTCATAACCACATGATACTATTTTGCTTAAAAGCTTTTGCCTTTTTATCTGATTAATGGCTTAGCAAGTGTTTATCAGGAGCTGAATTTATGTAACTTGCACAAACAATGCTAGTACTGATATATCTATGCACACACGTGCTCCACGTGTCCCACTCAAAACATAATGCATACCAATCTACCTCAAGGTCTAATTATATTTGACCTTCCCATGTTCTCTGGTTCTCCATTGTTTTATCGTTGCGCATTCCTCTTGACAAGAATCCGTAATTGTCATTCCAATGACATAATTATTGGCGTTAATATTGCTTTACTTATACTTCATGTTCACAGAGTGCTCTGGGACTCTTCTTTTACATGAAAAATGTCATGAACATGGATGTCAGCGATCTCTCCTGGCTTCCAGTGGTATCCATTGTCATTTACATGGCGGTATACACCATCGGTTGGGGTCCATTGCCATGGACCGTGATGGGTGAAATGTTTGCCTCCGACGTCAAATCCAAAGCTTCCGGTATCTCATCTTGCTTTTGCTGGTCACTTGGATTCTTGATAACCAAATTCTTCACGAATATCGAAACTGCTTTTGGTACACACTCTGCATTTTGGATGTTCGGTGTCTGCTCCCTCTTCAGTGCCGTCTTCGTACTTACTATTCTGCCTGAAACTAAGGGCAAGAGTCTTCAAGAAATTCAGGATGAGCTCAGTGGCGTTCGATCGAGTCACCTTAGCCAGGACGCTTCGAGTTCCACGAAGAAGTGAGAGGAAGTGAAGAAAATTATTAGGAAAATGAAAATTGCCAAAATGAAGTATCGCTTCCGATTGAGAAATTATTTTCGAGATTTTACAAGTGTCACTGGAAAATAAATCTCTAACGATTTTATCATTATTTCAAGACTTCCGGTTTAACGGGACAATGCTGATCAGGACCTGGAAAGAATTTTTGTATCAGGTATCGTTTTTATGGTATAACTTTGTACTTCCTCGCGAGTAAGAGACTAGTCATTTGCCTCGATTTTTCTTTCAAAAATCGGAATCCGACGACTTTCGATTTTACAAGGCTGTATTTATTGTGATTTTTAGTGCCTTGATAAGATTGAGATTCTTAATTAACTTTGTTGACGGTATCTCAACCAGAGTAATTAAGTTTCGCACCTGCCATCGCGATTAGCGATTCTCGTATCAGATCATGTCGAATAGAACGATCGTACATTGTTTTAGATAATTTAAGATTAAAAATATTTTTGGCATTGATCTCATTTGTCAAAATATGTTTTGTAAGACCACCGAACGTTTGCTCGAAATATTTTTTGTTTAAAAAATTTCGAGCAATTGTAGCTAAATGTAAATTCGCATCTCTCGCTTGTTTTCATGTATTAAGTCTTATTGATTATCATGTACATTTAATTGTTGTACTTTTAGGTGTCATCCAAGAAGTATACATACAGATGCATTTGATAAATTTCTATTATTTTTCATTATTATAAGAGAAAGAGAGAGAAATGAAGTCTATGTTAAAAATCAATTTAAATTTATATAAGTTTTTTCATGTAAGACAAGTGTACATAAATGAACTTTTGTATATACTTATTAGCTTATAATAAACAAGAATAAGCTTCATGATAATATATTTCTTTCATACGCCATCCTAATCGACTAGATACCATCAAAATAGTGATTGTTGAATCGACAAAGTCTTCGTTATCGATTACGTTTAAACCGTACAGAATTTAATGTGATTCGATGACTGAGATACAATACTGAGATAAATATTCAAATTTTATATACGCATTAGATTAGATAATAGTTAAATTTTTGGCTATGTAAAATTTGAATGAGATTAAATATGCGGTTCTAAGGATTTTTTTTTTGTTTTTCAAACAAATTTAAGAAGAAACGTCAGCCGCGTGAAGATAGTCAAGTTACAAATATTCTGGCGAAATTGTATCCATACTACCGAATAAAGATGGGTTTACAAAAGGAAGCTGAAATGGTAATAAAAGCTATGACATTTATTATAATTACCTTAATAAGAAATTCCCTAATAAATAAAATCATTGTCGTCAATCCATTCTCAGAATGAAGATGACAAAGGATTGCAAGAGGAGTTGTTGAACTTGGTTAGCTTACTGACGGTAGGATATATTTTGTTGAATTTAAAAAATTATTCAATTCACACGTTACACTTACCCACGTACAACTATTTTGATATAAGGGCAAGGACGAGAAAGTAATTTTGCCATCTTTGGTACAATTGAGAATATTTATCCAAACCTCAACGACCTCAATGACTTCCGTACCAAAGCCCTTGAAGTATTTGCGAAATTCCTATGGAGTTTTGAAAACTGCCCAAGCTAGATTGAAATGCAAAGAGTCAAAGGCTCAATTCGCTGACATCCTAAGCGTCTTGGCGATGGCTGGTGACACCTCAGGACTACGTGAATGTCTTAAGTACTGTCTCCAAGGCACTATGCATAAGCCTGGTGATTGGGGTCACGAATACGTTAGACAATTAGAAGCTGAAATAACTGAGGAATGGACCGATACACCGAATGAAGAAGAGGATGAAATGAAGTACGTGTAAATTGAATTTCGTAATACGTACTTTGTAATACAGTATAATGATAATTGACAAGTGGCACAAACTTTTTCAAGTCAAATTTTTTACATTTAGAGAAAAACTTTTACCACTGGTGAAAAGCATAATTGAATTTGATATGCAACACAATGCTGAAATTCAAGCATGTGATTTATGCATGGAAATTGATCAGCTTGATCTTTTGGATGATCATTTGAATGATACAAATTTTGGAAGAGTTTGTCTCTACTTAGGAAATTGTGCAGGATACAGGTAAACTGTATGACAGAGATATAATTGTTTGATAAATTAAATATAAACAGAGTAAATTATATCTTAATTGAAATCATGAATTTTTAGCGAGGAGATGGAACGACTTCACATATTAAAAATTGTTACCAATTATTATTTGAGATTCAATCAATACACTCGGGCAATGCTGGTAGCATTGCAAATTCCAGATTCTGAATCCGTGTACAAGTGTCTGATCACTTGTCCTAATTGTGCAACGAGGAAGCAGCTGGCATTATTATTGGCCAGACAACAGGTTAGAAATGAATGCAATATTAGTAGAAATAACGATTAATAAATATGATTCAATATAAAACTGCGTCCACAAAGGATCGTCCTTTGCGAAAGGAATATCATGGGGACGATGCAAAAGATATTGAGACGATACTGAGTAACAGCCAGGTGAACGGGCATTTTCAAATGTTGGCACGTGAATTGGATATCCTTGAGCCAAAACATCCGGAAGACATTTATAAATCCTGGCTGGAAACTGGTGGGCCTAGAATATCCGAGATTCATGATTCTGCAAGAGCCAACTTAGCTTCCAGCTACGTTTCCGGTTTTGTTCATGCAGGCTTTGGTCTTGATAAATTAATGGCAAATACTGAGGATTGTTGGGTTTACAAGAACAAGGTTGGCATAATATAAACAAAGGCTTTAATGTAATTGATTAAATCCAACAATAATATTGGGCCAACTGCACATTTTAGGATCATGGAATGCTAGCTGCTACTGCGTCCTTGGGTTTAATTCATCTCTGGGATGTGGACGGTGGATTGGTTCCAATAGACAAGTTAATTGAATCGAAAGAATGAAGTTAATTCAATCATTTGAATAATCCAAGCTTCTTCTAGATATCTGTATACGAGCGACGATATAGTGAAATCTGGAGCGTTATTGGCTATGGGTTTGGTCAATTGTGGAGTTAGAAATGAATGTGATCCAGCCCTGGCTCTTCTTAGCGAATATGTTTTATCTGACAGTCAAACTCTTAGAATCGGTGCCATTATGGGATTGGGATTAGCTTATGCCGGCTCAAGAAGATCAGATGTATCTGATCTTCTCACTGGAGCATTAACAGATCAGCGAAGTACGAAAATCAATTTCAATTTTTTCACATTAAATATTATTTCTATGATAATGTTTTCTAGGTTCAATGGAAATTGTATCTCTGGCCGCGATTGCTCTAGGTTTAGTAAACGTAGGTTCAGCCAACTCGGATGTGTCGCACGCAATTTTACAAAAGCAGTTAGAATTCACTCCGCAAGAGTGGTCTGTCACTTATAGCAGGCAAGTGTTCCTGTAATAACAGCTATGGATTTCAAGTATCATCCATGGTAACCGTGATTACTTAAAATAGATTTATACCACTGGCGTTGGGTCTGGTTTATATGGGTTGTCGTGACATGATAGCTACACCGTCGACTGCATTGGAAGTCCTGCCAGAACCACATAGATTTGCTTCGCAAACTATGCTGCAGGTACTTTGACGTGATCCTTGTCTTTTATTTTACTAATTGTTTATTTATGTCATAGATATGTGCATATGCTGGCACAGGTGATGTACTGATAATCCAAGAATTGTTAAGCATTTGCTCAGAACCCGTAGAGGGTGAGAATAGCTCAAGTATTTTGGAAAATACCCCAGTACCAAGTTCCTGTGATCCAAAAATACCAGAATCCTTATCAACGTCGACGCTCCAAGGAACGTCAACAGATGCCAATAAAGAAGCAAAGACCAAGTCGGCCTGTTCCTTGAAGAATGAAGGAATTTACAAGTAACTACAGAAATAATTGCAAGTATCTTTTGTTAACAAAGTTTTTTCTAGGGACATGGGTTTACCTCAAGCCATAGCTTCACTTGGTGTCGGCGTTGTGGGTCTTGGAGAAGGAAAGGAGAATGCACGAATTTTTGGTCAAGTAATGATATTAAAAGATCATTCAAAGGTCCCTTCATTATCAATTATCCTCTTAATTCGACAGGTTGGCAGATATGGCTCAGCTGCAGCACGACGTGCTGTGCCTCTAGCGATGGCTTTAAATTCATTGTCAGATCCAGAACCAGCGTTGCTTGATGTCCTCAAGAAGTATAGTCATGACAACGATCCTGAGGTAGCTTACAATGCAATTTTTGCTCTTGGACTCGTGGGAGCTGGGACAAACAATGCACGATTGGCAACTATGCTTAGACAATTAGCAGCTTACCATGCCAAGAATCCATCTCACCTGTTCCTGGTGCGGATTTCACAGGGCTTGGTGCATCTGGGAAAGGTATACAAATATTTTCAATAATTCTTTCATCTTACTCTACTTCACTACTTTTCCAGGGTACACTGTCTCTTTCTCCATTGCACTATGCTTCAAAAGTTCTGGATCAAACGGCTCTCGCAGGATTATTAGTGATCATGGTAGCTTGTCTTGATTCGACAAATTTGATACTGGGAAAGTCACACTATTTAATGTATTGCCTGACTGTAGCTATGGAGCCCAGATGGCTCGTGACGTTGGATGAGAATATGAAGGTTTGGACTTACCAATCGTGCAATTATATTCTAGTCATTATTTAATATAATTCCTTGCAGACTCTTCCTGTATCTGTCCGGGTTGGTCAGGCAGTAGATATAATTGGTAAAGCAGGTAGCCCAAAATCTATAGCAGGTGGACGTGTTCACACTACACCAGTTCTACTAGCTCACGGCGAAAGAGCTGAATTGGTTTCAGATCAATATCAGCCTTTGTCCAGTGTATTAGAAGGATTTGTTATTCTGAAAGAAAATTAAATTTTACTAAGAGGTAATCTAAGAAATGACTGTGAATTAATTTAAAATTGTACCTCTCTTTGTTCCAGATATTCTGTTAACAGCAAGTATTGTTTGTTCATTGTGCTTATTGGATTTTTATAATAAATAATAAAAAGATACAAAAATATCAATTCTGGTTTTATAGTTTGCGTTTATTTAATTTCAGGGACTAGCGGAAGCGATGTGCTTTATACAACAGAAAAGTTACATCGGTTCTAATTGTGGTGATGGAGATAAGTTTATGGTGTCGTCTTTAAACGATTACAAAACTTAACGATTTCCAGAACTTCACGAATATTATAGTATATGTAGCTATTCGCATAAAATGCTCGTTAAAATTCTAGATAATCGTAAACGTTTTCGTTATTGCGAGCACAAAATAAATTTTACCTCCGCGCAATAAAGCTGAGAATCAGTGCCGGAAGTGGCAAAAATTTACAGGACGACTCGATCGTTCATTGGACATAGAATCTCGGCGGCTTATACAATGTGAATAAGATTACATCTTGCAGGCACATGAATCAGGATATGACGTGAGAGTCTATAGGAAACTGAAATTCGCTATAATTGTTACAATAGTGAAGATGTTATAAGTGAAACATAATGTACAAAAGATCTGAGATCTAAGTGCTACTTCTCGTGTCCAAATGATCAAACGAGTCGTGTGAACGTTAGTATATATAATTCTGCAATTTTTTTTATTAACAATTGATTTATGTTTGAGGATGCGCGAATAATAATCGCATTTTATTGGACTTCTAACGTTTTACGTTAAAATACTTTGGGCTTGAGGAATCATGGTATTTAATTAATTAAACGAATTCCCCTCCTTTCGCTCTCTGCCTATATCCAGAAAAAATGACAGTTCTTAAAGCATGACCCCCACTCCTTGAAAATTCAGCTTGCAATATGACACAATAACTGAACCGATCACCTATTCCTTACTGTCTAGAAAAAAAAAACCTCCTTCGCATACATTAGAAAATTTCTACGGACACGTTCGTACGAGATAGTCTTCGATGCTCGAATTAATTTTTAATTGATCCTGACATTAGGACAGCGGTAGTGCGTTGCAACTGCAATTAAAAAAAAAAAATATCTCGTTCCACCGTGACCGAGTAATTCAATTAAATACAACCTGGCGTCACTCAGCAAGCTACACCTCCTAGCTAGATGTTTCATATTTTTTTGTTTCGCTTATAGTAAAATATAATAATAGTAGTTATTAAAATTATTAATAATAATAGCCCTTACGTAGTAGCGTTTTGTATGTATTATAATATTATAATATTTCATTACTTTATCATAGGGATGTTGTGTTTACGTGTGTCCTGTGTCGCGGCTAAGCAAATTAGCATAAATGTATAACTTAGCATTTCTAATTCCTTCATACTTCCGTCCTCTCCGCCTCGACCCATATCGTTATTTACAATATTTTATTGTATCAATAGCGTTCCTCTCTGTATACGCTCATTATTGTTTCCCGCTATTCCGTAACTCGAGAATTACTCATAAAAAAAATATATAGTGACACAGCGTCTAAGAGTACAGAAAGGTCCACGCGAAGAAATACTGGATGACGCGCTAAACACCTGCCATAAGAACAGTTCCAAACTGTCTCCCCTCCTTCCTTAATTCTATCCACGGTCAAAAAGTTTATTTAAAAGATTAATAATCGTGTCAAGTTTAATAGCAGAAAGGGATTCTCTATCTCGGAATCTTCATCGGCATAAGATCCGAGGTAAAGAAAACATCACTAGCGTCTGGTACACAGCTGGAATTCAGTCATCCAATGTTCTATCACGATATCCAATTTCTATCTTATCATATTAGTTCTCGAAATCGCTCATTCCTACAAAAACCACAAAAGTGATTTTCACGTTGGTGGGAAACCTCATTGTAGCAAACAGTTAAAGCGACCGCGTCCTTTGAGAATCTCAAAGTTCCAGCGAGTGAAAGAGGTTATGTTACGTTGCACAAGTAATAAGCTGCCCATGAATTCGTTACGAGGAAAAAAAATAATGTATGATTAAAACGGCAGTGCCTTTTCCTTGATACACGTGGACGTTGTATTCAAAGTTTCACAAATAGCGAGTAAAATCCATACAATTTTTTCCCCTTTCCTATCGATGGTCGCCACGTTTAATTCTCTCTCTCTCTCTCTAAATCCAACTTGGAATAAAATTTTGTGCGAACACGATTGTGTCTGCGACGCACTTAAATTCTTAGTGATCGGTGTAATGAATGGTAGAATGCAGGGCAGTTAAAAGAGTCGAGCACGACGCTTTATCTCGTTACGACGCCATTGTGGTAGTCGATAGAATTCCGCACGAGTGAACTGGAGGATCGCTTCGAACTCTGCATCGGATAGATGTCGCTGTATTAAAAAGAAAATCAAGAAAATATTTTATATAAGCATTTACAGGATGTCTTATAAGTTGATAACGTACTGTATGAAGCATATGCTTACCTCAAGATTGCAACGATCTACGTCAGCTGGCAGCCTGTAGTTTGTAATCACTAGCAAGTGGTATGGATAAAGTTTGGGTGGTTCGGTTGGCGCTGCTCCCATATCCGGTAATGAACGCCTCACATGATGACCTCCATGAACTCCTACGACCGAACCCAATCCACCGGTGTACGTTGTTGAAGACGGCAGGATCCCACCGTCATTCTGAACCAGGATAAAATTTATTCAGTCCATACTGATTTACAAATTGAACATGACGCGTTTGCACTGTGTCTAAATGTCTATGATAATGTCCATTGAAGAATTTTCATTATTAACAATTCTACCACATACCTATAGACATTGAAAAATATCTAACGATAAGCTTTGTTTTGTAATACTCAAGAACAATGTAAACTAAATCAGCATACAATATACAATGCAGACAATGGCTCTTGACTGGCCAAAAAACTGTGCACTTTTACACACTTATGATACTATTTCATTGAAATATAAAAACAGCAAAAATTCCTTCGCATCTTCACATGCTTAGTCTTAAACTTAGTGGTGCTTCGTTCCAGTGCAAAATTGTGTAACAAGTATTAAAGTTTATAAACAAAGATTGAAAAATCTATTTAGTAAACAGGCAGGCGTGCATGCAACAAGAAATATACAGCGCTATTTACAGTCACTTATCACCTAATTGTACCTGGATTGTCAAATTGACAGTTCTGCGTTGGGTACAGTAATTCTCTACAAAGTTATAAAAGTGCAATGGATATTTTTCATAAAAAAAAAAAAACTGATACTCTCCAAGGGCTAGCATACACTTTTGCATTCACTTTTGTTTTATCCACATAATGAAAGCCACCCAAACATCACTGTGCAATATAACGTGTGTATCAGTAATCAAATCTGCATTGCCAAGCATTGATATTCAAATCATGCTTGTGCACTTAGAAAAAAACGATCAATATACTATGCAATAATAATTTGTGTGTCAAAGCAATGTAGCAATAAAGTGCAATGGCAAGCTACAAACCATGCTAATTCGCCGGGAGTAGTAGGGCGCTGTTGTACATACCAGTGCCCGTCGGTCCACATCCGTGATGCTTCCTGTCGATACTAAATATGTGGGAAAAAAAAATGGGAAAGAAAAACCATATCAAACTGTATAACACAAACCAGTTGTTGCATTAATTGCAATGCCTTTTCATTTCTCAATGCTGTACCTGTCTTTCGTGATTGGTATTATTGTTTTCAATTAATTAGTCATCTAAAAGTAATAAATGCATGCATCAAAAAGAATTCATATACGTATCTGATGCATAAAGAAAAAAAAAATGGGTCAGGTACAGAATTGATTATTATAGCAATAAAGATCATCTGATACTTTGCTTCTCTTAATAGACACATGTGCGTTAAAGGAGTCTGGATGCAGCGAGATGCAAGTCGATGAAAAATTGAAGTAATTGCGTTTTTCATTGTAATATACGGACATAAAACCAATTGAAAAAAATCTTTACACTTGATAATCAAAATCGACTCTCATTACTTGGCTATCGAGACTCCCATACATACTTATTTTGTGATGAATGTATTGTCAGCCGATGATTATACTTAGTAATGGCCTTTTCAAGAGTCAAAGAAAAAAAATGGCGTAACACGTCACAAAGAAAAGAGTAAGGTAACAAATAAGGCTGGTAAGCAACGGTACAACGATTCGTTATACGTAAAATTAGTAAAGCATGCCGGAAGTGAGATATGAACTTATGAAGTACTCTAAATTTTGTATAAGACGATTGGATGGAATTATTTAAATGTAGACCCATCGCAATTGGGCTCTCAGAGGAATTTTGCGAAAACGTTCCGACTGTAGGGTATAGGACAAATGCTTGAGGCGTTAGTAATAAATTAATTGAAATAATAATAAAATGAAAATCTTTTGAAAACTATCGTTATCCTATTTTCATTGTTTACTCACTATCGGACTTGCCGGATGAGAAATCGGTGCTGTGCGTCTTATCGCCCATCCCGCTGAACGAGTAATCACCCTGAATGACAGAAAGGACAATCTTAAAGACAAAGAACGAGCGAACACTCTTGATTTCTCGATAAAGTCATTAACAGACACGGTGCATTAATCGCCGCATTAAACGCGGCGCAAGACTTACAGGGAGAGCAGATACAGAACCGCCGGTCGAGGAGAAGGTGTGACTTCGCGGTGCCAGACCGTATCCCGGCTTCGGGATGTGCCGAAGGGAGCTCACAACTGGTTTCAAATGTCAATCGATAGTATTACTCATTAGTTTCGAGAAAGATTTATTCTCTCAATCCCATACGAATGCCCAACGTTCGCAAATTTATATTAAAAAGAAAAGAAAAAAACACGATGCCCCCGGCGACGGTCTTCACACGTCACATGTCCCTATTAGCTTCTTATATCCTTTTCTCGTATCCCTTTGATTCTCTTTCTCGTATCCTCCGATCAACTGACTTGATCACTAATGCGGTCCCGTACAATCAACAATAGCAAGAGACTACGGACAGTGACACAATTCTATTTTACAAAATCATGGATAACGTAGATCCTTATTAGTACTCAGAAAGACGTAGCACGTGTACAGGTGTATAAATGTGAAAACAGTAGAATCAGTGTCGAGTAACAATGGCTCTCTACTAGAGGTATATACGATTATATTTAGAGCATTTAAAAAATCAGTAGGTAATATTACTATATAGTGTATTAGAAAATCCCGTTTTCGTAAAATAGAACGTGTAAGAGTTCCCCGGGTAGGACTCGGTACAGTGTAAACCAGCACCTTCATAGGGGCGACAGTACTATACGTAACTTAACGTAAAAAAAAAACCTTCCGTGGTGGCAAATCAAGCCTGATTATCATTTGGTGTAAGTATCAAAGATAAGTCATCGAAATTTGTGGTAAGTCACGTTTTAGTTTCCATTCGTCGATTTGTCTTTCAGGGAATCGTTAGCGTTGTACGGTTGACCATCTTTTGTATCGGCTGTTTGAGTTGCGTACCACGGTAGGAAAGCTATGAAAAGCTTTCGGACTCACCGAATGGTAGTGCCTAGTGGCGTTCGGTAGAGTGAAGGCCCGCTGAGTACCAAGAGGTGGATAGTTTCTGGGAGCCGGGGAACGAGCTGACGACCTCCCGGCTGCCGCCCACGCAAACACAACACAAACACAAAAACACAAATAGAGACACGACTGTATAAAGATAGGTAGCGCGTGAAAGATCATCGATGACGATTGTTATTATGGCAATGAGATTGCAACGTTGGAAGATAAGACGCGTAAGTAAAAGTGTGGTAACAAGGTAAAGAACAAAAAAAAAATAAAAAATAAATGGCAAGAAGCAGCGATGCTTAGAGTACAAGAGAAAAATCAGCAAGCATGCGGCGAACGAAAGAAACAAAACTATGCACTTAAAGATTGTACAAATGAACAATAATAAAAATAACAAAGCGTGTCAGCGAGATATCTTCCAACGTTGTTAGTCCAAATATATTATTGAGAAAATAAATGAGTGAAGTAAAAATCCAAATAGCGTGTGGTGTGATATATGGATAATTGCGACACAAACCCCGTGCACCATGCAAACGTATATAAAATAAAATAATAAAATAATAAAAGTGTGTCTAGGTCCGTCAGGTAGCAGCGATAGTTCGATCGGGCAATGATAGTCACTTTATTATTTTCATTCTTGTCGCGAACCGCTTCCTTCGTTGATAATAACAGAGTACTCAATGGTAATTAATGGATAGTAATCTCGCGAGCTCAATAAGAAATGATAGCGTAAACTTAAAGAAATAGGCGTACGGCATGCAGAGGCATAATACATCACCTGTTCGTATTACTGAGCGCCCAGTGTGTGGTATTTGGTGCTACGCCACTTAAATTAAGACGCCGGTTTCAGTAACGTAATATCATAGGCCAGTGACAATGAAGACCCACGTTCCACCGTGAGATTCATAATTCTACATTTCAAATGGTATTTTCTATTTAAGATAAATTTATTTGGAAGTCTTCACGGCGAGAATACGAGAACGCGTGCTTGTTGATAATATAATTTAACCAAGCAACCATCCACCCACCCCTACTCATTATACGAGTCTACCCGTGTTATCGTTATTATCCGTGATTACAAAACCCGATGGGGTAGAGAGAGACACTTAACTGTAGAGTGGAATGTTAGTGTTATGTGCGAACGTGTGGACATGTATGAGATGATATAATGCTTAATGTTAATGAAACGGATTCATCTTGAGCGATGCTTCACTCGAGGATGTAGAAGGGACTGAAACTCACCGTTATAACTAGGCCCTACGCTTGATTTGTAACTGACACCATCCTCGTCTTCCCACGGTCGTGCATGATCTATGTTTCTCGATGGCGCTGAAAGTATCGTCGGTCACTCGTCAATTAAATCAATATATTAGAAGAAGTGTGACAAAGAGATCCTCTGTGCTGAGAGACTTACAGGCACCGACCGGACTCTCGTAACGAAGCCTATAAGCTGGTTCCCTGGCAGCGGAAGGGGTTCTTGATGCATTCCTAGGATCCACATGAGCAGCCTTGTGTCTTAGATTTTCACGATCCTTTTCGCGATCTTGTAGAAATACCTTGGCAATTCCTGTGTCGATTTTACTTAATTCGTCGTGCTCTTTCTTTAATTTTTGTTCCGCCTCTTTAATGTAGGTCTTATTATCCACTTCATCCTCATCGTCAGAAGCTGGCACGCCCTGAAATATTAATCTACTCTAAAAACTTGCTCAAAGTGATCGAATAATTGGATTTAGTAATTTAATCGAGCGCGTGCATTACCTTATAAGTGTCGGACCACCTTCTGCGCCTCTCAGGATCAGTATAGGGATAGGGCGGTGCTGGAAAATCATCACGTTCTATTGGCGGCTGTGCCCCTGGTGGTGGTCTCATGGCATCCGGATAGTGTGCCAGCTCGATTGGTTCTTCATTGTCCACCTGACTACCGGCAGCTGGTGATTTAGGTCTAGTATCACTTAAAGCATCGACCAAGGCTCGCATTCCTGACCGGCTGCTGCGTCCTCCACTGCTCCTTATCGAACGCGATGCTGTCAATAAATGTCACCACTGTCAGCATCAAATTTCGTATATGAGACATGGTCCCTAGTCGTACTGATTCGTGATAAGGAGATTTTCAATGATTTTCATTGAAATTCTACGTATCGCTTTGAAATCCCAAATAAAAAAGACATTGGTCAATCTATCAACCGCGAAAAACTCACAGCTCGGTCTATGGAAATGTGGGCTAGTTGGAGGTTTATCGTAAGGCTGAATGGGACGTCTCAGGTATCCCTGGGTGGGAGCCTCGGTGAGGTATGAGTATGTGTAGATCCTAGAAACATCCTCGGCACCGCTGCGTCCATATTCCCTCAGGATGAGGCCAGGGCTGCCAGTTCGTGCAGGATAATACTGGAGAGAAAGCACGTCAGATTACTTTAATAGATATCATTCAGATAAAGAAATCTGTGACCAATTTCTTTTATACGTGCACAGACATCTTGTTATCAGAGTACATGTAGCAGTACGCGCGAGATTCATTATAATAAATAAATAAAATTAAGCAAGTTACACTCTAACGAGAAGACTTGGAACTGAAGAATACGTCAAACTGTTAGAAACCTTCTCGAAAGTTTGCTTGAAAAATATGGCGTGGCATACCTTGCGACTGAGGCTGTTGTAAGGGCTGCACAGAGATCCGTTCAGGCTTGGAGTGCGTGACCGCAATGAAAACTATACACAATGATCGTGCAAAAAAGTAAATAACAATTAACGAAGCAATAATAAAACTCAATGAAATCATATACAGTGATGTAAACTGTTGCTGATTAATACATAGTTATATAGTGAAGCGTGCACGAGAGCCAGTAAGTGTTCCCGGTAATATGCATGTTAAATTATTTCGTATTCCGGAAATAAAACTGAAGCTATACACAAGCTTTATGCCGACAATAATACATTTACAATTATTGAATATTGTTTTATAAAAATTAAAATAAAGAGTTTAGCGAAAAAAATATAAATGTACGCATAACGGTAAACGGATGTTTCTCTTAAAAATTAACTTATCATTTCAAATAGAAATAGTATATATATGTTATCGAAGCCAAGGCTGGTGGTACTATACGTTGGCAGACCTTGGATCCTCCAATATCAAATACATTTCTTTCTTTTAGGAAGCAAAAGAGAAATAATACAAAAGACCTTTGTATTTCTCACTAGCAGCAATTCAAAAATTATAGTAAGCCTAGGATACGTATACAATCTGAGCTGCCTATAAAGTGCGTTTATTTACATAATGCGGAAGATCATCTAAAGATTTACACAATATCCTTGCCCATTATACGTATATACAAATACAAGATTGATTGTCTCTTTATCATAGGATGCTCTTCGTACAAAATCCACACTTCGACATTCCTTTCAAATCAACATTTTAATTAAAAGCACCCTCACGGTCGCTTCACTTACCTGCATTTCTGAAGCACTGCTAGAGATACGCTCGGATTCTCTATGCTGTGGAGTATGTCCATCCCCGTGTCCATTGACTATACCATTAGGACCCGTGGGTCCAGGACCGCAACGGGGATGCCAAATAGCGGCACCCTGCAAGTACATTTCTTCGCCATCTCCAAAGGGATCGCCGCACTTTGTGCATCTTGCACAGGTTGGATGAAAGTGATGATTTTCACCAGCTTGTAGCACCTTGCCGCTTATATAACGGTCGCAGTACGCGCACTTAACCCCAAACTGCTTCTGATAATCTTTCTCGCAATAAGGCACCCCATCCCTAAACAAGAAACAAGAGGATTACCACAATGAAAATCTTCTTCGAGTAGTCACTGTCTGTTCCATTAAATTGGACACTTACTTGCCCATGTACTCGCCGTGGAGCACTGTGTCGCAGCTATGACACTTGAAGCACCAAACGTGCCACTGACGATCAAGAGCAACCAGAGCCTGACCCTCTCGGAGTTGTTGCCTGCAACCGGCACAGGCACCAGGATCAGCCGGGCCGTCGCGTACTGTCTGAGGATTGCTATTGCTGACAGGAGTCGAAGCCTCCCTTACAGGAATACTAACGCATCGATGACAAAGTGCCTGGCCTGTGATTGAACAAGAAGTCGTCAGGAAAACATAAATCATCTCCACGCTTATAGTATCATCATTAGAAGTACTTTACCTTGCACCAATGTCACTTTAGTGCCCTGTCCCAGAAGCGGTTGTCTGCACCTCTGACAGTGAAAGCAATTTGGATGAAAGGCGTGCTTTTCCCCGGCAGTTACAACGTCTCCCTCAACGTACTCCCCGCAACCGGCGCACTTGGTGCCCCAACGCTCGCGATAATCCTAAAATGAAAAAACGAATGGCGTCACGTGTGGTGCACATGAGAACAACACGTAAAGTACTACGAAGAGCCAAAGGACGGCCCTCCGATAGATCCCCAAGAGTCGGTACTGTCTCACGTGCTTGATGACTTACCTTGGTACAATAGTAGGAGCCCTCTCGGGCAAAAAATCCACCCTGAGCAAGACTGGAGTTGCACTGAGCGCACTTGAAACAGCTGATGTGAAAGTACTTGTCCTGCACTCGCAGCACCTCACCGCTGCACTTCTTTTTGCAGGACTGGCAGAATGTCTTACCTGAGTAACAAAAAAAAGCTTCATAAATCATGAGAGTAAGTTATTGACGTTGGAGAGAGGATTGATGTAAAAAAAAGATGAGACACGGAGAGAATATATTATACATGGCATAACCTTAAAGAGTGCCATTGCAATTTGAATGAAATAAACATGACAATAGGAGTTCGTAGATTGGCAGGTGTGTCAGGGTATCAATTTAGGAATGTTTCTTCCTTTCTAAATGATATCACACCGCCAATCAAAGTCGGCATCGTTAACATGTAAAGTTGATGAAAGATGTAACAGATTCGAAGAACTCTAAAAGGTCCGTTTAATTGATATTGATTCGTATTCTAAATGCGCAACGGATACTTAACTAATATGGCGAGGTACAGGTGTAATCCTACCGTATTATAATATATACACGCCATACAGGGCCAGCAGGTAGTATTTATTTACATACAGGGACGCATACATAGAACATAGCTTTGCCCAATACAAAAAAAAAATACCGTTTAAGGCTCTTAGTGTACCTAGCAACGCTCGCCGTACACACCGAATCCGGGTGAAGGTCTACGGACACTAGAAGTGGTGCAACTTTCAGACCCATCAACTATGAGAATCGAATGTTGGTTTTCGACAAAACAAAAAGTATGACGGTTCCGTGAATTTTCTATAGCAGAAAGCGAATCAAACTTGAATGTAGTGGAAAGGAAGTCGTACAGTGACAATCCGATTAGAAACCAGCCTTAAAGTGCCATCTACAGGTGTCACAAAAAGTAAAAGGTAATTTGGTCAGTGGAAGTCGAAAATAGCTCTTGGCAATATACCAGCCGGTTTTCCTACCACGCTTATCAAATGCGGCAGCGACTCGATTAAATCGATAAGATAATCGATATATCGTTAACGAAAAAGGAATTACATTATCGCTCTCACATGACGCATTTCGCGAAGTCTAAGAATGATATTCCGAGGAACGAGTTTATAGCATGTGACTCATAGTACGGTATAATGCATATAGTAAGTCCCATATAACAAGACCCAACATAACTGAGCGAGTCCCCCGCGACTTCCCGCTTCGCCCCTCGCAAGATCTTGGTAATTCCTTTATAAACCGGTGAAAAAAACGGTGAAATCGCCGGACGTCGCGTACATACAAACAGAGCCAAGTCGTGAAAGTTAATGAGTATATAGACATAGCGAATCTATTTTACCGAACGAACTTACTCATATTTTACAACAGCGTAACGGTCTCGGCGTTGGTGCGTTTGCGCTGAAAAATTCGTTCACGGTGTAAACAGTGGGCATGGCACGGGCTGCTCGCGGGACGGTTTAAAAATACTCTATGACATCACGAAGACGCTTCAGATATTTGACGTCACGCAGCATCAAACGAGTCAAGCCGGACTCACACGATACCATAAATTTGTTGGAGCGCGTCTACGGTATAGAGTTTATCCATTGTGCCTTACTGGGGGAGTTTGTGTACGAGATATAAAATGAAAATAAGATTATCTGTTATCTTTTTTTTTTTATAGAATAATATCCTCTATCGGAATTCACGATTATCAATCGAGCGTAGGCTTTTGGAATTGCAACGTGGTTGTATGTACGATATGTTAATATGATTCATAAAGTGGGCTAAATAGGATGTCGCAAAGTGGGGTCAAATGCGACGACCCTCTATGCTACAGTGCTGCACTCTGGGTCAAGCGATCAGATTCTAATGGCTTTCTAATGGTTGTTGACCGATCGATACTAATTGCTCTATCTTTTTTTTTCTTGGATATCGTGTCACGGAACTTGACTATCTTCAATGAAGCGGGTAGAGTAAATAACTAAGATCAACGAAGTGAACTAGTTCAATATGTATCGTACGCGTATACATAGTAAGCGAGTATAACATTTTGTAATTAGTAACTAATTAGTAATCTTTTAAAGTGGTTAGAGGATCTTGGTAGCTTGGGCAATTTTGAAATTGTATATTACGTAATATATATATATATATATATATATATATATATATATATATATGTTATATATATGTAGAATATATTTACCTAAATTTTAGATAACACGATTATACTGTCATCGATGCTATACTCAATTAACTTAGTTTTGTTTGGACAAGAGGTGTATAAACTTGGTGTATAAATTTCGCCTTGAGTGGTGAAAAAAACACGTGGATCAAAGTTTGACACGAGAATAGACATTATAACATTTTCTGTGTTACGTTCAGGTATATAAAAATAATTTCTCATGATTAATAATCCTATGGGTGGTAACGAAGGCGGTTGTTAATTCAAACGTCATCCCAATGACGATGAATTTTATTTTTGTTTTCAGCCAGCACCTTGGACTTTGTTTCGATCGATTGTAATCGATAAATTAGAATAAAAAGTTTATCGGTCTCTCGAATTGGAATAATTTAAATAAAACCAAGCGGATGAACAATTTATCGATAATTCTGCTCTTTAATGCCACAAGTGCATCCAGGTGTTGCAATGTAAAAAAAAAAAAAACGTCGCGGAATGTAACGTAAAGTGAAATCGCTGCACGTGGCAGCCCTGTAAAAACTGGCGTAACCGCCGATCTAAGAAACGATCGCGGTTTTTGCGGTTGGCTCTTATCAGAGCAGTTCCTGAACGTTCTGCTTGTAGGCTCGAGCGCTTATCTCGGTATAATAGCAGAAAAGTATTTATGACGAAGCAAAACGATTATACACACAGTAAAAAAGACCCCAGAATATATACAAAACGTAAATATGATTTTCTTTTGAATGCCGTAAGAAATCCTCGAAGAAATTCTTAAAAAAAAAAAAATATTATATGCTAATAAAAATGTCGTCGCCATAAGACCTCACCCTTTTTTAACTGCTTCTCCTTGGCGCTATCAGTTCCAGTATTACCCAGAACCCCATTGGTATCACCCACTATAACTCCCTCATTCTTTTTCGACTTCATTATTACTCCACACTATATTCACAGCTTTTATTACGTAACTTCCAGGTGGGAGGGTCTACGTCCAGTCAGTGCGCGCCTTCTCGAATTTATAACACCAAGAGGCCCGATAAGATAACCGATAAATTAATGAAAACGATTAATTTTATTAATCAGCTCTTGGCTTCGAATTCCACGTTGATAATACTGTCGAATTAATCAAACGAAACGTAAACGTTTAACCTAAAAAAGAATAATATCAGACTGACTAACGTAGACGAAGGAAACCCGCGCGACGCGATGCTTCGAAGACCGTACCGAGGCTTCGACTGCACTCCGCTCGTGACGCGACAATTCAAATACCCCACCACGTACAGACCGGCAGTGACGTCACTGATACAAGAGTACCACTTCCGGCGAGACTTTCCTTCGCCAGGTACTGATTTCGGTACCTCGGCGTCACCCATGCGGAACGGGTGTCGAACTTGACTTTTCTCCCATTGCACATAACCTATAATTTCACACCGAAGTCAATCGGAACACGAGTTTCTTATGCAAGTCTTAGCGTTATTAAACCGAACGTCGCAGCCTGTACACTAATCATGAATTCAAACAACGATACAATAAATAAATGAGATGAATTTTTGTTTTGAAAAATATAACTCGCTTTCAAAATGACAGATGAAGCATTATGCATTTATCGATCGACGTCGTGCGATCGGAAGCGTTACAAAATACGTGGGGTACCCTTGAAACTTTGTAAATGAATCGACACAATGCGTACCAACACACTGCCGTAGAAAATTTTCAGTGTGAATGAAGGTTCGTCGCAGTGATTTGACGCCGTTTACAATTATCACGATTATTAACGCAATGATCCGCTTACCGGACAAAGCCCATTACTACGGTAGTGACCCTCTATCAAATACCTGGTGTGCATCCTACGGAGAGTTCTATGTAGGTAATTGGAAAAATGTTCAATCGACTAACCGTACGTGTACTGATCGAGAAACGAGAGATAATATAATCTAACAAAGCTACCTACATGTAATTATCATTCACGGTATAGAATCAAAGTTCATATATCACTTTGAAAACAGATCTTTTTTTGCAGCCAAAGGCTATTTACGTACTGGAACCTGCAGATATGTAAGTACTATATGGATACCAATACTGGCTGAGCTGTTTGAAGTTCTTATTGATAGAAACGATAAATCGTAAAGCATACCGAACCTATCTGAAAGCAGATAAGCCTCGTTTGCTATCAAATTACTCTTACGCTTTTCAATCTTCGCAATTGAGCTCCCTGCAATGCGCAGCCTCGCTATTGGTACCGAGAAACCTTTTACGTAAATCGCGTCCGGTAATCGTAGCTAGACAGTCGAAAACATTAGTTAACGATCTTTGTGTATTTCGTAGAATACATTCTTGACCCTATAACGCCATCATGGGTTTACTATTAATAGATATAGATATAAGCTAGTCTCACCTCAAAGGCCAACGGCAGGACCACCGAGAGCTTCGTAAGAAACTGTTATATGCCAAATGTTTGAACGTTTTCAATGCCTTATGATTTCTGTATGCTATCTTATCTGAGACATATTGTTCGATAACGATACTAGTTAATACTATTATATTCTACGGTTACGTAACGACAGTTGGATATGTAGGTGCATGTTTACATTAAATCCCAGCGAGGACAGCCATGAACCACCTGCGAGACATCTTCCATCCTAAAGGCAATCTGCAATCTTCATCTTTTTATATATGGCCAGAAATATCTGTACAAGTTTTTTTTTTCTCTCTTGACAAGCGGTTTAAGGTATTTGAATTTGGATATAAGTTTTTGTGTATGAGCTCACTCGTGTACGAACGATGCGTAAGAGAAATATGGATGTTAATAGAATTTGAATACGGGTTTAGCATAAGTTTGACTTTGCTTGTAGTGGTCTTATGGCTTTTCCAGTGCGTGCAGAGGATCGCGTGTGTGATCCTGATCGAGTGAGATATGAAAAAAAAAAATAATAATAGAGATATATCTACTTTTTATGTTATACTGGGATTCTTCGTTATGCTCTGTTTCTTGTCATTTGTGCAAGGACTATGCCTGACAAGCTGAATATATGTATCTTATCTATCATGTAGGATAATCATTCCGAGTCTAGGGCATTGGAATGATCGAAAGAGGTGAAATATTGTAACTACATTAATTCTTTAGGATGGACGTTGTGTGGTGTCATTTCAGAATTTTTGATCTGCTGTTGGATACGACGCTAGAGTTGCAGTTTGGATTTAAGGGCAATAAAATAAATAGGTTTTCGAGGGCGAGCCCCCTCGTGCCATAGAGAACGTGGATATACAAGGGAGCTAGAAAAATCAATATAGAATATCGAATGCCGTCCTATATTTAGTTGTGCGCTCGATATAATGCCCTGTCAAGTTTTGCAACGCTCTAAGAATCGTAACTGCAGTCTTTGTACGGGACAAGCCCTTTTCTTACTTTCTTCCTTACTTCATAACGTCCCTCTCTATTCTGCATACACCAGTCGCTGATTCTTCTCCAATTCACGCCTACGAGCAGCAAGATTTTTTGTTTCACTTTCATTAAGATCTCTTCTCGCTTCACGGTGATGTAATCAATCCTGCTATTCTCTTGTGCAGGCATATCCGTAGAAACTTCCTGATATCTTCCTATGAAATTATTGCAAGGCTCTACAGTACACATTATATTGCACTGGGAAGGTATTTCCATGTAATAAAGGGCTGCGTGTAAAAAGAATAATTTATAGCACAAGGGAATAAAAATGGTGCCGCGGATGCATCATGTGGTTTACCAAGTTGAAGAATTATCTTGTGCAATAAAATTATTTTCCTGGGTACATTGTGACAGGGAATAGCAGGGAAAAACAATGTCAATGGACCGGTCGATTCGAGGGGGACTAGTCAGTGATTATATAGTATCTAATACCAGACAAGTAAAAGTTGAAACAGGCCCAACCCAAAACGTTCAAGACTGACCACAGAGAGTAAGGAGGGTCAAGCTGGAATAGCTTTAGGCGTTTAGTGGGAAAGGAAAAAAGAGAAAGAGGAAAAAAGGGCGAGAAAGCACGGAAGAACGTTCGGCCTAGAAAACGTCAAACCGAACAAGAACCACCTAATTATAGCGGTGTCGCAGGTAACGTCCTTTCGGAAAACATTGAGCTCAGCGTGACTACGAAATAGCGTGAAAACGGGCGGAAACCAAAGTAGAGGGGCGTATCTCTTATTATCTCTCTTACTGTTTCATCCCTGCTTCTCTCTATCTTTCTCGTATAGACTGGATGCTTGTCGCACGGAAGAAAAAAGCTAACCGGCTCTCGCAAACCACTTTCTGTCTTGACTTACCCATCTTTGCTAGGCGTTGATTCCTTGAGTATATCAGGTATCGAGTGGATGGACAATTCAGGCGTTCATATCACGACACTACGCACAACTCGGGATTCAGGTTCCCCGTTATTTCACTTAGAAAATCGTGAAAAACCGGCGGATGGTTACGCCACGGTACGCAAGACGTCCGACATCGTAGCACGGACAGAGCGGGATGGCGCGCGCCGCTCGAAGACAGGGGCGTCTCTAGTTTGAAAATGCCCCTTTATGTATTTGTAGCGTTTTCCAGCACTGAGTATTGGAAAATTCTTTCAAAGCTTGAAAAACTACTGTTACTCGTATTTATGAGCGAGAAAATCTGGAGATTCAAGTGCGATTACCATTGCTGTTACTTTTCTTTAATTTGTTATACTTTTGGAGTTACAAAATATAGAAAAACCTAAAAGGTTTAATATAGTTTCTAGAGACGTTCCTGGTGACTGGAAGGAGTGGTAGTGGGGGATAGACGTGTCGCTTTCGGTTTCATTAAATCCACAAATTGACTCTATGTTCGCTAATTTAGGAAATGGATCGTTTGTTTCTTATGTTATTTTTTTAAGGTTTTTGAAACTGGATGAAGTTTCCTACAAAGAGATGGCCTATTTTTATGTAATGTTTTTATTTGGCGAACTTGGAATATAAAAGGGGGATTTCCAGTTGTTAATTGTGTCACAGCCATTGTTAGGGAACTAGGTGTTCTGCGCATCTCCATTTACGTCATTTTCGCATGTTCGGATGGTTCGGACATAATGACACACTGCGGGAATTTTAATATGGCAGCCTGGTTAACGAATAGAGTGTCTATTTAAATGTTGCGCTAAATAAAGTAATAGTTTCTACGGAGTAAAATCTGACAGTGATTTTAACAGATATCTATCTGATATTAATAATTATTATTATTCGCAAAATCAAATGAAATTTCCGTAACAAACATCTTTTTTTTTTTACGTGCGCTTAATTTAAAAAGAGGCGCGAAAATTAGGTCAAGCGTGGCGCATGCTTGTTAAAAAAAATTAGAAAATTCAAAATTTTCTGTAGTGCAATCATTAATATTATTTCTTGTACAAATAAGACTAAAATAAATCAATTTGTTGTAGGCTTAAGTTTTGTACATTTTGCTTAAAATATGCTAATTTGAAAATTAAATTGGCAAATACTTGTAACGCGCTTTATTGTGGTTTTCTCCTACAATTTTTACGAACTTCGTCGTTAGACAAGTCGGCGATCCACTGTCATGTGTAAAGATTCAATGATTTCGCGCTTGCGAAATTTTCTAAAAAGGTATTTGCATATCTAAAAGGCTTCACGCACATTCTAACGCCTCTACGTCACATGTAAACTTTATGGTTAATGCGTCTAACTATGAATTACATTTTCGCCGGTGGTAACTAGAAATATAACGTGTAGATTACATTATTTTTCGTAGGCTCGACCTTACATTGCGTCGTTATAACTGTAAGGATTAAAATTCTGGAATAAACATTCCAGCTCACTAAAACTACTGGCGGGAGATACAAACATGAACGTAAGCATAAACTTCTTTTACATAAACTTCACAAATTGTTAAACCTAATGAGTATCATTAACTGTGCCGATGAAATTCTTTACCACATTCATCGGACCTGACAGACAAAAGACTCTCCCACATTTCATTTGGTTCCACAATTTAACAAATTTCTATGCTCTATGAGCCACAAATCATTGAGTTTTTCAAACTGCTTAAAAAAAATATACTATCACAGACTATTATCTAAAACAATCTAAAGAAATAAGAATAAAATTAATTGCCGCACTGAAGTTTCTCATATGTCAGAACCGTTGACGCCACTTTGAAATTAGCAATGTAAAGCCATGACGAGTATTAATATGCATCTATTTTCATTTTCTTATTCGTCAAAGGACAAATACGCGAGAATATCTTACTTTCTATTTTCTTTTTCTTCTAATACACGCACACACAACATGTATATGAAAAATTCCTCTTGGCTCTCATAAGTAATGTCAATTAAATTCGAGACGAAACGGTTGCAATTAAGGTGAAATTAAGGCAGACAAAATTCTGATCGCCCTACTGGCTATGAGTGTGTATATATAATATATATATATGTAAGTGGAATAAATACTGTTTCATGCTAATGAAAATTTCAATTAATACTGTACAATATGTTGTATGTAACATATATGTATATGCGATAAAGTGAACATACAATGAGCAAAAATAGATAGCTTGTGTCATGTTAAATTATACTTGTCATAAACATTACAAAAGAGAAGTATGTATTGTCTGAAAAGCGTTTTCAAAATTCATTCACTTTCATAATTAAATACATAAGTAATAAACGTACGCACGATGAAAACAACGCTTAAAACTTGTCTAAAGTTTTGAGAAACCTTGAATAACTACGGTACTATGGTAACTGGTGCTTTCATCCTACTCGTGACTTCCATATTAATGCTCCGTTAAATTTAACTCGTTACGTTTAAATAATTATGGGTATTTACATAATTGACTACAAAGCTTCCTTTCTTCTCATACATGGAGACCTTGCAGCACTAATTAAATCTGGTTAATAATCACTAAGCAACAGTAGACTCATTGGATTTCATTTAACAGATAAAAGTCGTGCGGTTTAAATGCGACACAATGAACCCACTATGTAATTTAAAAATTCTTAAACAGAAACACTTCTGCTTGTACAAATTATAATGAGAAAGAAAGTGCCAAGAAATATATTTGCGCGGCAAGGGCTCCTGTTTCGAGTGCAGTAATTGTGTAATTTCTGGATTACAGTCTAGAATGTTTGCATCCCTTATACTAATTAATTATGGTGTTCGGTCGATGCTCTATTTATATCCTCTTTACACTGTTGTTATAATATCAAGATTTTACACCATTACTGCAAAGACACTCGTACAATCCACTGGTCTAAGAATTTTAGAATTAATCTCATAAAATTGGTACGCGTACTGTCTTCCTTTTTACTAATCCCATAACAGTACGTCTACAAGCATTTCGCAGAAAGTTTTGGCCCTCGGCGCAATGTACCTTCCGTGCAAGAACACAAATTGGATCATAGTGGTACGGTTGTTCTTAGAACGTCGTAGAAAAGCTCGAAAAGAAATATAAACAGAATTCGCTACAGGAAAAATATTGACCTTCTTGTACTTGAGGACAATATTCCATTGTTGGAAGTTGATTGTCCAATTTAGCAACGTGATTAGAGATCAAAACACCTTTGACACTAATAAATAAAGAACATGCTTAATCGTATCGTACAACGGTTTAACACTTATGGCTAATCATCAATCGTGCTTGATTAATTTTATTGCTCTATTCATTCATATATGTGGTACAGTTCTGGAAATATATTCAATATCATTTCTTGAAAAAAAGTCTGCTTGCGAATAGTGCTTGAAATGATAATCAATTTCCAATTTGATTCTTGGTAAGTAACTTATTACGTTATATCTGGAATTGTAAATCAAATTTTTAATCCATGAATATCCAGTGAGAGTATTTAAAATAACTTCTCAGGTGAGTGAATCTAGAATTATATAATTTGCAAGTATGATTGAGTTCCATGAGAAATTTAAGACCTTTAATTTTCTACGGCATAACAAACTTTTCTATAATAGATCTTTGTATTTTTTTTCGATGCTAATGATTTTTGACGAAGTTTCATTTCGTTTTGTATTTTTTTTTTCGTGCAGTCTTACACAGATTTCGAAATGACAGCATTATAGCTACTTCGATTCTAAATAGCCAATTAACCTAGGCTCAAATTTCGAATATTAGCCTGAATTTATAAATATTTAAAAATTTTGCCCTTATCACGATCAATTATATCACTCTACAATCAGAGGTGTTACATTTGTAATACTGAACTCGTAATCACGTTACCAAATCCTTATAAAGCATAATATTTGAAGAATTGACGAGATTAGTCTTAGAGAGCTATTAGTCGTGACTTGCATTTGCTCCATTTTTCTTGCAATTTCTGCCTTTCTTCTATATGATGGTCCGACAGATTCCGCGTAAGGCCTACCTGACCGGGTTTCAATTTCCTGGGATCTAAATTGGCGCCCAGATTTTGAACGCCTTTTGCGAATTTTGAAAATGGCGACAGAATGTCCTTTGCAGTAGCAGTTACGGGACTTGTAACGTTAGTAATATTAGTCTTTATGGACTTCAAGGCAGATTCGCTCTGAGAAGATGTGATATTCAAAGTCAGATCTTGTTCGGAATTTGAACGTTTCTTGTCCAAAAGTTTGTTATCAGTTTGTAAAGTGTTGGACTTCGATCCCACATTTGGCGCCTTGTTGTCGACCTCACCAGAGGAATGGCTAATATTTTTAGGCAGGTTCAAAGTCGATGGTGGGATTAATTTTTCTTTTTCATCAGATACATAATCCATAACACTTTGAATAGTTATTTCTGGTGTATTGGCTGTTGTCTTTTGTGGGAATGCACTAAGGCTGCTTGTGCCTGAGTTTGAAAGTGGAATGAGATTCAAACCATCCACGGCGAGATCTTTCTTTGGTAAAATGGAAAAGTTACCCTGAACTATGCGGGACAATTCATTAGTGGTCAAGTTACTAGCACGTTCATCATTTTGAATTAATGAAGGATTTTTTACTCCCATTATTATACCAACAGTTGGCGTGTAACCTTCCATCAATTTTTTGTCATGAGTAAAATTCTCAGGCCTTTCCAAATGTATGGGAATAATTTCTCTATTCTCTTCGTCGCTACAGCTACTACTACTAGACTTGCGACTTACATTTCCAATCAAATCACGGCCACCCACTGTAAATGTAGCTTTCGGAAAATTTTCTGTTTTTTTATTGTCAATACTTTTGGCAAGATTCGTTGGTTTTCTCGAGCTAAAACTATGGCTGAACTTATTTAGTTTACTAAACTGTTCTGACATGTTGCTCAATGCTTTTGTTCCTATAATTATAAATTATCATTAAAGGTTTACATATGAATTTCTTATATTAATTTGAAGTAGAAGAGCTATCACCAACCTGCACTTTTTAAAGCGAGTAACTGCGTTTCGGACACGTTTCTAGTTAATTCCGGAAATGAGGAAATGTCTAAGAGACCAGTAGAACCCTTAACGTTGACTAGCTTACTCCTTCTTTTATCTAAGACAACGTTCATCGCTATTGGAATTTTTGGAAGTCCCGCTATTTCCATAGCCACAGAGATCGCTTCGCAAATAGCTTTTAAAGATTCTGAAAAGTTACAGCCATGAATGAGTGTTATTAGAAAACTCTATAAATAAGCCTGAGAAATCTTACCTATTGCTTCCTCCTCGGTTTTAATAACCACAGCCATATTATTAAAGAAGCGCAAATTCGTACTTCTAAACATATGAAAGTAGCCGTATTCGTTAGAAATCTTGTAATTGATTCTAATACAATGATGATGTTTGTTCTTAAATAAAGAAACAGTGCTCTCTGGTTGACCAAATTCTATCAGAACAATATCCTTGAAAGGAATTCTTTGGTAATTAGTCACTTTATCAATTTGATCGTCGTAATCCGCTACGTAGTAGCTGTCACGTGTTAAAATCAAGATGGTATCCATTTCTGTTTCGGTTGGATCGCCAGTACTGTTTAAATAAATATTGTATATTAGTAAATGATATTAACGAACATTAAATGATAATAATTTCTTATCTACGTACACAGGGTCGGCATCTATCAACCCCCAGCTACCCAAAATGAATTCAGGATCAGGGATGAGTAGCTTTTTACAGTCTTCAATGAGTAGCTTGACATGCACTGCTGTTGCTGCATTATCCTCCTCCTCAGTACGTTCCTGAAATATTTCTTCAGAGACTGTATTGCCTAACATCATGTCAATGGTGGCCTGTCTGTACACATCCTTGAAGCGGTTTAGATAATACCTGGAAAAGCCATTACAATAACCGTTACAGGTCCCTAATGGGAAAATAAATATATTCCATTAGAATTTTTAAAAAGAAATCTGACTTCCATTAAACAATCAGTGCAGTCATCGAAAAACAGTCCTATCATAAATGTAAAATCATTCCTATATCCGACAAGCGGCCAAAAAGAATTCGAGCTTGTCGTGGCGTAAGGGAGGAATTCAATCCCAAAATAAACATGCACAGTAATTAAACGTGCATTACGAAATTTGTGTAGTAGTGAATTCTTAACCCTGCGGAGGTTGCAGCGTATCTGACAGATACAAACAAAAATTGTGTTTGCTCCTGTCAGATCAGCGGCGGCCTCCACGGGGTTAATGAAAGACTTAGTCTAGAGATGGTTAAGAATCACTGCAAATTGTAAAATTATTAATTTCAATCCAATTGCCTTATTTTCAGACAGAACCTCATTGTCCAGACAGAACTGATTTTCAGTTGAAAAGCTCAAAGCAGAACGACAAACCTTGCTATATGATACATAGCAGAGATATAGAGAAAGTCTGGCAAGGTAGCTAGTTGAAGTTGTATATTTGGTGGTTTTATGGGAATGAGTTCGAGACAGCAATTATCAAGAACGTCTAAGTAGTGCGACCAATCGTCGTTTAGTTGATCGACGTTGATGGGGTAGCCTAGCAAGGTGTCTATCGCCGCCTGACGTATGTCGTCCATAAAGTGTTGCTGGTAATATCTACGGGAAAATGAAAGGAGAGTGTCAGGGTCTCGCGGGTCCAAAACGTAGACGATCATTATAGATCAAAATGAAAAAGACCGCCGTGATGAAGTGTCTTGCTAATAAAGGGGGGCGCTACCGATTTTGGTTAGATAGTTTTTCAGTCTTTAATTTATCGCTGCATATCTATAAGGATCAGAAGGCTGAATGATAGCTGTGTATTTAAATAAAAGGGACAGTAATGATACAGCAGTGGCGGATCCAGGGGGGGAGCCCGCCGTCCCAGAGTTAATCGTACAGTGAATATTATTTGAAATAACATCATCTTCAGATTTTATGTAGAAGTTAAATCCCCCCGCCCAAGAATTATTTCGGGATTCGCCCCTGGATATAGTGTCAGAATGCATATTGATGAATTAAATTACATACCTGTTCGCAGAGTTCATTCCATCTTTCATTAACCCTGTAAATTTTCTTTCGCCCGTTCTTGTATAATCGCCCTGAAAATCATTAGAAATATTTGTATGCAGATGATTAGGGGATAATGAAGTTTGTTTTGACATGGTACAGATTATAAGTTTAACCATTAATTGTCACACTTCAGTAGAATTTCCTAATGGTCACGCGGACACTATCACCCCATGTGACCGTTAAGGGTTAAAAATATTGAGGGTATTAGTTGGATTGAGGTTATATTAGATTATGGTTTATATCTGCACCTTCAAAGCATTAGTACCAGCATATTGTTTGCTAATAATGTCACCATTATTTGCCCAAAGTAATTGGAAAGTCTGACGAATGTTAGTGGGAAGAGTTCCTTCCGGTGGTACCAGACCCAATTTTGAGAATTGTATTTCCATTATGGCTTTGCCCAGTGCTGTTTGAACGACGTTTGTTCTATCTAGGCAGTCTATGCAGTTTACGCGAAAAACTCCTTTCTGCATACAAATAGTGCCTTGCTTATCACGCCAACAGTAACTCATGTCTGTCAATACATTTGCCAAGGAGTTTACCAAAATTGACACGTTTTCGAAATGCATTCCGCGACTGTAATGGAAAAGTTCTTTTAAAAATACATCACGATGGATTGTTGCACAATGACATGTTGAGAGCAAATGTTAACGTGAGCTTACCAATATTCATGAAAATCAAATGTAGCATAAGTAATATCTGGATTATTATAATTCAGTACATGATTACTATAAGCTTCCCAAATAATTCCTTCCTTTCCTGCTTGTTCGACCAAGTTTATAATACATACTGGACCGTATTTTTCGAGTTCCTCAGTAAAATGTTTTTCAAAAGCTACTTGCGTTTCAGCCTCATCTAAAAATTTTAGAAGATAAAATATATGATTCTGATTTTATTTTATATGCGATATAAAAGTAATTTTACTGCAAATTATGAAAACTGTATATGAAGAAATTAATCTAATGAGATCACCTTTGTCTATCCGTGGTGGTGGTTTGTATTTATAACCAGGTTGAGACCAATATACTGGTACACTTCCACGAACTTGTACAAATGAAACCTGGTGATCATGATACCAAACTAGTTGCTCGGTTTCAACGTAATTTGCACACTTTCCATCTTCATCTACACCACGCCTCTTATATCTATCAGATATGGAGAAGTTTTGATGTTATCTTGGTTTATCAATTATAATTCAAATTGATTGAAAATTTTGTGAATAACTTACCTAGTACCTGCTCGAAATCTACTTCGTCTAGAAATGATAGCTAAGTTAAAGATTTCGTATTGTGGTAGTCCATCGTAGCCAACTTCGACTTTACATCTTTCAATTTGAACGTATCCCTGTATTATAGGTAGTATCCAACAGTCTGACTAAAGAGAAATTATGATATAATATAAAGTCATTCAAGGTTGTATTAAAAACATAGAATTTATGAGTGTTTCTTATGTTAGATATAATTAAATACTTACTTTTAAATTAATTATATCTTGCAACATGTGTTTATTCCAAAAGAATCTATCATCGACTCTCTGCCAGAGAGGTTTCATTTGATCCCCAGATTCTTTATTTTGTTCACTAACACATTGCCTTTGTAAACTGTTAGTAATATCTCCAGTTTCACAAAAAAAGAATGAATCAGTTTCTGTGAAGATCTTACCCAATTCCTCAAGAATTCTTTTCTCAAATCTTTCTTTATCTTTACCTCCACTTCTTTTTATAACTGTAGATTTGACCTAATCAAGCATAAGATAAACATATTCAGATGAACAAAAGATGAGTGGCCCATATTTATTTTTTAAATTTATTACTATCAAACCTGTGATGTAGCCAGAGCAGCTGCATGTTGAGTGGTATTTTTTATTGTATTTGTGGCACTTTTAATTGTGCCCCATGTTTTGGCAAATCCTACTTTCTGTGGTACATCAAACAAGGCACTTACGCCTTTCTTTTTTGAAGCGTGTTGATGTTTTTTACAAGGTAATAAGCCAATATCTCCATTTTCTGAACCCAGATGCAAAAATGCAATAGACTTAATTTTATATACTCTGTGCCCACCATGTAATTCACCTACGGTTGACACTTCTTTTATAAGCATTAGACGTGGTTCCAAAACCGAGACTTGCTCGATTTTACCAACAATCCCATAAAACATTCCAAGGCATTCTGGATCATTGGCTGTTGCCCATTCCCAATCTAAATGATACATAAAATTGTATAAATAAAATATTTCTTTTACTCTAAAGAATTTTATAAAAATATTTGAAGTAAAGCCTGCATTTATATACGGCGATGAAAATTGAAAGTATAAAAATACACATTACACTAGATTACAAATTGTAGACCTCTTCTTATGCAAAGTAAAAGTTAGGTTTTTCATTATGACATCTCATTAGTCAAATATTACGTCGACCATGTGCTTGACAGATGAAAATATCGCGTATTAAATAAGTTAATAAAACAAGTCTGTCAAAATAGACATTGCCATCATTAATGACAATACGAAATAAAAATTAATTGTTTATTCATTGAATATTAAACACTGAAATGCTAAAACTAATTTCCTTTATTAAAAAAACTGAAACGAAAATCAAAATAACTCATGATTGTTTGAACTGTCAAAAAACGCCCTCCTAATTTTCCAAATAGGATACGATCAAATAACTTTGGAAATTAGGTATTGTAAGTCATTCTTAATTATGTAGATTTTGAAAAGTTTATAAAAGTGTATAAAACAACTTTCGAAAGCTTTGTTTGTGTATTATTTTCAATAAAGAATAAATACGCACCCGATTTCACTGAGAATTCGCCAGTGTATTTGTCATACCAAAGGCTCTCTTGATCCTTGACGAAAATAAAATGTGTGTCTGTGCGAAAGAGCTCCATTTCACGCGTTTTTCGGAGTGCACGACAAGCGAAAGAGAGTAGTCTGTTTTACAAAATCGTACGCGCGGCATGAATGACGTTTGCTCCGCGAGCACGACTACCCGTAATAGGCAGCCATCTTGTCATGGTTTACAATAAAACACGCAACAGTAGACATCTTCTTTCTTTAAATTAAAATGACTCGCAAGTTTAGTTATAAAGATATAATCCGTGTAAAAAGGAAAAAAAGGGATTGATATTGAATGTTGATTTAGTAGTAAAAATAAAATCATGCTATTGGTATAATTATATGAAAATGTGAACAATTGATAATTTCAGATAGATGAGCGATTTTATTCTTATTTTCACATGCACTTATTTTGTTATATACTATATACTTTTCGACATTTTATTTATATGAATGTTTACAATCTATGGAGAAAATTATCTTGTAGCCGAAGAAAGAAACGTAATCATCAGACGAGTATTTGGAGAATATAGGTCGCTTTAGAAATAGAAACGCGTACGAAGCTGGAAAATATGAAAATTTTATTCCCTACTTAAGAGAGTTTATTGTACATTTTTACACAACATATAAGTACGTCAAAGATGGGGATAATTATGTGAAAAAATACATACTTTCAATGAATTGAGTGAATATGACTCAAATCGAAATGCTTAAAACATGAATGGATGAAGGGAATCCTGCTTAATCATTCGTTTATTTAAAAGAAGTCTTTTTGTCTGTTTTTATATTTCTGAATATATTCTAGACACACTTGGAACTTATCTACTGGTCGTGCAGTTTCTCAAAGTATCGAAGTTTCACTAAATTCTACTCTAATTTTCTCTAGACAGCACATCATAAGTAGGAGGTCGTGCATAATGAGTTTTACACTTTTGTTTTTACCACCATTTACTTTTTCTCATTGAGATCAGTTGCATAATGATATTATGATAAATGTGGCACCAACACAGACAATATAGTTTATGTACTTGTGAATATTATTGTTTACTATGCGTTTTGCTCGTCATTTCCTTCATCACTTCTTCTATCACTTCTGCTATTTTTTGCTTTATATTCTTCCCACTTTTGGTGATTTAACGTTTGAAAATCATTTACTTTAGCAATGAGCTCTAGGTATTTGGAGAGTTTCAATAATTCTCTGTCTTTATCTCTATTAAAATGTGCTCGCTTGAAGGGTCTTATCCGTAATCCAGATTGTGGATTCATAATGAAATTCCTCCGAATATCATCAAACATTATTGTGTTCTTGGCAGAGAACTGTTTGTACTTTCCCCAAATAATACCAAGTGGTTTAACATGAGCAATGCCATATTTAGGCGTACAAACAGATATCATTGCCAGGCAGTCAAGGTGAAAGGCTATTTTGTATTCAGGATGATTAGATACCCCTAAGCGTTTCATTTTTTCATTGATCCACCTCATGCTAGTAGCAGACCAGATGACAATGTCGTAATGTTTATATGCGCGCGTTAAAAATTCGTGTAGGTAAGGTCTCATTAGTTCCACTCCACTTTCAGCAACAGATCTATGATCAAATAAAGTATAGTCTATATCTAGGACCAATAGCTTCTTTCCTTCTCTTAAAGGATTCAATTCTACAATGTTGTACTGCTGAATTCGTTTTTGAATTTTTAAGAGATATATCTCTGCCTTTTCAATTTCAATTTCTTCTTCCTCGATATCTAAATCGTTAATAACATCTGGCATATCCTCAGGGGCATGGCTTGCTTCAGCAATATCTTCCTCACGAGAACCCATAAGCATTAGCTTGAACCCAGGCTTAATGCCTAATTTTCCTATAGCATCGTCATCTTGAGCTGCTTTGCCTAAAGAAGAAAAATATTCTGTGGATTATTGTATTTCAAAATAATAATTATTTCATGAAAAAGTTGTCACTGTTGAATTGAATTTTCAAATTAAATAGAAGTGTTTATTGAAGTTGAATATTTTACAAATATGGGCACGAATGTTTCATCATTCATTCTACTTTTAGACAATAACAAAATACTACATAATCTTTGTCATGAGTAAGAAAAAAAACATTGTTTGAACACAAACAAATAAACATTTTTCAAATAGAATCATTATGTATTAAAATGTACGTCTCTTAACGAAATTAATAAAATATTACAAAAACTACGTCAAAACATAACATAACATAACCTTTAAACTTAAGGTTTAGTAGCTTCTGGCGATCTGGTCGAACACCGGTTTCTTTGTGGATACGATCTTTTAAAATTGAGACAGTGTCGTTCTCCATAAGATCTATAATATGATATTCCTTTCCACTCCATTTTACGATAATCTTTACTTCGTTTTCCATCTTTTCTTGATCTCTAACGACATAGGCACTTTCCAAACCTGACAATTTAACAGCTGATTTTCAAGAAATCAATAATTCGCTAACTCTTCCTTATCGATAGTAAATTCATACCGAGCGAGCGATCTATGTCTCCAGTGTTATACTTAATACGATGGATAACTAAATGGTGTCGTTGCTGTCTGTATATTCGTTCAGATAATTATTTATATTGTTACCCACTTTATAAAAGCATACACAGCGTTAATAGTACAGTGAAATTTATTTACATATTACGTTTCTGTCGACACACGTAAAATGAACGAGTTCGCACCGTTTTCATTAATGCAACAGAATAATTATTACAGTAGCGAATGAGCATAAGACTAGAACAGGCATACCGCATTAATAGCGCAGTATAAATAAAACAAGAATTTCAGTATAAAGGGCACACAATATGCAGTTATACAGAAGCTAGTATAATTAAATTCTGTAACCATCTCAACGCGTCGCGTTCCAGCGACGCGTGTAGGAATCTGCTCTATATAATACACGCAGACACAGTTTAATATAATACCTCTGAAGTTGGAGTTTTAACTTCTAATTTCAATATCGTAACATTGCCTCTGCAGTAAGTGGGAGTTTTTAATCTACTTGGGATCACAGCAAAACAAAGTTCTCCGGGAGACAAACAGCTAATATAATAATATAACAGATATCCCTTTTGTTCCAGTTGATCTACGTCTTGACTGGAATTACAAATAACCGTTGAATCAAAGACCCTTTCACGTGGAATCTTATCCTGGAAGCTCCCTTGATGTCCTTACGGAAAACTGCTTTCACTAGGACTAAGCATATACATATACTAGGTAGCACTGTTAAAAGTGGCTACTGTAGATAACGAAATCCATTGGAGTGGATATATTTAACTCGACCACCCGGTATATCTGCGTATTGAACACAAAGGTATACAGTACATGCATTATATAATACAGTAAGTTACAATCCGAATGGTATATCAAAAAGGAGATTTAATTTAATTATAAACACTCTTTTAAAGAGCGTATAAGTAATGCTGGAAAGATATAGACTACGAAAAAGTTCATGGAATTTTGCGTGGCCGAGTTGTGCTCCTACGTACGTAATTGTGAAACAAAAAGATGGGCGGAAGGAGTGTACGACAAAGAAGGCTTGAGGGTTTCATGGACAGGCTATAATGGTTAGATTTCGTTTCTTTATTTTAATCCACTCTTTTAATTGAAGCCCTAAATATAACGGTGCCCTTGTATACCGCTGTGAAGCATATAGGTCAGGACGAGAGAGAATAATGGGAAGAATGGAGTTTACGATAAGTTAAATAATAGGGGATACGGAAAGGAACTCGGAGATTCAATACAGGTATATATATTCGATCGTATAACTCGAAGTTGAAAAGATGAGGATGATAGTGTTATTAAAATAATTGAATATACAAATAATCATATTTTTTCACTCTTCCCGTAGAGAACCACTGCCGGAAAAAATATCTTCGGACATCCAGGCGACTTCGCGCTGTTATTACTCGTCCACAAAAAGGATGAATCTTTGCTTTTGGCTCAAAGAACTCGGAAGACACAGAAGTCGCGTAATTAAGCATCGGCCATCCGAACAATAGAACTTCAGTCCTCAGTTGGAAATTTTTGAGTGAGTTTTTTTGTAAGAGAGAGATCTGGTTGTCGGTTTTACCTTTGCTTTTTCTTTTTCCGTTATTTCATTATTATATCATCGAATCTTGACGAAGTTTATTTTATTTTACCTTCGTGGAACTCTAAACAGTATGTACAAGTTTTGGCAAGTGCTTTCAATTGTTTCCCTATTATTTTTCTGCACTTGATTCTTTGCACGTGTAATTAATAATTATTATTTTGCCAAGGATCAAATGTAGAAACTTTCAAGACCAGTTTTCATATGCTAATTTAATATACATTATTCTTGGGTTTAAAGGTTATGATGCACATATTGTTTGGAAAAAAAGATACCCAGACTTGTATGAATGTCACAACGTTCAGCAAACTTCTGTGTCTTATGAGTGCTGACTTGACAGTGATATTTGCTCAAATAAATGATGGCATGATAATACGACACAACCATCGATGTTAATTACACGCAGGAGAAAACGCAAGCCGTAAATATTGGTCGTATTTTCGATACTTTTTACAATGGGGCGTTGCAACGTAATGCTTCCAAATTTCACACTGTAAACATTACTAACTTTGATAACCGTTGTATATATTCTTAAACAAAGTTGCTCGCTTTATATTGAACAGTGCAAATAACTGAATCTTAGGAGTTTGTTATTCAGTGATTGTTACTGAGTGCCATTATAATTTTTCATTTTTGCAACTGTAACATTCAACATATAAATTTCATGGCAGTGCTGCAAATAGAGATTTCATACTGGTAACTACAGTTAGTAATGTAAACATATAGGCAATGTAAAAATGAATGTTTACCTTTTTAAAATTGATGAACGCCATTAGCAAAGGTGCAAATAATTTCAGCATATTTTTACTGCTGCAATTTTAAAATTGTGCATCGCTATCCGTTGTAATTATTTTAATGGAATAAAATATCTGTAAAGTGTATGCCAAGTATGCATAAACATACGTATCAAAGTCAACCGTTAAAATACTATTTAATTCTAAGTAGACTTTCGACGACTGTTTTATGTGGATATTATTCGTTGCAATATTATTCACATAAAAGAATCATAAAGCATCTGTTTCGAGATCGTCTAAAGATTGATTCCGCTACTATATCCGCGCTTACTTGGCATACACTTCACATATACTTTATACAATTGAAATAAATTCAAAGGATTGCAATGCACATTGAGCTACGGGATTGCTTTTCTTGTTGGCAGCAACGAAAGAACGAGCGTATCTGGTTTATCTCCAATGACAATACCCATAATCAATTTATAACAAGCATTCGAGACACATACAAGGGATGTTCGGTACTTTGATCCATACCTACTTTTTTTCAGGCAATTTCTTCGTCAGTCGTATGAGCTCAGGATTTATGGATTTTTGCAGCTCTTTGGTTTTCACTAATATTCACTCTTACGGACAAACTGATTCCAAGAGCAGCACTACGCGAACTGAGCTCAATTCTCATGATTTGACGGTATGCGAGGAATCTACATTGTTAGACTGCAAATTTGCAAAAGTGCCATACCAACTGACAGGATTTTAATACGCGACAATGTAATACATACTTTCGAAAAAACTGTATGCTCAGATCTTACGAGTCGGAAAGTATTCGCGGACAGTACAGACTTCAAGCAGTCGGCAGATTCTCTCTCGTACCGCCGGCAACTGATAAGATGTCATCATTGAACTCGCTTTCGTACGAAGCAATGACATTTCATAGGAATTTGTCAGGTGTCTCCGAATCGATTAGAAAAGTTTTCCTGGTCTGTCATAAAAATAAAAGAAAGCACCCTTCGCTGCGTAGCAAAATATTAATTTTTAGGATCCATACTTCTATTTTCTTTTACATAGACTTTGAATCCCGTTGTATGTAATTATATACCAAGCATTACAAATTTTACGTATCTATTGCATTAAAAAATAATCGATGACAATGTAAAATTTTTTAAGTGCAACGTCACATTTCACTTCCAGTTTTAACTAGCATGGAGAGAATTTTTTAGTTTGATTTGCGACACGATATTTTGATTTTTTAATTAACGATCATAGCATGATACAAATATGAAGCAAATGTGACGTGTCGATAAAAATTCTTTTTCACCATGCTATGAGGTAATTCTAAACCATACCTACCGTATATTTTGATAAAGCGCGAACGAGACAATATTTATCTCTTTTTTAGCACGACCAATGCAGCATCAGATGTAATCAACATTGATGATTCTTTTTTGCATTTTTATGAAATTATTTAATTCAGCATATATCACTGTCAGATGAGCACTCATAAGACACGCAAACCTTGCTGAACGTTGTGATATTCATACAAGTCTATCAGGGTGTTCATGCTTTTAATTATGAACATAATTCTAGGGTATACGTATAAAATATACCCTTTTTTTAAAAACTATCATAGAGCACGTTAACAAACTATCTCTGTAAATCAGTACACAATGGTCTATCTGGGTATCATGTTTTTAATTATGAACATACTTCTAGGGTATACGTATAAAATATACCTCTTTTTAAAAACTATCACAGGGCACGTTAACAAACTACCTCTGTAAGTCAGTACACAATAGAGAAAGTAATGACCCATATTAGGTTGTAATATGTCCCATATGTATTTCGATTTTGAGACTATATATGGAAAGACCAAACATTTTGCTCAGAACTTTGGTTCACCTGCGGCAAAGTCCATGATTGATGTTAGTCCGTACAATATTGCTGGTATATATGTATATATACTATACGTATATACAAGGTGTTCGTAAATGCATAGAAGAGTAGTGTCACCCCCACATGTATATGCCACGTGTCCGAAAGTGCAGATACGTGCACGTTTATAGGTCGTATACGGAACAGTGGGTTAAAAGCATAATAGCGCACGTTTTACAGAATGAAATAAGAGTAAACAAATATTTTATACCCACCGTGTAGCAATGTATCTACCGTAGCTGCCCCATAGAGCATCCATAGCTTTGTCAGAGAAATATTTACCAGCCATTTCCTCAGTGGGAAATAATTTTGGAATTCTACATCCGACGATTTCAACGCGACCTGACGCCATACAGACGGTATTATTTTATTTTCCTTTTTTCAGCATAACAATCCTCGGAGCATTCACGTTGACTGGATGTCGTTTGTCTGCCCAAATATTACCCCTATGTCTATGGGAGTGCGATCGGCCGTTGAGGAGATGGAAAGTTGTCTGGTTGGAACGAAGCGAAGGAAGAGAAGGAAGAAAATAAAGAAAGACTAAAAAGAATGATGACGTAAGCAATCGATGCTTGGATCAAGAATGAATCTTGATTTTCACCCTACGAACTCTGGGATACAAAATATTTGACCCATCCGTAGAGACAATGCCTATAATAATCGGCACGCGATTAACGATTGTAAAGCGCGGGCGCAGCGACATCGCGCGACGTCGTACGTTACTGCGTGCATGTCAGTTGAACGGCGACGCCGCACTAGACGTACCTGGCAGCACGCTTCCCCGACTTTCGGCGTCGCGATCGTCTTGTGCCTCAGAAGGATAAAGGCTTTCGCGAAAGGGTTTAAACGTGAGTTTGCGCTTGGACTAGTCGACAAACAAGAAGGAGAGGAAGCATAGAGTAAATTCCGAAGAGAATTGAGTCGAGCCTCAGTCGAGAAGGAGCATCGTTATTGTAAAGTTACTTTCGAAGTGTCACGAGCGGTTGAAGTTTACGAACGTTTCACGAGACCAACGGATACTCATGGATTTAACGTAACGAGCGCAAACACGGAAAAAACCTATAAAAGACTTGGAGGAGAATTAGAGGTTGAAGATAAGTAAAAGATAAACATTGGTTCAACTTAAATTTCGTTAGTTGGATCTTCTGTCGTGTGACTTCAGAAGTGACGCTCAGATCGTTATTAACTTCTCAATAGTAATAAAGCTTCGGGTAATAAGGAAGAGACTTCCTTTGCTTTTCCGCTAACTCGCACCTTGGGGCTTTAACCGCAAGCTCAGAGAGAGGGAGAGAGAGAGAGAGAGAGAGAGAGAGAGAGAGAGAAGAGGATACAAGAGAGGGAGAGAATTTCACCGCAGCTCGTCGAAGACGCTCCGAACTTTCGAGCAGGAAGCTTCAGGTCGTGGCAACGACGCTCGGCGAAATTGTTTGCACGGAGTTTTCGCATCAGGCTAAGCCTTCATTGGAGCGTCAGCCTCAGGGTGGGGGACTGTTTGGTGTGTTGGAAGAAGAAGACGTTAAATAATAAAAACGCTTAAAGTGACCGAGTGTCGGGAACAGAGAAGTCGACTATCGCGTGAAGACTAGGATGACATCAGCGACGATGATCTCGACGAGAGTTTTCCTGCCTGTCACCCTCGTGGCTCTTGTACTTTGCATCGGTGAGTAGAGTTTCAATTCGTGTCACAAGGCTGTGCTTTTGTCCCTGAGCTCTTTGCGCGTCTTTGCTACGTCAAAGCTCGAATAAAATTTAGGCCTCGTGAATTAAATGCGACGTCGGTTTTTTTTTTAATGGAATCGTATTATCCAAATATATGAAGATAAATGGACTAAATTTCTGATATTAACACATTGCGTACGGGTCACGAGATATCTCGTTTTCATGTTTTTTTTCGATTCAATGGGCAACTTAAGCAACGAGCAAATGATAAGCGAAATAATTGAATATTGACATTCAGAGCAGTAGCTCGCTAGACATTGTAGCCAGTACCTCAGAAGATCTGTGCCGATCGTTATACGTACCGTAACTTATAAAGTGTTCTTTTATTCTCCATTGTGGAATTTCAAACTTCGTGTTTTAATTTGTAAGACAGCAGTTTTTTAAGAATCGTTTATATTTTCAATCCGTTACTGATAAATTATAACAAAAATTGATTTTGCTTCCTATTGCTCGCCAAGCATGCTTCTGGAGCGCTCGAAAATGTGCGGGCTTTGAGCGCGTGTTGATGTTAAAGTGTTACGAAAAATTGTGTTGAGTATTCCTTCTTCCTATGTGGCACGATTTAGTATTTTACTTTGCGTTTCTTTTGTGCCAATTTTCATGCGCGGTTAGCTCGTTATATTTTCCCCCAAAAAAATGAAAGCTGCCAATTAGCGTAAAGTCGTAGAATAAACAGCCAACTACGCAATAACCTTATTACTATTTATTACAGGGTGCTTGTATGTATACATATGCAGTATGCATTTAGTACGTACAAGTATGTACATATTTTCTGCAATATATCATTTTGTTGAACTTGTTCCTTTCTATGGGTAAGCTTTCTTTTTTTTTGTCAATTAATTATCGTACAGTGTTACACACGATTGGATAGCCTTTACAGGAGGACATTCTCTCTTGTCCTGTCTATCCCTAAATAATAACCTGGCCACTTCCAAGCATCCCTGACGAGGAAGCAGTAGGCGGGGCGGGGGGATTAGAAAAAAATAAAGAGAAATAAGAAAATTCGTAAAGCAATGGCCACGTTGATTGCCACGAAGCTGTTTTGAAATTATGACCCTGCTAGGTATCCTTCTGGATTTCGTGTTGGTAAATGCTCTCACAAGATGTTTGGTAAGGACTACCAACTTAATTGGACGATTTGACGAATCCTTTGCTAAAGGATAGCTTACGTAACCGTATCGTAACAACCCGGTAAACTAATGCAGATTTCGCTCCTTTTACGAGGCAAATGTAAACGACGTGAAGGCGCTTACTAACTTGATCTATATTTCGTTAAGGAAAACATGTATCATAAATAGCGTCACGAATGTTCACTCAATGGCGTCCAATTAGCATGATTCTTCTCACGACAATTTGAACAAATGAGCAAGCTTGTTCGCGAAAAATTTGCGGTCTGATTCATTTCGAAAAAAATTTTTTGCGCGTGACTATTTGCAACCTTTGAATCGTCTAGTTGTGGCCATTGAGAAGAGTTCGTGCGAATTGTGGGGATTTCGTGAAATTATTTTTTTATTTACTTTTTCGTTGCCTTTTTTTTAAATGGACTCATGCAAAAATATCCGATGCACGATGGCCACACCTCTTATAGTCCAAACGAGGTTCTACTTAAAATTCCAGTGGTCATGTGCTCATTGTTCTATTTCCAGAGAAGAGGTCAGACAGTGACATTTTGATTTGGAAAAATAAGAGAGTTAATTGTATATGGAGCGAATAGGCTTTTAGTTGCCAGAACGTATTTAGTTTATTAGACATTTTTATTTATGGTCATAATAATGCCATTTATTCGAACAGACCGTATTCATACTTTCTTATAAAGCATATGGATAATACATTTTGTTATTTGGTAATTATTTAAGCATATACTTTATTTCATAAAAGATTTTACCACTCATCCAAGTAAATTTGTACTTTTAGTCCTAGCTTACGACTCTGTACGATAACGTTAGCTGATCTTGCTGATATCTAATATCGAAGCATGATCATTGATGCGATTTATTATTATTTGATCATCGATGTCATTTATTATATTGCACATATTCAAGTACTAATATCGAATATTTTTTATATATATATCATTGTTTATTTATTTAATAATCAGATTGCTATAGCAAACTCTAATATACCAAGTTCTCTTTGTCTATATGTATATTGTCTACTCTCTATGTATAGATACATTATAACTATATTAGATTCCTCTTTATTTTATATACTTATATCGATCTGGTCCAGGTTCTTTTTTTTCCATATTGATTAATCTGATTTTTCATACTCTCTTTGCCACTGGCTTATATGTTTTTTACTGAAAGTAAATTATACACAGTTTACTTAATTCAATCATCTCTCTGTCGATCTAATTCATTCCTGTCAAATATTTATTATAATCTTTTTTTTTAATAGTGGTAACGAATTATTTATTAATAATTAATCAATATTAACAAAAGATTTATTACTATAAGTGAATTCACTGTCGAATAAATCAATTTCCTGGTTAATAATATACTCTTTTTCTCAGCGTAAGAAATTCTTACCGAATTGCTGAACACTCAGTGCGCAAACAGACCGGTTCGTTCTTCTATAGCGATCAGACGTTTGCAAGTAAAAAGCACTGGCTGATTTGAGTTTTGAAAATTTAACATTTCCAGTGCGCGACAGCGTGACACGACTAATCCATTTAAACGTCGGGTATAATTACGTTAATTCGTCGCGTTAATCGGATAAAAAAAGTCTACGGTTAATTACTTTCCAATTTTCAAATACAACGATGAATTATGCAGCGTTCCGAGTCTCTTGTCGGTTCAGGTTCCCACTTCACTTACTGAGTGGAAAAGAGAGTTTAGGTAAATGTAGATATTTAATATTACGAAGAGATTTAATCATTACACATTATTGTAAGAATGTGCAACATGTATTTTTATGCTGTGAATTATCATTCGATTTTACAAAGTTCGATACCTACTATCTACATAAAATATTAGTCTATATATTGTCTATTGTCTACGATCACGAATCAGTTCTGCGGCGCACTAGTGAATTCATCCTAAAGCAGGACACAGGAACTAGCAGTTCGAAATAGATTTAACTTACCGTGAATTTGCCGAACACTAGAAACTTTCCTGGGAGCGACTGCAGCGCACCAGACGGCTTTGCTACGACACTAAGAGGAACGAAACGAGGGCTTCGATCTTAACGCAGACTTCGCACAGTCATCTCGCCTATCTTCTGTATTTGGATCGTGCAGTATTTGTCAAGTCTTTGGAGATAGTATAAAGGATTAACGGAAATGAGAGACATTCGTCTCAGTATCCATAATATTTGGTAGCCAATCGTCTTCGCTTTAACGGCACATCGAAACTCACGTCCACGGTTCGCGCAAATCACTAGATGGGTAACTCGAACGAATGGCATAAACGTGAGTCTGATATCTACCGGCGGCGTTCAAAAGTTATATCACGATTTCCGACAGGAAACTCATTAGAGTCCGACTAGGGGATATCGCGAATATCATTCCCCCTTTTACGAGAAATATCGTCGGAAAATCAGACGCTTTCGTAACGAACGCGTAAATAAACCGTGTCCACTTTGCTAATGGCCACGGAAGATGAGAAAAGTTTTTCGAAATATTCGTTGAACGGATTTCGCTGACAATGATGGCCGCCCTTGGGATACAGTTATACGAGTGTTTACTTCGGCCTGAGATTCCGTGGTATGGTTTTATACTTTATTACGTAACGTTAACCTTGCATTACGCTCCGTAGTGTCAATTTCAAAATGGCTTATCAATCTCTTTCCCTGAAATTACCCGGATCTAACGTGACTCTCAAGGGTTGCCACCCAAACCCCGACCCAGTGCCGTAGTAATTTATAAGTCAGTCACGGTAATAAATCATTAGTTTTCAAGACTAACCTAAATTTTACGTAAAAATTTTCATTGCAGTCATAACACCAAGACAGAGATTACATTTCGATTAGCAATTTCCGCATCACCCAGGTAAGTTAAACCTTCATTCAGGCAAAGGCGATCTCCTAGCGATCCCTTCGGTCGAGTCAGGGGATGAAAAATATAGGAGGATCAAACGTTTTAACTTGTATAATAATTAAGCCCGTGTAATTAGCAGGATCATTAGCATCAATCTATCCCCCATTGGCACTGTTAATAATCGCACTGAAGTTAGCTGCCTAACGGTAATTCCCTAGGATTAATCGAAGGATCGCGTGATACTTGATTAAACTGCTTGGCAAAGCTGCGATATATAGATGGGTTAAGGGATAATCCTGAATATTTTACCTGTCGACACGTTCATGTCATCAGACTCAAATTTACGAGGCATAAAAGCAGCTAGATTCACACGGGACAGTGAAGAAAGAGGGCCCCCTTACTCTTCTTATACCCTGTGTAGCTTTTATCGGAAAACTCATTTTCCACCTCGTAAAAATGACTACGCAGCTGCTACCCTTGATCATCGTAGCTGCAGAAATACTCCCATCAACAACGTACTCGTTCGATCAGTAAGGCGATCGTATCACGGCATTATCGTACACGAGGAGTATTAATTACCTAATTCAACGTTAGATGCATTCATATATGTATATATATCATTCATCCGACTGAATATTTATTCATCTAGAACAACGCGGTTGAAGTCATGAAATTATAATTTACAACGGAGCAAATCTGTACCATCGTCCAATGCATCAATGGCGTCGGTTTCGCGATGCAGATATACGGCTGCACTCGACACTCAACCCCTTTTAGTGTTTCATGTAGCTGTATGTAACCTGTGCCTATATAGAATATATATATATATATATATATACGGTTATAAATGCATATCAATATCGAGCGACGTCAAGCTTCGTATACTTCTTTGCTTGAGATATACGAAGTTTCCAGCATTTTTTATCACTCTTCTTCGTTGAAAGGACAAATAATTCCGAGGATCC